AATCAAAACAATCCACTTGATTTGATTGGATGTTGGGCCGAATGTGGGCTCCCTGTCACACAGGCGCACACACACAGGCACACACAGGCACACACATAGGCACACACAGGCACACACACAGGCGTACACACAGGCACACACACAGAAACAAACAGGCACACACACAGGCACACACACAGGCACACACAGGCGCACACACAGGCACACACACAGGCACACACAGGCGCACACACAGGCGCACACACATGAACAGAGATCGACCAGTGTCAATGTTCTTTATATCTTTGCCCACCACGGGACCTTCTCCACCGACTGCTGTCGTTGTGTCCTTGGCAAGACACTTAACCTACATTGCCTAAAATGATGCCTAGTCCACACCTCTGATACATATATTATGAAAATACACGCTGACAATTATACGCTATATAGATTTAGCCCTGTGTGAACATTGGAGAGTAAAGCAGCAGATTAGAAAGTGGAATCTTTTATGCTGTTGTCAGATTTGACCTTTTATTTTACAGGTTCGCATTTGATCAACAGATTTAGACCTAGACAGACTTTATGGATCCACAAGGGACATTGCGTTGTCACAGTAGATCGCAGAGTATTTCACAATAAAAAAATTAAAATAACATTAAAGTAACAATCTGAATAAGAACAATAATAAGATAATATTGTGAGAATAACTAAACATCTGTTAATAAAACATATACAAGGACAACGCAGATAAAGTTGAAGTCTGTTTAGATGAATGTGTGATCTGTCACAGAGCGCTGACTTGTTGTACAGCAGGAGTGTGGCATGAACCTGCTCTGGCACCGCTCACTGCGGCAGCTGTAGGACTCTGTAGGACTCTGTTTGAGGAGCTCCTTATCCTCCATAGTCCTGTGGAGTGGATGTGCAAGATTGTCCATAAATCGAGAGCGGTTTTTCCAGTGTCCTGTCTCTCACTGTCGTAAATGCCAATAACCTGTCCAGCTTTACTGATCAGATCGTCAATCCGGAAGATAAAGCTTTGTATCACTTTGGCATCAGTTGGTACCAAAGAGACAGATTTTGTGTCAGTTTGAGAACAGTTCGCAGAAGTTTGGTGTTTGTGGCAGTTCGCTGGGTGCATTCTTCACCAGTCTAAGTGGTATGTCAGTTTTGATGGTCCTACTTGGCGTTAGATGTAAAAGTGTTTTATAAAGTAATATAATTTTCTTTTTTAGAATGGGCTTGAGTAAACCAGGTGATCGGCACAACCACCGCTGCAGCCTTTGCAGCCTTCAGATGCCTTTATCTGTGGCTGACTTCAACTGTCTGTTAAAAAACAGAAAAGGCTTTATGTATTGAGTCCTTTTTTGTCTCTGATATGTAAAATGAATGACTTGGTTTGAGTAATGAGCTTGGTTAAACTTGCAGACGCTGTGAGATTAAACTCATAATATTTTGACTTTAATGTAAATATATTATTACAATAAAGTTGAAATTTATTAGAGAAAGTGAAAAAAACATTTTGAGATTAAAGTCAAAGTCAGAAACCTCTTATTTATAACTTTATTCTCCTAATTTGGTAATATTTGGACATGTTACACTATTACACTATTGGTTTGGAACAGTAAGTGAAGGAAATCATCAAATAAATCTGTGCTTCTTCTATCTGTCCCTGAAACACGATCGAGGCCTGAGAGACACTCAGCCTCCACAAGGAATCATTGACGAGGCGTGTTTCTCGCTAAATAAATATTGAGAATAGATTACTTTGTGTGTGTGTGTGTGTGTGTGTGTGTTTGTGTGTGTGTGTGTGTGTGTGTGTGTTTGTGTGTGTGTGTGTGTGTGTGTGTGTGTTTGTGTGTGTGTGTGTCTGTGTTTGTGTGTGTGCGTGTGTGTGTGTGTGTCTGTGTTTGTGTGTGTGTGTGTGTGTGTTTGTGTTTGTGTGTGTATGTGTGTGTGTGTGTGTGTGTGTGTGTGTGTGTGTGTGTGTGTTTGTGTTTGTGTGTGTGTGTGTGTTTGTGTGTGTGTTTGTGTTTGTGTGTGTGTGTGTGTGTTTGTGTGTGTGTGTGTGTGTGTGTGTTTGTGTGTGTGTTTGTGTGTGTGTTTGTGTTTGTGTGTGTGTGTGTGTTTGTGTGTGTCTGTGTGTGTGTGTGTGTCTGTGTGTGTGTGTGTGTGTCTGTGTGTGTTTGTGTGTGTGTGTGTGTGGTAAAATGCCTGTTATTATAGAAGGACCATGTAAAATGCGTGTTTTTGAATATAAGGAAGTCACAGTTGTCCATTTCCTGTGTTGCTCACCTGTAAACGCATGGTCCTCCGGCGGTGCGTTGAGGTGCGTCTGTAAAAAGCGCCTCCGTCCATGCCGTGGTGTGTTCAGCTCCGTAAAGTGCTCATTATTCTGTGGTTATTTATAACTGTTATTTTTGTTATTAAAATAGTGCTATCCCTGTTCCCACCCAAAAAAGGGGAAAAATAAATCTCTGGAATGTCTCTGTAACAAAGTCCCAGTCCACAGCGCCATCAAACCGAACTGGAGCCGGGCGCCTGCAACAGGAAGTGACATCACAGACAAGGAGTTACATCACATGGTCAGGAGGTGCCAACACACGGTCAGGAAGTTGCCTAGATTCATGCAATCTCAGAAACTCAACATTTCCATCTTCCCACTTGGAAAAATGGGAATGAATGTTGTTCAAATCGGATATTCATCTCGGAAACTCAGACTAGTGTCAGAATGTGATTGGATGAAAGAAAAGGGACAAGTGTCGCTTTCATGTGTGTCTCGGAAACTCAGAAGTTCTGACTTAGTGCTTGGAAAAATGGGAATGAAGCCGCGCGGCCTGGAAACTCAAATCAGAAACAGGCTGCATGATCCTGGAGTTCTCGAGTTTGTGTCTCTGTGACTTTTGTGATGAAAAATTAGAGACAAAGTGAGCGGGGATGTGTTTTATATCACACTGATGGTTTTACTTTGCAAATTATACATAATTACAGTAAGTCCAAAATAAGCTTAAAATCATATTTCTGAAATTATGGCCACAGAAGCTTTGCAGAAACATTTTAAGTTGTATTTGTGTAAGCATATCCAGGTTTCCTTTCTTATGCCTTTCTTTCTCTTCGAAGGAGCAAAGAGAATCCAGGAACATTTGTGCACATTTCTGTTTTGTGTTACCAGTGTCGGCGACTGACTCAGGAAGTCCGAGGATTACGATAAAAGTTTTTGTGATTGCATGAAAGCAGCATCACTTCACAGGTGGTGGGGTGGAGGCGGAGGTGTTGGTAGTGGGGTGGTGCCGGGGCGGGGGGAGTTCATGCAGGCGCAGTTGTATATTTGACAGTGTGCGTCTCTGATGTACAAAACAGCCATACATCATTTGTTATGATATTTGCAGAATGTTAAAAAACAAAACAATTCCTTACCGTGGTGTCAGGTACATCTACTATCCTTTTTACTAATATGGCTATTCACTTGTCACTTTTGTGATTTCTACAATATGAACATGTGTTTACAAAGTAATCTTAACCAAACAACATAATCTCTGTAGAAGTTCTTCAGGGGCATCACTGGAGCTTTGGAAAATAAAAATCCCACTGACTTTTCACTTTTCTTTAGTTAATTTTGGTGAGAAGCACATTTTAAAAACCACAATATCCAGATTAGTGTTAGATACAAAAAAGTAAACAGAAAAGAAGTTGGATCAATGCCTCCATAATGAAATCAAGTGTTAGGGTAAGATTTTCTGGTTGATGTTTGAAAACATTGGGATTGAATAAAACTTATAACTTCAACTTGTCATAAAACTTGAACACATATCGGAAGCATTGGTAAAACTGGTTAAATTGTGTGCTCCCTGTGGAACATACCTCAGACCTCAGTCCCCCAGGACCACATGTCTGAGTGCGACTGTCCCCTGCTTTTCCAGTGTTAGATCCTGCAGGAGGCGGTAGTATTGCACATGCACACATCAGCAGGAGTAAAGCATGACTCTGAAGGTGGATGTGAGTTTTTTATTATGAAGCATGCGGACAAGGCACAAGCTTAAAGTCACAAACTCAAAGATGAAGGCACTCAACAGAAGAAGCCATGAGAAAACGTGCAGCAGCGGTAGAAAAATACACATCTGTAATTAGTATAAAAATAAATCATATTTTTTTAAGACAATCAGGAGTCAATGATGCTGGTGAGAGCCGTGTAAGGGACCAGAGAAGGCAGAGTGTGGAGACTCTAATCTTAAATGCATGGTTAGGGTGCTTTGGGGCCTAAATATTATTGCACAAATGATCATGCTTATTAATGATAAATTCTGCATAGTTTTTCATTTCAACCTGTTCTTTTGTAAAGCCTCTTTGATGTCCAAAAAGCACTAAACAAGTAGGATGTTTAAAGCTGGCTACAGACAACAGGAATTTTAGGTTCATGAGATGTTTAGGCGTGATAATGATCACAGACCTAAGGTTCATCTGTCTCAGTTGCAGAGTTCACTCACGATTTCTGTAGAGCACATGGCTGCAAACAAATACACCTAATCCACCGTGTTTCTTCTTATTGTTAATATATTATTATATTCCAATATTCCAGATTTCAGTTTTTAATGTAAAAAAAAAAAAAATTACTATTCTGAGTGGAATTTGCATGTTCTCCCCGTGTCTGCGTAGGTTTCCTCCGGGTACTCCGGTTTCCCCTACCACTAAAAACATATACAATAGTTCTGGCATGCGCCTCCTGTTCGGCGACCTCGCTCCCATCTCTGTGTGGAGTGAGAGGACAAGTGCCCAGAAATAACAATTATAAACCGCTTTGTGACTCTGGTCTGTGAAAGGCGGTATATAAATAAAGATTACTTACTTACTTACTTACTTATTACAATGCATTAATTTACTCTTTTAAAGTGATTAAATATCCATGTGTGATATAGTAATGAAGTCTTATAAAAGTCCACTTCCCTTTTCTTACTACAGGTTGCCATGGCCATCCTCTCTCGTCCCTTATTTGGCTCTCCTTAAACGCTTCATGCTGTTAGTAGGAGTCACGCGGCGGCCGGCTTCTTGTGGGTGGGGCTTGTGTGCACCGGGGCGGGGCTGGTGCGCTTGTGGGCGGAGCCTGACACGAGTGGCGTGAACAGCAGGAAGAGTGTGCACGTGGGCAGGTACAGTCCCAGGAAGAGCAGGAAGTCCTGGCTCAGGGTGGGCACCAGGGCAGGCTCTGGAGCCGTGGCTAAGTCCAGCACCAAAGCCAGGGCCAGGACGGGGACGTGGACTGTCTCCAGCTCCGCCCACTCCTCGCTCGCAAGCCCCGCCCCCTCCTCACTCACCATGGGCTCCGACTCTGCCCCCTTAACACGCCGGCGACTCAAGCCACGTTCTACCCGCCGACTGCTCTCCACAAACTCCTGCAAGAAGGCAGTGGTTAGACTGGGACTGAACCAAGAATAAAGCAGTAAGTAAGTTAGTAAGTTAGTAAGTTTTTATTTATATACCGCCTTTTCACTGCAGATCTGAGTCTCAAAGCGGTTTACAATTGTTAATTTTGGGCATTTGTCTCTCGCTCCACACAGAGATGGGAGGGGCCAGTACAGGAGGCACATGCTAGAACTATTGGACATATTTTTAGTGGTAGGGGAAACCGGAGTACCCGGAGGAAACCTACGCAGACACGGGGAGAACATGCAAACTCCACTCAGAAAGGCCCTGGTCCGACCGGGATTCGAACCCAGGACCTTCTTGCTGAGAGGCGAGAGTGCTATCCACTCAGCCACCGTGCCGCCACGGTGGCACGGTGGCACGGTGCAAGTCTGAAGCAAGTCTGAAGCGGGTCTAAAGCAGGACTAAACCAGGGCTAAAGCAGGACTAAAACAGGTCTAAAGCAAGTCTAAAGCAGGACTAAAGCAGCACTAAAGCAGGTCTAAAGCAGGTTAAAGCAGGACTAAAGCAGGTCTAAAGCAGGACTAATGCAGGTCTAAAGCAGGACTAAAGCAGGTCTACACCAGGTCCCTGTGGCGGACTATTGCAAGTAAAGTCGCGTTCCCACCGGATCATGCTTTGTGGCGAGTTTCAATGCAAATGGTGACCTACTCTGGTGCGAATAATCGTTTGTGAACATATGTCTTCACCCTGAGTTGACATCCTACTGTTACTGTATACAAGTTCTGCTAACGTGTTCGCCGATACTGAGGTACCGTTAAATAATAATAAAAACATGCCGCAGCTCCGTGGGCAGATAATCCTGTTATATGAGGTCTCTGGAGGGTCTCGGTACAGAGAGACGCTGTGGAACTTCACTCGTGGAGGAGGACTTTACGCAAAAGCCACAAGCTTAAACTCATTAGCATCAACGCCCTGCCCACTCCTTCCGCCCTGCGTTTTTCTCAGTGGGGGCGGGTCCCGTCTCCAAAAGGTCCATGAGCATGTGCGCTGACATGCTTGCAATCTCACTCCAAGCCAGTGGGGGTGGCCCCGGAATAAGAATTACCCAATGCTTTTGTATGTTGTCTTTACAGGATGGTTCAAAAGTTGCTCTTGGCCCAACGCTATGTTCCAGATGTGTGTCAATGCTGAGGGGGAGTATTTTTTTGGACAAAACTAGCTTATCTGCTGAGGACTTTAGAATGCACTCATTTAATCATTGGGGCTAGTGTTGGCTAACGCATGCAAAAATGTTTTTTTCTAACATTTTCCTGTCACGCAGCCATTTGGAACAAGCCCCATAGAAGGCAACAGTGTTGGCACATTAGTTTCAACTGCGGAGATAGTAAGTCTTATTGACTAAACATATGCGGCTGAAATATAGTGAACGCGCATTCATGCCTCAATGCATAGTTGGTGGGAACGCGGATTAAGACTGGAACCAGTTTGAACCCCTGCTATAATCGGACTAAGCGACCCGTCTCTGAAGTGACTTGCGTACCATGAGGGCCTTGTCCATGTAGAACTCTTTTCCAGGCGTGCCATCATTGTACTTTGTGTCGATGGCGAAGCAGAGAAAAAGCACGTCCACCACGATCTCGAAGACAGACAGGAAGCAGTGGGACACCAGAAAGGCCCCCAGACACACGAACACCAGGGGCAGCAGCCACTCGGACAGGTCCCTCTGGTAGTTCAGGACCAGGACTCCCGCGAAGGCAGTGCACACCACGATCAGCACCTGCAGCAAAGACCAGACCATGTCACGGTTCTACACAGTCTCTGCTGTGAGCCGAGTGACGCAGACTCACGCTGCAGTCCATACTGTGTGTGGAAGGTCTGCCCTTTAGACGTCTGTAGGCCTGTAATGCATACCTACAATGTTGAAGGTTGCATTGTTTTTATCTAATATTCGTAACTTTATTTCTTCAATTTGGGAATGTAGGGGGTGTTTTTGTTAATATTTTGTGTTTATTTTTGCTGACAAGTGTTTTTTTAATAAAACTGAAAAAGATATTGTTAGATATATTTATACACAAAAAATAAAATGTGAGTGTGACACCGTTAGAAGGAGCAAAGCTTCATCGTGAACACTTCCCTCAAGGCCCCTTCTTACTTCATACAAGCTGTTAGTAGTTTGTGCAGATTGTTCCTCAACACTAGAAGATGTCTGTGTGGTGTCTGCACAATGACTGGCTAGTTTTGTAATGTGGCCGTTCTGTATTTATAGATTGACTGGTAGCCAATGCATAAACAGCCAAAACGCTGTATTTATAGTACTTTTTATGTTGACATGAGTCCGTTGATACCGACAAAAGCAAGCTTTGTTGGCCTGCTGCTGAGGGGTCTAGAGGTGTGTTTGCACATTTCCTGTCCTTTTGCACACCCTGAGTGACTCCATTTATCCGAGCAAAGTATAAGTCTCTTAAAGTATGAATTGGGATGTGTGTAAGGGGGTGTGAAGGCAGACCTTTCCGAGGAACAGGACAAAGTCTCCCACGGCGTTGATGGTGGCGACCCTCAGAGCGTTCTCTACCAGGATGATGAAGGCGTCCCGGGCCGACACGCAGAAACTGGTGCTGTTTATGGCCGTGGCTGCGTATGCATTCTGTGCACCACAAGGAGAGGTCATTTTGGAAAAAAACAAGGACGAAGGAAGGGGGAGAGAACATAATTGCAGTGCTTAGTCTGAAGTCCCTCTACAGTATTACATACAGTATTTTTCTCATATTTAACACCATAACAATAGATATAAAATAGTCCTTCCCCTTTTTAGCCATGTTCTGGTCAGGTGTGACATGTCTTGGTCCTGTCCTAGTTCAGCCCTGAGTGAACCCTGGTCCCATTCCTGTTCCCATCTTAGCTTCTATATCCCCCTTCCGGTCCCAGTCCCAGTCCCAGTCCAGTTACGGCTCTGTAAGGGTTCTGTCCAGACCTGGTTCAGGTAGTTGAGGCACTTCTCCAGACACCAGAGGCAGCAGATGCAGGACTTGAGGAGGCAGCGAGCACAGGCGTTCTCCTGGACACACACATGCAGACAGGCACACGCAGACACACATACATAGACAAACACGCACACAAACATGTAGACAGGCACACGCAGACACACATACAGAGACAAACAAACACACATTAATGACTTGCTTCTTTGACATTTGCCTCTAGCGCAGGGAAAAAACACTGTTAAAAACCTCCTGAATGGTACCAGTGTCCTCAGCCACCATCGCTTCAGGCACACTTCGCAATGAACCGCTTGCAGCTTGCCCACCGGCCTGGAATTGGAATGGAGGACACCATCATCTCCCTCCTCCACCACACGCTGTCTCACCTGGAGAAGCCCGGCTCCACTGTGAGGATTTTGTTCTTCTACTTCTACAGAACATACAACACTGTCCAGACACAGCTCCTGTGAGACAAGCTGGAGACGGCTGGAGTAGACTCTGGTCTGTCTGAGTGGATCCTGGACTATCACAGGGACAGACCCCAGCTTGTGAGTCTGAGGTCCATATCTGCGGTGCGGGTCAGGGTTAGGGTCCGTCCTTGCGCCGTTCCTTTTCACCCTCTGCACTGCAGAATTCACACACAACACGAACGGTTGTGTCCAGCAGAAATTCTCTGACAACTCCGCATATGCCATCCGCATGTGTCACTCTGCTTCTCCAGCCCCAGTGAACATACAGGAGAGGGACATGGAAAGAGTGGACTTACAAGCACCTGGGTGTTCATTTCTGTCCTGGGCTGTTCCTGGACACAAAGCAGCAGGTGGGGGACAGCTAACATCCATGCTGGAACATGACTGTCACCACCTGCATGACACGCTGTCTGCTCTGGAGAGCAGCTTCAGAGACAGACTGATCCACGCTTGCTGTTTGAAGGCGAGGTTTTGCAGAAGTTCATCCCTGCTACTGTCAGACTGTGCAACGAGAACTACTGACCCTGTACATGTAATTCATCTATAAATAGTAAATACTGCAATCATGCGAAATGACACATTGTCAACTGCAGTATAGTGTCCACTTGTCACTGTAATTCATGCTGCATAATATTCCACATGGATATATACACACCTTTACTACTGAAGTTCTTACTGTATCAATGTATGTCTTGAGTTGTGCTACTTGTGTGCTCTTACTACTGTTCTGTATGTGTTCTGAAACACTGTGAGACCAATAATGGATATGTTTTTTGCTAGTGTGCAATCCCCGGGCCTCATGAACAGTGACAGTCGCACAGTCTTACCCGGCCCCGGAGCTGGTTGTGCAGATACATCAGCAGGAGTCGGGGGCCCTTCACCAGAGTGATGATGAACGAGCCTTTGGCCACGGTGCCCAGGTGGTAACGCACCAACCGCAGCACTGACGACAGGATGGGCGTAGCTGGGAGGCGGGCTTTATCCCTGCAATAAACAAAGACATGTGAGGCTTCTCTTACATAGTGTAGCTAAGAGTAACACACTGTTGCCCCTGAACGTTCAGGATTGTAATGTAGATGATCCGTTAAAAATTTGCTTCTCTCCTGAGATCTGCCGGGATGATGTGTGCCTATACATTTATGTGTTAGAATGGTCCAGTCAAATCTAGACCCAAAACCCATTGATAATCTGTGGAAAGACCTGAAAACTGAACGACCCTAAGTTGTTTTGTAAAGTTGAATGGTTAAAGATTTCAGTCTCCAGATGTGCAAAGCTTTTAAAGTCATACCCACAAGACTTGCAACTGTGATTGCGGCAAAAAAGGGCTCCACAAACTATTCAATTCATGAATGAATGAATTTGTGTCTCACTTTTCAGGTTTTTGTTTGTTTTTTCAAATAACATATATATGTATCATGTTGCAACGGTTGTGTAGTGGTCTTTATTTATTTTTTTATAGCTGTAAAATATTTATTCATTTACAACATGACAAAAGATGCAAAAGACGCTGTACCTGGTAAAATAGTATGTGACCACTGCTCCAGCGATGGTCATCTGCTGACAGGCCAGAATGAACTCTGAGATCCACACCAGACCCACCGCGTGGAACCAGGGGAGGTACTGGAGCTGACCCTGTAAACGAAACTCCACCAGGCCTGAGTCCTGGTCCGGTACGGGCTCTCCAGAGGTGCCTACACAAGTGTGTACGCACACACAAATACACACAAACACACACAAACACACAGCAAAAATTAGAACAAAGCTCTCTTCAAGACTTCATTGTTTGAGCATTTAGACAGAAGGGGCAGAGACTGTGCCAGAAGTTCCTGAAAAGAAGAAGAAAACTTCTGGTGCAAACAGCACAAACACACTCTTTTGTCATATGCTCCAAAAACTATCCTTACCCGTTACTATATGACATCATGTGTTCTGCCTTTAATAATACAAAATATGCCTAACTGCTTTGCTCAGTTATTGTGCACATAGCTATTATTTGTTGTTTGATAAACATTTCAGCATGTAATTTCCCACTTCTACCACTAGATGGAAGTGTTTTGCAACTTTAGATCAGAATGAGACCACTGCACTTTAATACATAGTTCTTTACATTCTGAAACATGTCATATCAGTAAATGTAAATTATTTCAAAGTCTGTCTGTCTATGAAAAAAGGTAAACACATATTGATAATTCGTAATATATCATTAATCATATCTTCTTCTTTAAATAGTAAGAGTAGAATGTGAGGTTCATACCGAGGAAGAGAAGCACCAGGACCCAGTAAGCCCAGAAGAGCAGCAGGAAGAGCAGAGTGAGGAAAGGCAGCGCAGTCAGCAGGGGGAGACACAGGAACACTTTCCCCGCAACATGGAACAGGGCCACAGTGAGGGCCACACGCTTCCTCATGAAGAGCATGAGCAGCATGAGCACAAGCTGAGGAGAGAGAGACCTGCTTTAGACCTGTTTTAGACTTGATTTCTATTCAATGACATTTTTTCTTGTATAGCCCTAAATCACAACAGTAGTTATCTCAGAGGACTTAACAAAACAGTTGAATGAATGGGGCTCATGCTGGCTAAAGCCTGTGTGAATGCGTTTTTTCACATTTTTCTGTCCTATTGGCCATTTTGTAAAAGCCCATAAAGGGCAAAAGTGTCGGCACATTAGTTTCAACGGCAGAGATAGGCGTGACTGCTTCTGTTATTATTTACAATCTTTTTTGCTAAATGTATTCCAATGTGGGTTTTTTTACTGCAAATGGCAAATAAAATGAATCTGATGAATCTGAATCAATCTATGGTTTTGACCTGCTTTTGACCTGTTCGAGAGCTGCTTTAGAGAATCTTCAGACCTGCATTAGAACTTTTATTTACTTTGAGTTTTAGATTAGTCTGAACAAAATAAACCAAACTAAGGAAGGCATGTCATTGCAGACTGATAAACCAAGTATCATTAACTGCATTATGGGTGAGTGTGGATTGGGTCCTGAGGGGGCGGAGCTTACAGTGTGATTGACAGTGGTGTGTGAGCGACAGGGGCTTACGGTAAAGACGCTGGCGGCTGCGGCGTACACCAGTAGCGCCTGGTTCTTGGTCACATGGTCCTTTGTTCCCATGTTGCCCTGGTTGCGGTTACTGTCCCTAGAAGTTGTCACCGTATTGTTCCCATGGAGACGATGGTCGATGTACAGCCACCACAGGACACCGGTGCCCCCTGGAGGAGTGGATGGGAGCTGTTAGTCACATGTTTGAGATCATTTTAACACATTTTCTATGATATTGGTTTAGTAGAAATGATTCCTTTCAGATCCAAGGATTAAATTTAAATATATTTTTACAGGAAAAAAATGTTAAAAAAGGAATGACTGATATTGGCGCATTAAGATCCCGCTATTTCGGCCGATATGATAGTAGCAGGTGATGGTTGCAGCTGTAGTGAGAGGGTGTTACCTAATGAGCCCAGCACCACCAGGCCCGTGAGGATCCACACCAGCACCGTTGAAATGTAGCGGATAATCAGCATCAGCAGCATGGACAGCACTGACCAGTGACAGAGAAGGAGAGTTTAGACATGACACATATAGTAAGAACCATCAGCACCATGGACAGCACTGACCAGAGTCAGAGACAGGGTTTGGACTAGCCTGGTTATACCACATCATAGTACAAATTACATTTCGTACTAAGGTCTGGAGGTGCTCCATTGAGCTCCGTTTACAGGTGGGAAGGGTGAACTCCTTTTGCAGATTGAAACGATTGGATCTGAGTTTACCGTGACGTATGTAATGCGCCCGAGTCTGTCGTTAGCATTTAGCCTGACCATCTCCTTTGCCGCTAACAAAGTCCGTGGGGAGTAGCGCCACAATTTTCTCCAGCGATTACATTTGCTAAACATTACTCTTGCTCCGGCTTCAATTTCTTGATAGAACCAGACCGGATTACTTTACTATCGCTATTTTCGCCATTGCCAAACTACAACCTGTCTGTTCGACGCAAACTGTTGACATCACCCACAACTAACTACAACACCTGCCTCCCACGCTCTCTGATTGGTCGGTCAAAATTCAACCGATTGTAATCGCTAACCCAGGGACCAGACCCAGACGTTACATGCAGGGAAATGATGATTGAGCGGAGTGTACGGATGGCTAAGGCTAGGCTAGGTTTGGACATGAACAAAACAAATCTCAACATGGAATGGAGGAGTGCAATCATACCGGGCTTTTGAAATGTGCACCGCTCACACACAATTGCAGAGAAGTGTGGCCCACACTCAGACCAGCAGACACCATTCATTGTGACACCTCTTCTATCTACTTTCATTCAGTCATGTCCAGTTATAACAAATATTTGATGCAACTAAAGTTCTATAAAAGATGAACTTGGCAAAATGTCAGTGAAAATTGGGAAGTCGTTAGAGGAGCGCATATTCCTATTCCATCACCAGAAATAATAGAGAACAACACCTATGCAGCTAACAACACAGTGATGCAACAAACAATGCTGGCAGCAATATTTCAGTAAATATGGAGCTTGGAGAGGGAGTGCATTTGTAGCCATCCCGATGTGCCATCAATAATGATTTGACCTAAACGTTTGACCTAAACATGGAGGAAGATACTACCTGATAAAACCGGTGGAAGTGCCCATAATGTGTTCTTCTGTTTCTATAGGTTTAGTTAATTATAAACATAAATACAAACATGTGTCAACTGCATAAACTGACAGGAGGGACGGGAACGGCCCCTGCACAGCAGAGGTAAGATTTTAGTCAATAAGATTATAGCAGCTAATTGCTGATGAACTGAAGTAGAACAAGGGGAAGCGGAACCTGCTAACCAGGCAGCATCGTGTCAGTAGAGCCAGTAGGATGGACTTGGCCGTATATGTACATACTGTATCAACACCATAAGCTGAGGTGCGCGAATGGCACCTACACAGAAGGTAATACTTCAATCAAGTTTATAACAGTAACTGATCATGTGAAAAAAAGAGTCAAAGTTGCTGTATGTTCATTTATCAACACCATAATGTACAGTACACACTGCAACCTGAAGAGGAAAGGCTCACACTGCGGGTTGCGTAGGAGGTTGCAGGGTTGATTTCAGATACTGGCTGGCTTCAGTCAAATAACATTGGAAATATTCTTGTGTTAATAATGCATCAGTTTTATATAGCGCTTTTTTGGACACTCAAAGACGCTTCACATGTGTCATTATTCATTCACTCCATACACGGTAGTGATAAACTACTACTGTAGCCACAGCTGCCCTGGGGCACACTGACAGAAGTGAGGCAACCAGTATGCGCGATCGGCCCCTCCGACCACCACCAACACACACACCAGACTCATTCTAGGCAATGGGGGTGAAGTGTCTTGCCTAAGGACACAACAGCAGTTTGACACTTTACAGCCGCAGCCACCCCACTGTGGCTGGTGTTCCCAGAGGTAAAGTGTCTTGCCAAGGACACAACAACAGTAGTCAGTGGGAGTCAATGGTGAAAGTCTTGAGCGGGGCTTGAACCCACGACCTTCTGGCTCAAAGGCCAACGCTCTACCAACTGAGCTACTGCCGCCCAATAATGAATGAAGCCTTTATTGGTCTGACAGTGGGGAGAGGGACTTTGACTCTAGATTAGCTCCACACGCTCAGGACACTTTAACACAACAGCAGGGATGAAATAACAGCTCTTTTATCTGTTTTCAGTTGTGTGACGGAGAGACATCATACCGAGGGCCAGGAAGCACAGTCCAATGATGACGTCACGACTCGCTGATACGCCTGCAATCAGCCGGTGCAAAACGCTGTCGTCGCCCACAAACGTCACCACGGCAACGGCCAGCCGGGCGTAGCAGGACACCTGCACGGGCGAACAGCGCCTCAAGAGGGGAAGGGGCTTACTGCAGGAGAGAGAGAGAGAGGGAGCGGTCATAGTAGCAGTGAGCGTAGTAATTGTAGTAGTAACAGTAGTAGCAGTAGTAACAGTAGTAGCAGTAGTAACAGTAGTAGCAGTAGTAACAGTAGTATCAGAAGTAGTAGAGGTAGTAGCAGCAACAGGCACCACCTGCATTTGAAAGTCTGATCCTATCAGACCTCAGAAGCTAAGCAGGACAGAGCCTGATGGGAAATCTCTGGGATCACCAGGTGCCACAGTGGGGAGGCTGCGGCTGTTTTGTACAATAGCTCTGACCTCCTGTAGGTGACCCTGCTCCCATCTCTGTGTGGAGTGACAGACAAATTCCCACAACAAATGCTTTGTGACGCGCTTTGTAAAAGGCGCTTTATAAATTATGATTATTTATTTACTTACTATTAGTTTACCACCACTGAGTACGCAATGAAGGAATCAATACCATGTTAAGAGTTTTTCAGTCTCCAAAAAACTATATAGAATGGATGCATTATTATTGGTAGAAGTAGTAGTTACAGTAGAAGCAGTTGTCCTTATAGTAGCAGTAACAATAGTAGCAGTAACAGTAGTTGCAGTAACAGTAGTAGCAGTAACAGTAGTTGCAGTAACAGTAGTTGCAGTAACAGTAGTAGCAGAAGCAGTAGTAGCAGAAGCAGTACACACCTCCGTGGCACAGGTAGTTTGGGGCAGCGCTGCTCTCTCTCTGGTTCAGAAGGATAGTTGTGAGCAGCCAGTTCATACGAGCACAACTCTGAGCCTGGAAAGACCAAAACATTAGGACCAATGCAATCTCATATTTCTCCCTTTGCTGGAATACTAGCAGTACCACCAAGAAATGAACTGTTGTTGTGTTTGTGGTACTAGGAGAGTGTTGTGTACAGAGTTGGTTAGTGGGGAGCGTACCATTGTTCATGGCGAAGCTGCGCAGGTCGTCGTAGGTGCGCAGCTCTCGGCCCGGACACAGAGACACACACAGAGCCATGGAGCGGATCCTCCTCTGGACCAGGTCAATGTCACATGGGTCCAGGAAGAAGACGAACCTGTGAACACTCAGGTTTAGGCCACACAGCACACAGCGCACACACAATATACACACAACACACACAGCACACAGAGCACACACAACATACACACACAGCACACATAAAAACACTCACTGTACATTTTGTCCCCAATTAAGACAAGCTAGAGTATTTTTAAATGTCATATTCTGTGCTTTATTCAACACAGATTTGGCCACCTATTGTATCACAGACCAGCCAAACTTATTATGAGGACATTTTACCCAGAATTCTGCTCAAAAACGATCCATGGCATATTTTATAAAGTGTTGCAGCCATTTTCCTTTTTTTTATATGAATGGAAACTCCTTAAATCTGCTGTGTCCGGTGTGAGGGTCTGTGTGTTCCCATGAAGAAGCAGAACACACAGTTCCGCACAACAACAGTCCAGGGACTAGGAAAGGTCCACCAAGCCGGACTTCTGAGGTCTCGCGCCGTATGGAAGAAGTACTTTGAGTGCTCAGTCCAAACCATACAAAGGTGCAGTAAAGGTTAGCTTAGCAGTAGCACTAGAGTAGCACCAAGTCAAAAGCACTCCCCCCTCCCCCCGCCAGCCATCCATCGAACCCAACTCCCAGCAAATATTAATGCCGTCTCTGTAATAACGCAGTCTGTGACGAAGCCTCCCAGCTTGATACATTAGGCTCAAGTCTGTGAGCGATTTGCCAGCCATACTTGAAAAACGCCAGCCTCCCCTAACAAAGAAGCAATTAGAAAAACTCGACTGCCGTTGCATTACAGAGCCCTGGCTGCGTCCCGAGTCTTCTTATACATCGCCTTTTCCTCATCACATGTTCTCTTCTTTGGCACTCTGAAATTGGCACTTTTGGCAATTCCTGGTTTTTGGTTCAGTCATTGTAGGTGTTTTAGAAAATCTGCCTCAATAACAACTCAACTCAGTCGGTCCGCTCTTAAAATATTTTTTGAGGCTATAGACATCTGGTCATGTCCATTTCTATTTGAAAACATATGCAAACTTGACTACTTTTAGGATTTAGGGACGTTTCCCCACAGTATTTAAAAAAGTGCGCGTTGATAAATCATTGACTGCATCTTTAAGAGAGAAATGTATGAAGTGCAGAGGGAATGACAAAGCAAAGGGTTCAATGTGTAGGATGGGATAACTATAAAATGGCTATTATAACTACAGTATTAACAAAGTAAGTAGAGTAAATATAAGTAATTAACAGTGAATACCTAGTGAATAGCATGAACGCTAACTGTGACAGATGGAGGTGTGCGGGGTCCCACCTGCGGTCAGTGTGGTCCAGTCCGCTGAGCCGCACCCCTTCCAGCCTTTCGTTGCGTTCTCCACAAGTGTTTCCAAAGCTGTCGTATCCAAACAGCAGCCGAGCAGCGCCCCCAGTGACCACGGTGAAGCCGCAGATCCCGCCCTGACAGGACATTCACCGCTTAGGCCTCACAGTCACAGTTGATGACATCATACAAGGATTAGACCTGGCACCAAGCTTTATTTCTGCACTTTTACCCTCACACAGCCTTAAATTCTCGATAACCTGCCCAAGGAGATACAGCTAGCACCATCAATACCTTCTTTTAAATCACTTCTTAAAACCCACTTTTATCAAACAACCTTCCCACAACTGTCTGTTTTAAACTTCACATATCATTATTGTATTATACTTCTCCACATTGTATTGTTATGACTGTACTTTTATTGATTGATTGCAGCGCTTTGTAAACATTGTTTGTGAGAAGTGCTATAAAAACAATGAATTATTATTATTATTATCGTTATTTCAAGTGTAATGTGGATTTAAAGAACACATATTCAGAATCATTTGTGCTCATGTTAGACCTTAAAGCTAATCTTGAGAATACATGACAGAACACATGTGAATATAATGGATAAGTAGTAAAACTAGATACATTATATTATTTTTTTCCTGAGTGCTATTATAGTTTGTTGTTCTTCAGCATTCAATTTTATCTAATGTTTTTATTAGTTTGATTTATCTCCAACCAGCTCGCGTTAGAACAAAACAGAACAGACATTGTACATGGTCTGGAAAGGGGCTGAGTGAAGCGAGCTGTGAGTCCAGCCCCCGGAAGCCTCTGCTCATGTTCAGTCAATACAAAACGGAGAGAACAAAACTTAATTTAGAGGCTGAACGTTTGTTTTAAAAGGTCAAATCCTCTCTGTCATGATAACAATCTGAAGATCTTTCATACGCAACATGTTTGAAAACAGAGCCAGTGCCAGAAGCAGGACCTCAGACAAAGGAAGAATATGCCATCCATCCATCTATAGTCTTCCCCTTAATCAATTTCTGGGTCGTGAGGGTTCACGAATCACCCAGATTCACCCAATCCACAGATACTCCTGAAGAAAAACAAAAAATACCCTTTTGCATGGAAAATAAAGACAGGGTGAAATCCGAGGCACTCTGATAAAAAAGTCCTTTAATACAGAAGGGACCAACGCGTTTCGGCCACGCAGGGCCTTCTTCAGGGCAATGTAAGAAAACATTGAATGAACGGGTGTTGAAATAGACAAATGACATCCACTAAACTAGTCACCTGACACACAAGATCAGCCTCTATTGGATGAGACATTGAAGGAACGCATATGATAGGACCAGTGACGTCCACAGGACTCGTCACGTGATACAGTATATATATCCTCCCTTCATTTAAAAAGAATGGAGGGAGGATATTAAAACTATTGCAGACATTACAAGGTAAGTTACAAAGACCAAAGTAACACACAAAGATATGTGAGCAGATACATTACCAGAGGGGCCCCCCAAAAAATACCTAGTCAAATTGACAGAATACAGTGCAAATAATAAAAATTATAAAAACACTGAGAAGTCAACATCCTCATTTAACCCCGGAAAAATAGTGGCTTTGAGTTTGTCAATCCAGAAAGTTTCTCTTTGTGCCACAGATACTCCTGCTGGGGGTGAGTTCACAGGCTGTTGTGTTGATGACAGCTTAGCCCTGATATTTCAGGGGGGATTCAGGCAAAGTGGGTTTAAGTGTCCTGCCCAAGGACACAACAACAGCAGACATCAGTGGGAGTTGTGAAGAAGGCCTTGAGGTGGGGTCAAACCCACAACCTTCAGGCTTAAAGGCCAAAGCTCTACCAACTAAGCCACTGTCGCCCACAGGAAGAATATGCAATATTGTCAAATAGTGCTTGAAAGAGAGCGTTTAGAAAGATTGCACATTTCCAAAGACTGGTGAGTACTTCAGAACCCGTCATTGACCCCTGACCTTTACCACCGCCTTCTACTGTCACTGCACTGCACTGGTCAATGTCTATCGTGTGTACTTTCAATTCAACTCAATTTATTCTTGTATAGCCCTAAAGCCCAACAGTAGTAATCTCTGAGGACTTTACAAAACCGTTTTGTGTAGTAGAAATTTGAAGATAATTCTTTTGCATGAGTTACATCTGTTTTTACTTGTAAAAACTCGTTTACACAGGGGCGGCAGTGGCTCAGATCGTAGAGCATTGGCCTTTGAGCCTGAAGGTCATGGCCCACCATGAGACCATCTCCACCAACTCCCACTGATGTGAGTTGTTGTGTCCTTGGGCAGGACACTTTACCCCACTTTGCCTGAAGCCCCTGCTGAAATATCAAGGCAAACTGGAGCAGGCATCCTCCTGTGGATTCACCTCTGGCAGGAGAATCAGTGAGGGGCTGGTGCTATGTGAATGGGTTGCAGCTCTAACTGCCACACCCCACCCCCAGCCCAGAAATGGATTAATAAGGGGAAGAATATGGATGGATGGATGAAACTCGTTTACATGTTGAGCCAAAGCAAATTCCTAGTAGTGACCTTCTGTTACTTGCAATGGCAATACAAATATTTGGATTCTGATATGTACCACGCAGCGCTTCTTGTTGTTTTATCTTTGAAATGTATACAGTTTGTCTTTAGTGCTAAGGAAGAACCTAGGGGGCGCTCTAAATAAAATAGGTTTCAATGTTCACACTTTACATGCATGAACCTGCTTAAATGAGGCTGTTACCATGCCGACGCAGAAGGCGGTGAACAACAGGAACCAGGGCAGGTCTGTGCAGCTCCGGTCCTCCAGGGGGCGCCACTCTCGCTTAGGCCTCTGCAACAAACAAACACGTGAAATGAACATAATGTTATTCATGTTAATGTTGGTCTTGGACCCTGAACTGGACTTTATCCTAATAATGAACAAAACACAGGAGAAAAAACAGTGAAAACATGGAACACGTGAGCAGCAGCAGTAATCAACACAGTTTGCGTTCTCTACCTGCTTGTGTCCTCCATTTATATGTGGAGTTTACGTGTTCTGTGTGGGTTCTCTCTGGGTTCTCTGTTTTTCCCACCATCCAAAAATAAATAAAATCCTCCAGCTCTGACTCTGGCCAAGAGCATCAACTGCTGGAGAATGCTCCTGGGCGCTGCACTTCAGAGAATACTGCCCCTGACAGAGGCTCTAGTGGTATTGAAGGGTGGGTCAAATGCAGTGGACAAATTCCGATGTAGTGTTCACTGCAACTGTCTAAATAGAAACAAACTCACAATCTGAAAATGCGCCCTGCTCTGGTGACCTCTGCATTTTCTCTGCTGGCGTCACAGAATTTGTCAAAAGTAGAAAACACATTTTTCAGTAAAGACTATGAATGTTAGCCCAGCTGGAGGGAGCTGGACTGGACCCCTGTCCAGACAAGAGCCGCTGGACTCAGGAGTTTGATGAATCCTTTAGAACCCCTTAGAGAGCTGTCCGTGGTGCTGACCTCACAAACATGGACATGTCTCACACCTGCAGACCATGGAGCTGTCCATGGTGCTGAGTGCGCAGGTTTCGCCTATCACTGTCACGGATATGTGGTTAAATCGCACACGTAAACACACACGCGCGCGCGCACACACGCACACCCACACACTCACACACACATGATTGTGTTATTATGTAAAATAAATCAGACAGGCAGTAGAGGGATCCCGCTCTGCCGCTCTGCCTGCCACAGGCCTCACGCACACCGAGCTAACGGAACCGGCGATGGGCCACCTCTAATCGGATTAAACGCCTCTAATCTGGGCCCGTGTGGAGCGCGCTCCCGCGGCCCGTGCGAAGGGCACGCGGACACTATCAAGGAGGGTGGTTCCGGTAACGGACAGCTCGGTAGCCGTCAGGACGGACACGTACCTCCGCGCTGCCGCAGCATCCCATCGCAGAGCCCCGGCAGAGAGTGCAGAGAGCCCGCTCCAGAGCACAGCCACAGAGCACAGCCACAGCCTCAGAGGAACCAGAGGGACCAGCGGGGACGGGGCAGGAGCACGAGCGCGTCAGGACCGGACACTTCCTGTGGCTGACCGTGCAGCTCGCGGCTAAACAGCCAGTGCGCATGCGCACACACGGTGGACAAATGGCTCTAGGCTGCAGTACCCTGAGCACCCGCTGAATGAAGCTGTGCGGAAATCAGCGCTGTGGAGCTGGGAGCCATTAGGACTCGTGAACTCCCAAACGCATAATTAGCCCGTTAGTTAGTTATTAAGGCGAACATCCATCCATAATCTATCTACCTATCTAATGTAAAAAGCCATGTCAGCGTTCTTTGAATCAATGTCTATAGGTCAGTGCTATTCAATTCATGTAGAAGAATTTGAGCAGATGATTGTCTTGCCCAAAACACTTCAGATTCAGTCACATTGTCAGTCAGTGCATTGGCACCATACATGCCCATGACCCGTTTCATTGAACACTTTCATCACTCTGGGACCAGGTGACCCGAGACTACCAGATCTTGCTTGCAAAGCTCTAACCTGCTCTTTCTGTTTTGTGGCAGTAGTATACATCTGCCTGTATTTCAAGTGCAAGTCTCATAGTTTAATAAAGTTTAAAACTATGGTGTTCTTTTATTGAATATGACTTTCTCTAATAATGGCAGCCTTGTCTTGTCAAATTCAGCATTATTTTATAACTCATAATAGCAAAACTGCAGCTTCTGCAATGTTCAGATTAATCACAATACTCAGGAATGGATCACCCATCGGTTGTCAATGTTGTCTATGTTGGTGTGTGTATTTCTGTGCTTCAAATGTCAATGTCCAGGTCTTTTCTTATGGTCAAAGAAACCCACCTTGGTCTTTGATGCTGTCCCTCAGTTTGGGGATAACCCATAGAGCTCTTTACATTGTATTGTACTGGTGTAAATCCCTGTCACAGTCTGACCTCTGTGTGTCAGGTTGGTTTTGTTTTATATTTTGTTTGTTCATTTCTGCCTGAACACCACTGCCTCAAGAAATTGGAGATGTCTGTGTTGACAGTGCTTATATCTGTTGTGCCCCAGTATGTCCTCACTGCCGACTTGCATAATGAAATATATATCATATTTAATATACAATTTTCTGTATGAGTTCTGGTTGGGTTACTGTTCCTTCCACAGGCTTAGGGCTGAGGTTGGTTGAACAATGAGTGTTTGACTGTGTCAAGCTCATTGTTTATGTGTTACATTGCTTCATGGATGGACATTCTCACAGCACAAAAGCCTCTCGCTCTCCTCCACTCACTGTCTTTGGAGAATCTTGCAGCTATTGTCTCAGTGTTGACCTCACATTGCTACTGATTGTTGGTCATTGGTCTCTGCGGTGCATGCTTCGGACTCTGAGCTAGCAGCGTACAGAGGCCCCTTTCTCTCATCTCCTTCTAGTAGAGGTGCATTCTGGGGGGCTGAGTTGTCCCAGAGACCAGAATGCACCTCAGAATGTGCCTTGTGTGACTCCATTTTACAAGTTCACTGCATACCTTTGATCTATTTCAGCGGTGTCAAACCCCTTTTTGGTCGGGGCCAAAATTAAAAACATGCAGCCAGAAGTATAACAATCTTTTTTTCATGGAATCAAACACAACTGGTACAAATATATAAAGATTTATTTTAAGGCTGAAAAATATATTTGAAAAAAAAAACGAAAAAAAACCAAACGTATTAATAGTTGTATCAATGACAAGAGAAAATCACTTCAGGGGCCAATTTGGCCCATGGGCCTGAGTTTGACATGCTGGATCTGTATAGCAGTTAATAAAGTAGTAGATAAAGTAGTTCAATGAATCCTGAAAGACCCCTTGCGGTCTGGTCTTGGGGATGACTTGAACACGTTGAACATGTCTACTACTGAACTATGGCAGTGGTGGGCAAACCCTGAGCCCAGATGTGGCCCTTTGGCCCTCCTCAGTTTATATAGATGAAGTAAAAAGACGATAAAATCCCTCTGTGCTATTTCAACATTTGGACACCTGTAAAGTCATACCTGACAAGATAGCATCATTATATAATCTTTTTTCTTTACAATTTAAAGACAAATATATTTTTTGATTTTTTTCCTTTCATTCAGGATTGTAGACAGTTGAATGCTATTTCTATTTCTTTGTAAACATGACGTCAGAAAACGTATGTAACTATGTCAAGGATTTGTTTTGTTTCAAAAAAAGTTTGGAAAACAAAATAAAATCCCTCTATGCTCCGTGCAGAGGTCTGGAGCCGCAGATTTTATACATATTTTTATTTCCGTGCAAAAAAATAGGTCTGAGAAAAACATTATCAATTATTCCGGCCCCCGACAGCCGGCCGATATTCCAACCAATATTCCAATTCCAAACCCTTCCTCAGGAGGAAAGGTTTGCCCATTCTGATCTTTAGCATTTCTGTCCATCAGTATAGTACGGAGCATGGTTCCAACAACGTGTGTGGCCAAACCTGCGTGTCAACGCCAGATCCATAAACAGAGCAGGTCTGGTCAGTACTGTGATAATCAGAATAATGCATTGGTTTTTTACAGCGCTTTTTTGGACTCTCAAATACACTTCATGTCATTATTCTTTCACTCCATACACAGTGGTGATGAACTACTACTGTAGCCACAACTGCCCTGGGGTACACTGGCGGATGCAAGGCAACCACTATGTGCCCTCGGCCCCTCCCACCACCAACCATTCACACACACACCAGACTCATTCTAGGTAATGTGGGTCTTGCCTAAGGACACAGTTGGCCACTTTACAGCTGCAGCTGCCCCACTGTGTTCCCAGAGGTCTCTCATCACAGTACTAACCAGGCCCTACCCTGCTTGTCGGTTTGACACATTGCCAAGAACGAGTCTGGTGTGTGTGTGAGAATGTTTGTTAGTGGTCAGAAGGGCCGATGGCACAGACTGGTTGCCATGCTTCCACTGGTGCTCCCCAGGGCAGCTGTGGCTACAGTGTGTATGGAGTGAATGAAAAATGACATGCGAGGCGGCTCTGAGTGTCCAAAAAAGTGCTGTGCAAACCAATACATTATTATTATTATTATCCATCCATCCATTTTCTTCCCCTTAATCCATTTCTGGGTCAGGGGGGTAGCAGTCAGAGCTACACAGTACACATAGCACCAGCCCCTCACTGATCCTCCTGCAGGTGGTGAGTCCACAGAAGCCTTGATTATTCAGCAGGAACTTCAGGCAAAGCGGGGTTAAGTGTCTTGCCCAAGGACACAACGACAGCCGTCATCAGGGGGAGTCGTAAAGTAGGTCTTGTGGTGGGCTCGCCCCTTATTATTTTTATTATTATTATTATTGTTATTAATAATAATTTGATAACAATGGATAAAACGATGTCCATCAGTATTTTACAGACTGTGGTGATAACAATGCCCATGAAACAGGTACATATCTAACAGTGTATACAGTAAAACAGAATATATTTAACAGTATTTATACCCGGTATAAGTACTTGGGCTGGCTCTGGGTGCTGAGCTGGCGGCTGTACTCCACGGGCGCGTGTCGGGAGCGCTCCATTGGCTGCATTGGGCTGCGATGGTCAGTGCTTGTCCAATCAGGAACCTCCGGTGGGTGGGTCAGTTAGAAGGCCCTGCCACTCTCTTTTTGTGGTAAGGGCCCAGAGCCAGAACCATTATCCCGGGGCCCCTGAAAACAGATCAACATTTTAATATTCTAATGTATTTCTCAAAATCTTGCCACAGAGTACCTACTCTAGGTTACCATAGCAACCACAAACTAAACATGGGACTAATCTTGTCTCATTTACACAATAGAATATAATAATAATTTTATCAATAAATCATAAAAGAAAACAAGTTAATGTACTGTCAGTTAACTGCTTATGAAACAATGAAAAGAAATTCCACAAGTATCAAGTAACCACCCAGTCCTCCTCACATCGGTCATGACAGACTCCAAGAAAATAAGCAAAGATCCTGCGGGCGGTTATCCCTCTCTCAGCTCGGTCCTCTGCCAGAGGCCTGGGAGCTTCAGGGATCTGCACAGTATCTTTGCTGTTCCAAGCACTGCACATTTCTGGTCCGAGATTTCAGAAGTTGTTCTGAGGATCTGCTTTAATCACTTCTCCAGCTTTGGGATCACTGCACCACAGCACTACTGTCACCTTCACCCTCAGACCCTCTCTCTACTGTCACCTTCACCCTCAGACCCTCTCTCTACTGTCACCTTCACCCTCAGACCCTCTCTCTACTGTCACCTTCACCCTCAGACCCTCTCTCTACTGTCACCTTCACCCTCAGACCCTCTCTCTACTGTCACCTTCACCCTCAGACCCTCTCTCTACTGTCATCTTCACCCTCAGACCCTCTCTCTACTGTCACCTTCACCCTTAGACCCTCTCTCTACTGTCACCTTCACCCTCAGACCCTCTCTCTGCTGTCACCTTCACCCTCAGACCCTCTCTCTACTGTCACCTTCACCCTCAGACCCTCTCTCTGCTGTCACCTTCACCCTCAGACCCTCTCTCTACTGTCACCTTCACCCTCAGACCCTCTCTCTACTGTCACCTTCACCCTCCCTTCACCCTCAGACCCTCTCTCTACTGTCATCTTCACCCTCAGACCCTCTCTCTACTGTCACCTTCACCCTCAGACCCTGCATCAGCCTCAGACCCTCTCTCTGCTGTCACCTTCACCCTCAGACCCTCTCTCTACTGTCACCTTCACCCTCAGACCCTCTCTCTACTGTCTCTCTACTGTCACCTTCACCCTCAGACCCTCTCTCTACTGTCACCTTCACCCTCAGACCCTCTCTCTACTGTCACCTTCACCCTCAGACTCTCTCTCTACTGTCACCTTCACCCTCAGACCCTCTCTCTACTGTCACCTTCACCCTCAGACCCTCTCTCTACTGTCACCTTCACCCTCAGACCCTCTCTCTACTGTCACCTTCACCCTCAGACCCTCTCTCTACTGTCACCTTCACCCTCAGACCCTCTCTCTACTGTCACCATCACCCTCAGACCCTCTCTCTACTGTCACCTTCACCCTCAGACCCTCTCTCTACTGTCACCTTCACCCTCAGACCCTCTCTCTACTGTCACCTTCACCCTCAGACCCTCTCTCTACTGTCACCTTCACCCTCAGACCCTCTCTCTACTGTCACCTTCACCTTCAGACCCTCTCTCTACTGTCACCTCCACCTTCAGACCCTCTCTCTACTGTCACCTTCACCTTCAGACCCTCTCTCTACTGTCACCTTCACCCTCAGACCCTCTCTCTACTGTCACCTTCACCTTCAGACCCTCTCTCTACTGTCACCTCCACCTTCAGACCCTCTCTCTACTGTCACCTTCACCTTCAGACCCTCTCTCTACTGTCACCTTCACCCTCAGACCCTCTCTCTACTGTCACCTTCACCTTCAGACCCTCTCTCTACTGTCACCTTCACCCTCAGACCCTCTCTCTACTGTCACCTTCACCCTCAGACCCTCTCTCTACTGTCACCTTCACCCTCAGACCCTCTCTCTATTGTCACCTTCACCCTCAGACCCTCTCTCTGCTGTCACCTTCACCCTCAGACCCTCTCTCTGCTGTCACCTCCACCCTCAGACCCTCTCTCTGCTGTCACCTCCACCCTCAGACCCTCTCTCTACTGTCACCTTCACCCTCAGACCCTCTCTCTACTGTCACCTTCACCCTCAGACCCTCTCTCTACTGTCACCTTCACCCTCAGACCCTCTCTCTACTGTCACCTTCACCCTCAGACCCTCTCTCTGCTGTCACCTTCACCCTCAGACCCTCTCTCTACTGTCACCTTCACCCTCAGACCCTCTCTCTGCTGTCACCTTCACCCTCAGACCCTCTCTCTGCTGTCACCTTCACCCTCAGACCCTCTCTCTACTGTCATCTTCACCCTCAGACCCTCTCTCTGCTGTCACCTTCACCCTCAGACCCTCTCTCTACTGTCACCTTCACCCTCAGACCCTCTCTCTACTGTCACCTTCACCCTCAGACCCTCTCTCTACTGTCATCTTCACCCTCAGACCCTCTCTCTGCTGTCATCTTCACTCTCAGACCCTCTCTCTCTGCTGTCACCTTCACCCTCAGACCCTCTCTCTACTGTCATCTTCACTCTCAGACCCTCTCTCTGCTGTCACCTTCACCCTCAGACCCTCTCTCTACTGTCACCTTCACCCTCAGACCCTCTCTATACTGTCACCTTCACCCTCAGACCCTCTCTCTACTGTCACCTTCACCCTCAGACCCTCTCTCTACTGTCACCTTCACCCTCAGACTCTCTCTCTACTGTCACCTTCACCCTCAGACCCTCTCTCTACTGTCACCTTCACCCTCAGACCCTCTCTCTACTGTCACCTTCACCCTCAGACCCTCTCTCTACTGTCACCTTCACCCTCAGACCCTCTCTCTACTGTCACCTCCACCTTCAGACCCTCTCTCTACTGTCACCTTCACCCTCAGACCCTCTCTCTACTGTCACCTTCACCTTCAGACCCTCTCTCTACTGTCACCTTCACCCTCAGACCCTCTCTCTACTGTCACCTTCACCCTCAGACCCTCTCTCTACTGTCACCTTCACCCTCAGACCCTCTCTCTACTGTCACCTTCACCCTCAGACCCTCTCTCTACTGTCACCTTCACCCTCAGACCCTCTCTCTACTGTCACCTTCACCCTCAGACCCTCTCTCTACTGTCACCTTCACCCTCAGACCCTCTCTCTACTGTCACCTTCACCCTCAGACCCTCTCTCTGCTGTCACCTTCACCCTCAGACCCTCTCTCTGCTGTCACCTTCACCCTCAGACCCTCTCTCTACTCTCACCTTCACCCTCAGACCCTCTCTCTACTGTCACCTTCACCCTCAGACCCTCTCTCTACTGTCACCTTCACCCTCAGACCCTCTCTCTACTGTCACCTTCACCCTCAGACCCTCTCTCCACTGTCACCTTCACCCTCAGACCCTCTCTCTACTGTCACCTTCACCCTCAGACCCTCTCTCTACTGTCACCTTCACCCTCAGACCCTCTCTCCACTGTCACCTTCACCCTCAGACCCTCTCTCTACTGTCACCTTCACCCTCAGACCCTCTCTCTACTGTCACCTTCACCATCAGACCCTCTCTCTACTGTCACCTTCACCCTCAGACCCTCTCTCTACTGTCACCTTCACCCTCAGACCCTCTCTCTACTGTCACCTTCACCTTCAGACCCTCTCTCTACTGTCACCTTCACCCTCAGACCCTCTCTCTACTGTCACCTTCACCCTCAGACCCTCTCTCTACTGTCACCTTCACCTTCAGACCCTCTCCTGCTCCTCTCTCTTTTGTCACCTTCAGACCCTCTCCTGCTCCTCTCTCTACTGTCACCTTCACCTTCAGACCCTCTCCTGCTCCTCTCTCTTTTGTCACCTTTACTGTTGAATATTCTGGAAACAGCATCAATCCAAAAGTAGACCTGAAACCGTTGTCGTTTTGTGCTTTAGAATTGTTATTTTCTTCCTTTTTCTTGCTGTCCATAAACCTCAGTACAGTCATAGTTTTACACTGATCAACCCCAGAGCAGAGCAGATGCAGCGTCCAAACCAAGCAGATCAAGCGTTAATCCACTGGAAGAATGATATTTTATGGAAAAATGCTAATAATGTATTTTACTGCAGAGAAAACCAAGCAGACTTTGCAAACATCAATCAGAGGATAGGAACCTTTTGCACTTCACTAATGTTTGTAACTTTTAGAATGATGTATTATTGTAACATCTTCAATGTTAGTACCATATGAACCAGCCCGGACTCTGAGGAGCTCAGGGACTGGACTCCTGCTAGTGCCCAGAGTCAGAACTAAACATGGGGAGGCTGCTTTTCAGATTCATGCTGCTAAAATCTGGAACAGTCTTCCTGAAGATGTGAGACAGGCCTCCTCAATGACAATGTTTAAAACCAGGTTAAAGACAGTTCTGTTTAACTGTGCATACAACTGAGGGATTTTATATTTTTATCTTTCGTTTTAATGTTCTGTGATTATTTATGATTTTAATGCTTTCTTATTTTGTTCAGCACTTTGAATTGCCTTGTGTATGAATTGTGCTATATAAATAAACTTGCCTTGCCTATTATTTGCTTTGCTTGTTTGTGTTTCTGATGCTGAATTTCTCCCATGGGGATCAATGAAGTTTCTATCTATCCACCTTCAGACCCTCTCCTGCTCCTCTCACTACTGTCACCTTTACCATCAGACTTGCTGATCCAAAGTTCCCATTGAAATCCATCCAACTTCAGCTCTTCATATGTGAATCAATAAGAACATGACAAAGGAAATGTTTTTAATGATCAAAACCATTTTACAATCTGTGTTGTTGGCCCCCAGACAAGTATGATCCCTAAAGTTAAATCTGTCTTAAAAGCTTGATAAATACAATACAAGCAAAGTATCATCAAAAATGTTTTTTTCAACCATTTTTAATAACTTGCCAAAATAACTTAAATCTCAATCTTGAACAATTCAATAAATCAAAACTCTCAAATGTCCACCTTTACACGTCACTGTCAACACTATGTTCTTTGTTTTCTCTTTTCATAACTCATGTCTGTTTGAGGGGTTGTCAGAGCAATGGTGTCTTCATGAAAATATAAGAGACTGATTTGAAAACTATTAATCGGTCTGAGTCTGCTGAGTTTTGGGACAGACACCCACCATTTATAAATGTTCAATATGTAAATTAATTATCAGAGTTTAAGCTCAACACTTTGCACAGTATTCTTCTCACCTTTGCTGATGATCCAAATCTTCAAATTCAAAAATTCCAATCCAATCCTGAAACAAAGTGGATCAGAAAATACTCCCAATGACAAATATCAGATCAGCTTTGGATAAACCAGTGGTGGTCCATGGTCCCGCTGGCTTCAGTCCACTTTAGCTCAGTTTGTAGTCCTGGTTCTGTCCTAGTTCTGTATTGGTTCTGTTATGATTTAGTCCTGGCTCAGTCCTGGCTCAGTCCTGGTTCTCTGGACACTGAGGCTGCGATGAGGCCTGGGATAGTGCAGTCTTTGTCCTCTTGTTGTCACTGTACCAGCCTGTGCCCATACACACTGCTCTGAACAATAGTAATGTGCTGGCTACTTACTCAGTTACACTCCAACACTTTGGAACGGACTTTACTCAAGTCATTTTACTTATAATATTTCTGAATAGGCCATAACATTAACAGTTTAATGCATACATACTCAAATATATACAAAATGTACAGTATATACGTACAATTTAATGTCCACATTTGTAAACAAGAGAGTGTGACTACATCTATGAAAAGTGTGATTCATTTCTTAAAACTAACTTATAAATAAATAAACAAACAAATCTATAATATAAAACTAGTTCCTTACTCTGCAAAAATGAATGATTCTATCACTGGTTTTCACATCATGTACGTTTGACCTCTGCCCCATCTTTAGATCAAGCTTTTCTGACAGTAAAAAAAGAGAACTACCCTCACTCAGCCAATCAGAACTCAGCCTAAAGAGTAGAACATTGACTCACAGGCCTCTTTCTACTGATGCAGATGATGATAGCATGTTGGTCTGATTTTTCACAGCATTTTATTTAAAAACTGGGACAAACATGTGTTATCTATAAAGAAGTTCCACTGCTCTCCATAAACACATTAACAAGGTTAATCTGTGTTTGAGTGTACAAGTGTCATGAGAAGCTGTTTTTGCAGTGTCTGCAGACACTGGCTGAGAGCCCCCCATGTCAGTGTGACATCACTGTGGCGGGCTCTAATTCTGACATGAGTCAGTGCTGTTGGACAAGTCTTTAGTGTCACTCTGAAGCCCCCCCTTACTATACTACACTAAACTCACACTGCTACTATATAAACCTCATTAAAGGTTCCATATTACGCTTTGACTTTTCTCTGCCTTAAACATACTGTAACTATAGTGCTGTTTGGCCTCATGTGCTCAAAGAAGTGTTTTCACTGATTCCCTCAAGCTGTAGTTAGAGTGATCTTTCTCTTTCATTCTGAGAGGCAGCAAAACGACTCGTTTCTTTTTTTACTGTTACGTGGCATCACTTTCTAACGCAGCACGAGCTCCAGAAGGCCGCCTCCAGGAGGGAGAACTCAAAACAGTGAACATGCACACAGCATATGGTCTGAGTCTACCACAGTCTGTGTTCACTTCTATACTGTTTTTCTCCACATACGCTCAGAATAGACTGTGAAAAATGGGATCTTTAAACAAATCCCACTTCTAGTAAAAAAAAACAATGATATGCATATCAGCTTTAATTCATTCTATTTAGGGTTTCTTAAAGATGAAAGCATTTGTGGTGTGACTTGACATATAAACAATATGAATCAGGCCTTTGCTAGGTTAGCTTCATGTTGGGACAAACAAAATATGGGGTTAAATACCCCAGCTTTAATAAAAATAATGTTCCACTCATGTTATAACTTTTCAAACAACGTATATGTAAAAACACCAGAATAAAAAAAGCAGTCTTGTGGTCGACATGGGGCCACTACTTCCCTCTACTGGTGCCAGCAGGAATTACAATCTGCAATGCAAGCCAGTTAAAGCACAACTGAAACATGTTGATTTAAGTGAACAAGTGAACAGTGTAGGCAGGAATCCTCAGGACTCTTTTGGAGATAATCCACTTGTTTAAAACAGGCAACAGGAGGTCACAGAACAGGATACTGTCAGTGCGCATGACAGACTGGGAGCTGTCACTTCCTGCTCTTGCCGCCTCCTGATTGGCTGCTCGGGGAAGTCACTTCCTATTCCTGCTTTTGCCGCCCCATGATTGGCTGCTGGGACAGTCACTTTCTGCTCTTTTTCTTGCCGCCTCCTGATTGGCTGGTGCGACACAGCGGAGCTGCTGGGGGTTTGCAGGTCTTGTAGGCGGCAGACTTCCTGATACGCGCTCCTTTCAGTGTCACCACACGGGGCAGCAGAGAGGGCGCCCGCACACTGACCCCGCCCCCCTCTGGAGACCACACCTTCACGTCAATCACATCCCCGGGAGGCGGAGTCACAGCCACCCAGCCTATGGCACACGGGAATGTTTGTTAGTTTAGCAAGAGCAGGAAAGCAAAACGTTTCTGTCCAACTAGATCACAGTCACCGTAGTGTACAGAGACAAATAACACACAATCTACATTTCTGAGCTTTAACCATGTTCTAGTGGTTTATTTGTTTTCATTTTAGGAATCAAACGTAAGTAATTTTTATTCCACAGCACTATTATTACTTGATAAAAAACATTTGCTCAGTGCCAACTTTTGGGTGTAAGTGAATATAATTGTGCTTTTAAGTTTAACTCAGTCAAATTACAAAAGTGCTTTTATCTTTCTATCTTTGTTATCAGTTGTCTATTTTTCATTGAGCCGCTCTGGGGAAATCTCAGAATTATCAGAAACTGGGGGTTTTTTGTCAAAAAGAGTGGGCAGCTGCGCCATCAGAGAAACTCAAGAACCACTAGAGACTCAAACTGTAAAAGATGTTAAAAGGCGAGAACTGGGGGATGGAGATCAGGGCCAGAAGACGAGTGAGGACATGGAGGGCATTTTTTGCATCATTGTCAGTTGTGCCTGGGGATGCAAACTTTCAAGGACTAAAAACAAGCTTGTATTTTCATTACAAAAAATTGGAAATGCCTAAGGAAACAACTCTTAACATTGTGAAAATGCACAGAAAACCCTGAAGGTTCTGCTGCTGCTGCTCTGCTGCCGCAGAGTACTGGTACCACACTGTTACTGCACTGGTACCACACTGGTACCCAGTGTTGGGCACGTTACTTTGAAAAAGTAATTAGTTATAGTTACTAGTTACTTCTCCCAAAAAGTAACTGAGTTACTAACGGAGTTACTCGACTATAAAAGTAACTAGTTACCAGTAAAAGTAACTATTGCGTTACTTTTTTGTTTTGTTCTGAAACATAATGTGCACTCGACGTGCGCATTTTTACCTTTAACCTCAGCGAGTCTGAAACAGTGCCAATATTTCCATCTAGAAAAGTCTGTTTTGCAGCTGAAGTCCTGTTCACTCTTCATCTCTCTCTGTGCTGTAAGCACTAAACACCAACACGCTCCACTGTGAATGTGGAAACACCGGTGAAGCACTGACTTCAGCCCAATCAGATGAACATAACTTTGCGACAGTAGCTCAGTTGGTAGAGCATTGGCCTTAAGGCCAGAAGGTCGTGGGTTCAATTCCCACCTCTCCACCGACTCCCACTGATGACTGCTGTCGTTGTGTCCTTGGGCAAGACACTTAACCCCACTTTGCCCAAAGCTCCCACTGAAAGATCAAGGCTGTGCTCACACTCAGTGAGCAGCCGTCCTCCTGTGGACTCACCACCTGCAGAGGGTCAGTGAGGGGCTGGTGCTATGAGACTTGGGTGGCATCTCTGACTGCCACCCCCCTGACCCAGAAATGGATTAAAGGGTAGAAAATGGATGGATGGATGGACAGATGAACATATATATCATATAAATCAACAGGACCAAGAGAGCGGCATATTCACAATTTGTTTGGCTACAGCAGAATATGTTTCATGCCCGCATTGTTTGTTCAGACAAAACGCAAAACTATGAGTTATGGGTCTTACCTTATAAATGACCTGCACAGACCACTTCGGTTCAGACCAGTTCTGTGTTTAAGTCCAGATAATGGTTTGAGCGTAGATATGTAATCCTCCATTTGGAAATGAGTCCAATGAGTTTTAAAAAGTAAAACAAAACGCGTGTGTCCTCCATAAACTCCTCTGTTTTGCTAGCTGCAGCCGGGTGCATCCAATTTCTAAAATCAACCGTCTTACACTTCCTCTCTTTCTTATCATTCCTATAGTCATTGAAAAATTACCCTAAGTGCATTTTAAATTATCTTAAAATGTGTTACATGTATGTTAGCCAAACCTGTTGCTGTCCTTAGCAGATAAACCAGGAGGAGAAAGGAGCTTTTGGATGGAATTGTATGCAGCCGACTTCTGCACTCACATGCGCTCCTCTGAGGCTGGCCTCACGGTGATACAAGCTGTGGTTGAGCGCAATTAAGACCCATATTTGTTTCAAAAACACAATTTATGAGCATCCTCTCAACTGTAGACATGTAGATTGTAAAGGAAATATGTTTTACATCAGCCAATAATTGCTGAGAGGTTTTCTCATCCTCCCTTCTCTCATGACAACACGCGCACGAGTCCTATCACGAAGTAAAAAGAGAAGTTCATTGTGCGTCTTTAGTAACGCGCAGTAACGGGATGTCGGAAATGATAACGGCGTTATAGTTACAGTCAAAGTAATTAGTTAGATTACTCGTTACTGAAAAAAGTAACGCCGTTATTCCCATCACTGCTGGTACCACACTGGTACCACACTGTTACTGCACTGGTACCACACAGGTACCACACTGTCACCGCACTGTCACCGCACTGTTACTGCACTGGTACCGCACTGTTACTGCACTGGTACCGCACTGGTACCACACTGTTACTGCACTGGTACCACACTGGTACCACACTGGTACCACACTGGTACCACACTGGTACCACACTGGTAACACACTGGTACCACACTGGTACCACACTGGTAACACACTGGTACCTGCAGAGGAGATCTTGATGTCGGCCGCTGCCTCGTCGAAGCCCTTCCCCTGGATCTGTATCTCCATGGGGACGAGGGCGGGGAAAGTCTTCATGCGCTCGGCTCCTCCCATCGGAACCTGCAGCAACACATCACTATGAAGCCTATAGCACCATAATCACACATTTACTGGCATGACATAGAGCAGGAAATATTAGATCATCTAAACCAGGGGTGTCGAACTAGACATAAGTTTGGATATTATTTTCTGGTAGGTTTGTGTTCAGGTTTTGTGGGGTAGTATGTACAGAGTAAGTAAGTACGCCTTTCACAGAACAGAGTGACAAAGCAGTTTATAATTGTGAGCATTTGTCTCTCACTCCACAAGTGACAGTGGCTCAGTTGGTAGAGCACTGGTCTTTGGACCTAATGGTCGTGAGTGACACTAAACCCCACATTGCCTGAAGCCCCCACTGAAAGATCAAGGCCATGTTTTCGATGACGGAGAATCCATCATCCTGTGGACCCACCACCTGCAGGGGGATCAGAGGGACTGGTGCTTTGAGACTTGGAAGCTCTGATTGCCACCCCCCGACCCAGAAAAGGATTAATATAGGGGAAGAAAATGAAATGAAATGAAAATGAAGGTTTGGGTTCAACCACAATGTTGCCAAATATCAAGGGATGTAAATGAGGACTGAGTTAACTGTACAAAAAATAAATCTTTGGCCTGTGATGGCAAGCGGCTAGTATTCATGGCGGCTAGTATTCATGTAACCCTGCCGCGGCTTCTATTCATATGTCCCTGCTCCAGGAAGGAGCCGGGTTCCCCCGACACCTACAGACAATGACGCAAATCACTGTATCACTCTTGCCCCCTTTCGCCTCTTGCATATGTATCGGTCTGTATGTGTGCATTTTCTACATCCTGCAGTCTGTTTGCATCCCTATGGCGCGGCCAGATGGTCTCTCCCCGGGGCATGGCGTCTCTGCTCCAGAGCCCCGTCTCTGCTGAACCCCCTCCCATCTGTTGTGGGCGGGACTGTCTTTTTTCGTGTGTGTCTTGTAAACAGGAAACTCGGAGCTGAGCTGAGAATTCTGAGGAAAGAGCTGAAGACTGCTGTTCACAAACGCTACATCCATGCCAACCTCACTGAGCTTCGAGCTGTTTTTGTCACGGAAGAATGGGCAAGAATTCCAGTCTACTCGATGTGCAAAACTGTAGATACATACCCCAAGCGACATGCAAGCTGTAATTGCATCAAAGGTGCGCTAGCAAAGAATTATCGCCAGGGGGCCGAAGAATGATTTGCACCCCTCACTTTTCAGTTTTTTAATTTGTTTAAAAAGTTTAAATTATCTAATACATTTCGTTCACTTCACGATTGTGTCCCACTGTGTTGGATTATCTTGACAAAAAAATTAAATTTTTATTATCTACTATGTTTGAAGCCATGAAATGTGTGCGATAATGTTTGAACAGGATCAATAACCTTCGCAAGGCACTGTATATATAAAGGTCCTCTGAATGTATATATGCCGCGCTCAGCGGACTGAGGGTAGAGCAATGGAGGCGTGCATAAACAAGCAATAAAAAAACTCAACATGCATGAATCGTGTGGTGTGGTGTGAAATTTTAATGACAAAATACGAGAACTTTTTTTAAGGATTTGTCACCTTCAGACGGCACATTTTGGCGAGTGGTTAGCACATGCTTCACAGTAAAATGTGCTGGTTTGAATCCACCCCAGACAGGCCTTCTTGTGTCGCAATCGTAAAGCTTTGTGACTCCTGGGCAGTGAAAGGACAACAGCTCTTTACAACAACCTGCTCTTGGAATACAGTTGTAGTTTAGAGTATTGAATGTTCCTATCTTGATATCGAAAATGATAATATCTTCAGCCGTGTGTGTGATGTGTGTGCCAGCAATGTCAAGACAAAACCGCAACATTCAGATCCCAACCCCCAGTCCCACAGACAGTCCATGCAGTTGAGCTCGGGAGCTGACCTGCCTCTGGTCCCTGCCTCTCGATGGTGGCGTTGCTCCGTAGGCTGAACACGACTCCACGCTGTAGTCCGAGCTCACCCCAACAAGAGCAGGACTCTCACATGAGCCCGTCATCCACCACCGAGCACCCCACAGGCCAGTCTGCGAGAGGGCAGCGCCGCAGGTACTCCTCACAGAACAGCAGGGACACAGAAGATAGAGTCAGCCCGACTTGTTACAAGGCTTTTTTCATAAAATCTGGGATTTTTTAGTTTCAATCTCAAACTGATCAACAACTTTTAAATTAAAAATGTGACCTTATGTAATCAATCATTTTAAATTGGGCATCTACTTTGTTTTTTATGTTTCCTGAGATTGTTAATCCATGTAAAATATGATATTTGTTCCATCTGAAACCAAATATTTTAGTGGAAAAAGATTAAAAATATAACAAACATAGTATTTAAGGTCAAGCTGAATAGCCAAGCAGAGAACAGAAGTGGCTCTCATTGGGGTTTCCAGTTTGTTAGATGAAATGAAGCTGACTTTAGCCCTATCTAAACTCACAAACAAACACATCTCCACTCCTCCATTCCAATTTCTACCCTTTAATAACCATTTCTGGTCAGGGGGTGGTGCAGTCAGGAAGATGCCACCAAGACTCATATACACCATAGCCCCTCACTGACACCTCTGCAGGTTGGTGAGTCCACAGGAGGACGGCTGCTCTCTGAGTGTAGCAGAGCCTTGATCTTTCAGTGGGAGGCTTTGGGCAAAGTGGGGGTTAAGTGGGTCTTGCCCAATGACACAACGACAGCAGTCAACAGTGGGAGACGGTGGAGCAGGTATGAGAGGATTGAACCCACAGACTTTCAGGCCTGAATGGGCCAATGCTCTACCAACTTAGCTAACTGTCGCCCCAAACACATAAAACTCGGCGATTTATTGAAGCGAAAGCTGTAAAACAAGTATCCATATGTATCACACAGATTTTGGCACATTTTCTAACAAAACTCCAGCAGGTTGATTGCATTGGTATACAGAGAAGTATAGGACGCTGTAATGGATGTGAAAAGGTAGGTTGAAGCCATCCTCTTTGGCTCCTCAGGATGTGTGGATTGATTGGGGGTTATTTAATTAGAACCAGTTGTTGTTAGAATGCGTTTGATGCTTCTAAACTTATATATAAAAATAAATACTTCTTAAAAAGTTTCATTTTGATCAGAAAATTATGAGAAATTATAGACAAAAGGTTAGGTCCCGGGACTAATTAAGAGATAGAGACTACAAAATAAATAACAGACAAAATCTATAAAAGTAGAAAAAAGGTAAGGAACTTTGGGAAAAAAAGAAAAAAAGGGTTAACAAAGAAAAGAGATGAAAAAAAGGAGTATTTTTTCATTTTTTTCAAATACATTAATGATTGAATATGTCTATATGAGAAATATATATATATATATATATATATATTATATATATATATATATATATATATATATATAATATATATATATATATATTATATATTCATATATAAAGTTTTTAAAGAGGGGTATAACAGCCATGAGCCGGTTTGGCTTTTTCATAGTTACCCATATCAGTATTTATCCGGCCCTATTTTTCTCCAGTAAATTTAGGTAAAAAATTTAAAAAAGCACTCGCTGAGAGCAGACCTCTGTCAAGAAACATGGTTCCATTCCTTAAAGAAAATCCTAGATCCAGATGGTTATTCAGATATTCTAATATCTAAATTGACTGAAGAAACAAAATAACAAACTATCCCATTGAAAACATGAACACTGGCATAAGATAATAAACCCATTTTATCCATATGGCTTGAATCTCAACGTGAGTAACAGCATCAGCAACAGCAACAACTGCAGCAACAACATCAGCAGCAACAACAGCCGCAGTCGAAGCAACAACAGCAGCAGTCGAAGCAACAACAGCCGCAGTCGAAGCAACAACAGCTGCAGTCGAAGCAACAACAGCAGCAGTCGAAGCAACAACATCAGCAGCAGCGGCAACAACAGCCGCAGTCGAAGCAACAACATCAGCAGCAGCGGCAACAACAGCCGCAGTCGAAGCAACAACAGCCGCAGTCGAAGCAACAACAGCAGCAGTCGAAGCAACAACAGCAGCAGTCGAAGCAACAACAGCAGCAGTCGAAGCAACAACAGCAGCAGTCGAAGCAACAACAGCAGCAGTCGAAGCAACAACAGCAGCAGTCGAAGCAACAACAGCAGCAGCAACAGCAGAAGTTCTACTAATGACCTTGTAAATGCAGTACTAATAGCAGCAGATGCAGTGTGGAAAGTTCTAATAACAAATTATCTGTTTTAATTAATATATAGTCTAGTACTTTAATACAAAGTCTTTCCTCTACTGAGCAGAAGTAAAGGCAGCCACAGCAGTAGTAGTAATTACAGTAGCAAAAGTATTTAGTAGTAGCAGTAATAGTAGTGATAGCACTAGTAAAAGCAGCAGCAGCAGTAGCAGCAATAGTAGTGGTAAAAGCAGCAGTATAATATCACCAATAACAGTAGTAGCAGCTGTAGTGGTACTAGTTGCAGTAGTCGTAGTAGGGTCTGAGTAGTAGTAGTAGTTGCATAACAGCAGTAGTTGTGCTAGTAGTAGCTGCACATGCCGCAGCAGTAATGTAGACCTACTGGCAGTAACAGTACTAGCAGTAAGAGTTCTAGGAGTAAGAGTACTAGAGGTAGCAGCAGCGGCAGCAGCAGCAGCGGCAGCAGCAGCGGCAGCAGCAGCAGCAGTAACAGTAGCAGCAGTAACAGTAGCAGCAGTATGAGTGGGACCTCTTTCCGATGATCTGGGCGTAGGTTTTGACCAGGTAGTCCGAGATGTTCCTGGAGGTGAGGTTCTGAAGGGCGTCAGTGGCACTCAGCTTCATCTGTGATACATGGACCACACACACACACATCCAACACTGAGCAACTGTTAATATTAAAGCCATACTGCAAAACCCTCTCCATGGACATCGGTTCATGAGGATCAAGTGCATAATCTTCCATAGAACTGTGGAATATTCCAGACTGTAATCAAGTAAGGCAAGGAATAAAAGGTCCGCCTCCAAGTTCCTGGTGTTAAACTGAGGCTCCGAGTGATTGAAACACTCGGCCTCATGACATCACATGTGCTCTGACACTGAGCTCAAGACCCACTTTTCTTGGACATTTTTAGCTGATTTGATTTGACAAACACTGACGACCTGACCTCACGTCGTGCATCTATGCAATAATTTGAATAATGTCAGAATGTGCAATACAGAACCACACGTGTCCACTGCCACTTTGTCCCAGACCCTCATGCTGCTAACATGTACAGATGTACAGTATAAATATATATATATATATATATAGTTTATTATGCTATAGTCAGAGATGTTATACTTCATTCTTGTTGGAAGTTTGTCATTTTAGACTTGATTCCTTATTATGCTAAAACTACGGGTTTTATACTTGCTTCTTTATTATGATAAAGTTAGAGATTGTTTTATTTTTTATTTTAGTTTACAGTTTTTGTCCATTTCTGTAAGTGGTGATGCAACACTGAAATTTCCTGACTCTGGGGACAAATAAAAGATCTCTTAAGCACAGTGTGTTACTTTTGATTGTGTGAAATGTGCTCGATAAATGAGTGACCTTTAGGTTCCAGTGTGAGGGTGTGAGGTGCTGTGTCTGACCTGGGGCGGGGGCAGTCCTCCGGCTCCAGGGGGACACTCTGGCAGCATGCGCTTGTTGCCGTCACAGCTGCAGTAGCAGGCAGGGGAGGGCTCGCTCATGGACCAGTTACTCGGAGAAGAGAAGACCTCCAGCACGTCCTCTGGGACAGGGGGGACCGACCACTCCTCGTCCCCCATGGTGCACGGCGTATCCCTGCAGACAGGCGCCACACAAGTGTCACACACAAGTTTATGGTTAGATGTGATACAACTCTTAATGAATTGTGTAATCATTTCTCTTCACAGTTTAATTTGATACTTTCTCTCTTTATTGAAAAAGAAATATGCAAGAGTGTTCCAAATGATATGCTTCAATGAGATTGGTGTGACGAGGATTTTAAATACAATCTCATATCATACATAGACTTTTCAGAATCAGAATCAGAATCATTTTTATTGCCACGTAAGTAACAGGAGGTCACAGACTTGGAAATTGCTTTGGCTCAGTGCAACAGTCAAAAAGAGATAATAAAAATAAGAATAAAAAACACTTCTAAAGAATAAATTTAAATTTAAAATAGAGTTACAGTTACTATTTACAATATACAAGTGCACATGGTGCACACAATGTAAGGTGACAGCAGTACAGTGAAGTAAAGTGAAGTATGATGGGCAGTAAAGTGACTTTATAAAGGGCGGGGGGACAGGTTAAGAAGTGTTCAAGAGTCCAACAGCAGAGGGGAAGAAACTGTTCTTGTGGCGGGAGGTTCTAGTCCTGATGGACCGCAGCCTCCTGCCTGAGGGGAGTGGTTGGAATAGTCCATGTGCAGGGTGAGAGGGGTCGGCTGTGATACGACCAGCCCGGCCTCGAGCTCGGGCGACGTACAGGTCCTGCAGCGATGGAAGGCTGCGGCCGATCACTTCCTCTGCAGAGCGCACAATGCGCTGTAGTCTCTGTTTGTCCCTGACTGTGGCTCCAGCGAACCACACGGTGATGGAGGAGGTGAGGATGGACTCGATGATGGCCGTGTAGAACTGCACCAACATCTGTGCAGGCAACTTGGCTTTCCTGAGGTGCCGCAGGAAGTACATCCTCTGCTGGGCCTTCTTGATGAGGGAGCTGATGGTCGGCTTCCACTTGAGGTCCTGGGTGATGGTGGTGCCCAGGAAACGGAAGGACTCCACAAAGGTGATGGGGGAGTCCATCACGGAGGGTGGGGGCGGGGGGACAGTGCTCTTCCTGAAGTCCACAATCATCTCCACTGTCTTCTGGGCGTTCAGCTCCAGGTTGTTACCACTGCACCAGGACACCAGCCGGTCCACCTCCCTCCTGTAGGCGGACTCATCGTTGTTGGAGATGAGTCCAATGAGGGTGGTGTCGTCCGCGAACTTGATCAGCTTCACTGAGTCGTGGCTGGAGGTGCAGTGGTTGGTGTACAGGGAGAAGAGCAGGGGAGAAAGAACACAGCCCTGTGGGGCTCCTGTATTTATAATCCGAGAGTCCGAGACATTCTTCCCCAGACGCACTCGCTGCTTCCTGTCCGTCAGGAAGTCAGTGATCCACCTGCAGGTGGAATCGGGCACGTTGAGCTGGGAGAGCTTGTCCTGGAGCAGGGATGGCAGGATTGTGTTGAAGGCAGAGCTGAAGTCCACGAACAGGACCCTGGCGTAGGTCCCCGGGGAGTCCAGATGCTGTAGGATGTGGTGGAGGGCCAGGTTAATGGCGTCGTCTACAGATCTGTTGGCTCTGTAGGCGAACTGCAGGGGGTCCAGGAGGGGGGAGGTGAGGGAAATTTGGAAATTGTATGAAAAGATGCGCAGAGGGACTGTGTCTGTGGGAATTTCTCTCTCAATGTGGTTTCTCACTTTTCTCCCCCTGGGTTTTTAGAGTCGTTCCTCGCACTCAGGACACTCAACATTAATAAACATGACTGGACATTGGTCATCTGCCCCTTATGGACCAATGGCTCTATTTTATCATTGTGTTTCCTGTGTTTGAACTGCTTGATTCTCTGATCTATGTTGTTGAACCGACAACTTTGTGAAGTCCTTCAAGATGACCACTGTTGAGATTTAAGGATATACAAAACTAAATTAATTAAAAAAATCATTTGAACTATGACATCATGGATTGTGCAAGGAGTAGTCTGCATCTAAATTTGTTTTTTCCCGACAAATTACATTCTTTTCACAACTGTGTCTTTGATTAGATAAAGATATTAGTATATAAATATAACAAAATGGAATTCCGACGATGTTTCGATGGTTATGGCTGACATTTTGTACGTCTCAGATGATTGGAATGTATGAGACAGTTGGAAGTCTTACGGTATGGAGTAGTCTTTCATGCAGCGCGTCCCAAAGCCCGGGTCCTCCTGAAGAGCACTGAGGAGCTTCTGCATTTTCACGTCTCCGGGAGCATCGTCGCTATGGAGACACACAAATATATAAACATCTTAGTCCGTAAAAAGGACATATAGTGTAAAACAATTTAAATATCAAGGTGCCGTCTCCTCTTTCCAAAATGGTGATGTCTACTGTTTTCTAGTTATGATCATAATTATCCTTGAATCTCTGTCACATCTGCTCTTCATCAACGTTTTTGTAACCTTACACCAACAACAACAAAACATTTACAATAAATGGACTTTGATAAATATCTAGTCAGATACACCCACTGCCCAGGAACCAAAATCAAAATAATTGAAATCTGTAATAAAGTCCATCTGACTTGGTTTTATCACTAGTTTTATTTATTTAAAAGTAAGGTACCCAAACGTCTTAGTGAAATGACAGGTGGTTCATAAATAAGACATTAGTGATTTTTCCTGAGCTCCAAACCCTCAGAAGGATCCATGTGGTCAGAGCTCTACCTGATGAAGGTGACCTGGTCCTCATACATCCAGGGCTGCAGCTCCAGACTGGGGTACTTTCCAAAAGGTGGGACGATGAGGCTGAAGACCAGAGCAATGCACACGAACACGGCCGGGAGAACAATCTGCAATCACACACACACACACACACACACACACACAATCACACACACACACACACACACACACACACATTGATTGATGCATTTTTTTTCATTTGAGAATAAATCATACATTCATAAGTATCTACAATATTTACAATTTATAGAGATACTTTTGTACATTGCCTACGCACTTACAGTATACTGTATATATACAAATACAAATACATATATATATATATACATATAAATCAAGCAACAGTATTTGCCATAGTTTCAGCATATGTTGGTGTATATTTTTATAATTTCTATATGTATTTACAATATTCATGCATACATAAGCAAAAAACAGTAAAATTAGAGATCCTTAATGAAAATAAAAGTGACGTTTATGTTTAAAACCCTCATTTTTCTCTGTCTGTCATGTCCAATTTTATCATCTCATCCCACAGTGGGGAAATGTCAGTGCTGCATCACCATTTACAAAACAGTAGGAATGAGGAGCACAGAGCACAAGATGAATGAACAATAACTATACTAAAAAATAAGAAAAAAAGAAGCTAGTATGTATGAAATCTCTAATTTGTGCTTAATAAAGAAGTAAGTATAAAATACTGTATATTCTATTCAAGAGAAGACAAACACAGAGTGGTCCTAGAGCCCTCCTGACGCAGCTCTGTTCACCTGAGCAAAGAATCCTTTACGGGAGCGCCTGGCGTAGAGGAAGCGCTTCCAGATGAGTGCCACAAACTGCTGCCTCCTCAGGGCCCAGCCGCTCACACTGTACGAGCCCTTCCCCTCTGTGCAGTTCAGCCAGTCCGGGTCCTCTGCTGCAAAACCAGGACATGTTACAGCAATATTAGCATAAAAAACAACTTCAGGTGTGTTTTTATGAGGAACACCAGTTCCAACAGTTGCTGACCTGGGTCTCCCTCAGACTCATTCCCCTGCAGGTCGTCCTCTGTTAGGGGCTTCAGACAGCTCTGGTGATCTCCTCCTCCAAAGGCGTGGGTCCTCCGCCTGCGTCTGACCCGTACGGGAAGAGTCCCATCTGAGGACACATGTTTCACTGTTTAACTCTAAAGGCTAAACTTAAATCAATCAGAATGCGCTTGTATATATGTAGCTTGTATATACTGTATGTTGTTCTCTTGTCATTGTTGTCTCTTGTCACTTTTATCTACCTTGATTCTTGCATGAGTGCAGCGCAGTGCCCTGCTCTCTGGTCTTCCCAAAAAGACCATTTCAGAAAGTTCAAGCTGGGATCCACAGCCTTGAGCTGCTCTTTCCAATAAAATTGAAAAATATGTGTTTGATCAAAATGTGTGAAAATGTGGATAAGTGCACATTGACATGCCTTATACAGTTGACACGCAGTGTGCAACCCCTGCCATGTGTTTTTATAAACTGTGAAACGATTTATGTTACTTTTTGTTTGAAAATATTTTGTATGCACTATACAAATAAAGATTGATCAATTGATTATATGTTTGAGTAGTCCGGATGTCCTGTATAAGCCTAAAACAGGTTAAAAAGAGTCAATAAACACTACAATTATGACAAAACTGCTCACCTGAGGGAACGTCTGTATCCACTCCATTGTCCTCCGCTACTTTCAGAAAGATCTGTGGGGAAAGATTCAGTTTATATTTACTATTCAAAACAAGACAAAAGCAGGTCTAAAACAGATCTAAAGCCGTAACAGCCCACCTCCTCCAGACTGGTATCGGACACTCCGTAGCTGGAGATGCCCAGTTGGTGTAAGTTCTGGTCCAGGGCCCGGAACAGGTCTGGGAAGGCCCCGTCTTTGGCAGCGGAGTAGGGCAGGATGTAAGTGAGCTCGTGACCCAGGTCCTCCACCAGGCGTGCCCCCGGGATGTGGCCCAGGACGAGAGCAGACACGTGGGCGATGTTAGCCGGGACCATGGGGTGATCCGTGGGGGGGTCAGTAGAGGCGCCACCCACACTGCTGCTGGGGGGGTCTGCAAGAGAGATAAGGGGACGGGTGTGACTTCAGCAGAATGTGAAAAGTCTTAGTGATCTCAAATATGAATGAAAACCTCCCTTACCGATGGTGGCTGCTTCACTCTCGTGTTCAGAGCCAAGTCCTGCGTCACTGGAGCTGATCGATGCGCCATCTTCATCCTGCCAAGCACAAGCACCGTAGTAGTAGTAGTAGTAGTAGAAGTAGTACGAGTAGCATTAAGAGTAGTAGTAGTAATAGAAATGGTATTTTGAGTGGCAGCAGGAGCAGTAGTAGTAGCTTTATTATTATTAGCTTTACTTTAATAGCAGTATTAGTTGTTGTAGTAACAGAAGTAGTACTGGTAGTAATAGCAATAGTAGTAGCACCAGTAGTAGCAGTAGATGTAGCATCAGAAGAAGTAGCAGCAGCGGCAACAGCAGTAGTAGTCGTAGCAGTAGCAGCCGTAGCAGCAGTCCTAGTAATGCCAGTAGCATCAATAGCAGTAGTAGCAGTAGTAGCAGTAGTAGCAGCAGCAGTAGATAATCATTTGTAGCTACAGTAGCAGCATTAGAAGTAGCAGCAGTAGTCATTACAGCAGTAGCAGTAGAAACAGTAGTAGCAGGAGCAGTAGTAGTAGTTGTAGCAGTACCAGTAGAAGCAGTAGATGCAGTAGCAGCACTAGATACAGTAGTAGTAGCAGTGGCAGTAGAAGCAGTAGTAGCAGTAGCAGTTACAGTAGCAGTAGCAGCAGTAGATACAGTAGCAGTAGCAGCAGTAGATACAGTAGCAGTAGCAGTAATAGTGGTACCTTTTTGCAGTCGGACACTGTGGAGGAGGAGTTCCTGCAGGAGCTCATGGAGGGCTCGGGCTCCTTCTTCACCAGTGTCAGGTAGTAGCCAGTTCCCAGGTGAGTCTTGAGGAACAGGGAGGAGCCCACGCAGCAGAGCTTCCCGTGGGAGATGATGGCGATGCGGTCCCCCAAGATGTCCGCCTCGTCCATGTGGTGAGTGGACAGGATGATGGTCCTCCCTGCAGACACACGTCCAGTCAGTCTGAGAGGCCATTGCACTGACTCTCCCCATGAGGACTGTATGATTGCAATTAAATCTGAATTGTGTGAAATCATTTAAGTTCATTGCAAACAAAAAAGGACTAAAGATAAGTAATCATTTTCAAATGTGTGATAATGTCACTCTATTTGAGTTTATTTGGAAGATTTGTTAAAGGAACAATTATCTTTGGTCTTGCTGTTCGGTTGAAGCATTATTATTATATTCCAAATGACAAATCTAATCTTTTCTAATTCATATGAAGTTTTGAAATGTGTGTTTCATATTGCAATGAAATATTTTGCCAGAATGGAACAGCCCTGGTCCCCTCAGCCCCCAGCCTGAGCGGGTCTCAGCCAGTCCTCACCCGAGCGGTACTTGAGCAGCAGGTCCCAGATGCCGCGACGGGCGAACGGATCTACTCCGGCCGTGGGCTCGTCCAGGATGACCACTTTGGCCCCGCCCACAAAGGCCAGGGCCACGCTGAGCTTCCTCTGCATGCCCCCGGAGAGAGCGCTTGTGCGGGCCGTGCGTTTGTGAGGCAGGCCAGTGTCCTTCAGGATCTGCTCCATCTCTGATTTCACCTGGGCCTCGCTCAGCCCTTTGAGACGGGCGTAGAACCAGATGTGCTCCTCCACCGTCAACCTGCGGGGGCAGCACTGAGTTGAGGAGACGCTGGGACAGGGTTAAAACTAAAGCAGGACTAAGGCAGAGACAGTAAAGCTGGTCTTTAGCAGGACTAAAGAGTGTCTATAGAAGGTCTAAAGCAGGTCTAAAGCAGGTTTAAAGCAGGTCTAAAGCAGGTCTAAAGCAGGTTTAAAGCAGGACTAAAGCAGGTCTAAAGCAGGTCTAAAGCAGGACTAAAGCAGGTCTAAAGCAGGACTAAAGCAGGACTAAAGCAGGTCTAAAGCAGGTATAAAGCAGAAATAAAGCTGGTATAAGATTAGATGAAAGCAGGACTAAAAAGGTCAGTGGGTCAAGCAGGACTGAAGCAGGCTCACATGCTGAAGAGCACATTGTGCTGAGGACACACTCCCAGGCTCTGGCGGATGGCGCTCAGGTCTGATTTGATGTCTCTGCCCAGAATGTAGGCGGTGCCAGAAGTGGGCGGGAACAGTCCTGTCAGGATCGACCTATCAAAGGAGACACAAGTTTCAATCAGAGGACAGAATATGTAACAAACCCGTAAAATTCAGACTAAAGCAGCACTCACATGGTGGTGGTTTTGCCGGCTCCATTGTGTCCTAAGAAGGAGGTGATCTGTCCTTCGTAGAAACCCAGAGTGAGTCCATCCACAGCCAGTTTGTTGCCGTGTCTGTAAACCTTCACTAGGTCCTCGATGTAGACTCCAGGGTCCAGGTGAGCAGGCTCCTCCTCCATCACTATCACTACACACATGATCATTACTCTGATTATCACGTAATACCAAGCAAAACAAGGCTATTACTGTTTCCACAGATGGAATCAGGGCTGGACAGGGACCAAAACACGGCCCAGGCATTTTTGCTTTCTTGGCGGCCCGGGTATGTTTATTTTCAAGTTTTTTTACGGTTATTTATACAGTATGCTGAAGTAAGTAAGTAGTAAGTAAGTAAGTTTTTATTTATATACCGCCTTTTCACTGCAGATCTGAGTCTCAAAGCGGTTTACAATTGTTAATTTTGGGCATTTGTCTCTCACTCCACACAGAGATGGGAGCGGGGTCGCCAGTACAGGAGGCACATGCCAGAACTATTGTACATATTTTTAGTGGTAGGGGAAACCGGAGTACCCGGAGGAAACCTACGCAGACACGGGGAGAACATGCAAACTCCACTCAGAAAGGCCCTGGTCCGACCGGGATTTGAACCCAGGACCTTCTTGCTGAGAGGCGAGAGTGCTATCCACTCAGCACATACTGCAGACTCTACAGTACCAACATGAGCTGTTAATGCAATGGAAAAGTTAGGCATCCCGGCTTTAACTTAGTGAGTTTAGTCGCAATTTGTGAGGAGACACATGGAAGACACAGAGGAGACACGGACTGTTTCTTGCAGAAGTGTATTTATTGCGTGCACAGGTTACGCAGAGACACACACACAACAAGCAGAGAATGGTCATGTGTGCGCACATGGTCTTGGGGACATGGTCACTTTGCGGCTGCGCGCTCGCTCACCGTGTTGATGTCAAAGCCGTTCACAGCCCCTGGACGCGGGAAGTGCTCATTACTATGCGGCCGCTGCTGCCCCAGAACCCAGATCCCGTTCGAGTACATACAGCAAACAACAGTATGTGCCCCGCGGTCGAGCGCGCCCCTCGAACATTTCTCGATGGATTTACACATCTAGCAAACCTCTGACCAGCCCAATTATGGGCGTCGGCCTTCGGGCATTGCCCGGTACGCCCAGTGGCCAGTCCAGCCCTGGCTGGAATTGAGAGAAAAAGTATAATTTACGTTTATAAAACAAAGTCCAAATCAGCACGGTTATTTTATATTGTGATATGCCAGTCTCCATTACTGGGAATTTTTTTGATTTTCAATTTAAAGACTATAGAAGACATCAGACCATAAGGACTTGGTATATGTATTACTTTAATGTGGAAGTGTCTAAAGAAAATCATATTAAGGTCGTCAAGAGGATTGGCGGCTCACCTCCAGGGTTGCGTCTGCGGTTCAAAGGCACCTTGCTTTCTCCATCTTTCTCTCCAAACCAGTAGGACTTAGTGAAGGGGAAGAACCAGCGCCGAGGGATCCCGTACTGACCTGTAGGGGGCACTATCACAGTTAGAGTGCTGCTGGCTGTTTTTTTGTGTTGTACAGAATAGCAAATGAAGCACAGCAATGATGAGCAGGTTTATGACAGGTAAAGTATCTCCTGATTGGCTTGTCCAACCCTCTTCCCAAACCTTACCCAATTAAGGTTAATTGAACTGACAGAAGAATTCCACAGAAACCAACTAATCACAGACCACTGCTCCCCATCCATGAACATGTGGTATATTCATCAGATTTTATGCCTACAGACAGGAATACATTCCGTCTCTAATTCATTCCAAATTAAGTAGAGCCAGTAAAAAGTGTTTCCATAGTTACAACACACTTTTTGACCATAATTGTGTTCTCTTCACTGATGCGGTCCAGAGTTACTATTGCAACATCACATGATCAGTAGGGTAAAACTGACCTAACCTCTCATCCCAGCTCACTTCCCTATTAGTGGGTGAACAATCCAACACAAGGGCTATTTCTGTGCACAAATGCGGATATATGTGGTTTTTGACCCGCAGAAGGAGACAGTACTAACCAGGCCCTGCCCTGCACTTCTTCAGAGGTCTGACGGGATCTGGCTTTCGATCCCATCTATCCTTTCACCACAAAGATACCGGACACTCCACCCAAAAGAAGACCATTACTGACTGGGGCTTCACTAAAACCTCTTCAAAAGTCTTGTCTCCTTACCACACAACAGACACTTGTGCAAAATATATCTGTTTGACTTGAGCATTGTTGCTTGCTGTGTATTTTAGGCTCATCCTAAATTTCCCCAAAAAATATCCATAACCTTTTGTGAATAGTGTATGTATAAATGTTTTTTTATATTTCAGCCAAACGGAGCACGGACACTGACATAAAGTCAAAAGCAAAGCAACAACTGAGCATAAATATTAATAATAAACCTTATGAATGAATGATACCTTCATTAGTCCCAAAGTGGGGAAGTTTGATGAAGAAACATCAAGACCGTGTCCGCGCTCCTTTTATGAAGAATAGCAGAATAGCACAAAGGAAACATGCAGAGTCTTTTTGATTTTAGAAAACGCTGTCTTGCTCTGCCCAATGTGGGAAAAATGTTGACTGATGTAAAATTACAATACATATTAAGTAGGAAATCAGACATATCACACTTGTTCCATTAAAAGACATATCAAAGCAGTAAACACAAGCTTGGCACTGTGCACGTGTCGGACCTGGGAAGACAGCCTCCAGGTACCAGGTGAGGATCCCGTACAGCACCGCGTCCACGTACATGAGGCCAATGGCTGTGCGCAGACTGAAGTCGTCCTCCTCCAGCGGACTGCTCAGGAGGTTGGACCACTGGATGCCCACGCCCTGTTCCTCAAACAAGGAGAAGTACTCGCAGCCAAAGCCGAAAGCCACAGGGGACAGGAGCGACTGAAGAGACAAAAAGTTTATTTAACCACATTTTTACTCAAACACTGCATACGAAACATTCCCTGTAAACATGTGACGAGAGATACTACTCACAGCAAAGACTTTGGCCCCGAAGCCGATGTAGTCGGACCAGGCCACACAGAGCACGTAGGGCAGGTACAGGGTGAAGTAGATGATGCCTCCGCAGGCGGCTGCCAGGTTGGCTCTGGCAAACGCTGTGCTGAGCAGGAAGCACTGCATGATGGTCACCACCGCGTAGGAGCCCAGGAACAAGAAGACCACGCCTGGGTCTGAGTATGGAAGCAGGTTCCCCAGCTGTAAAACAAATATTTATGTTCATTTGGTCCATAAAAGTGAATCTTAGGTATTAGATAAAGAAAAAGACTTGTAACACCCACAAATGTACAGTATAAAAGTTTATTCAGTAACAATATGAAGCATCAAGACAATGCTTGATTCTAGTCTTGTTTTTTGAATAATGTGCTGTGCTATTTAATCAAATTATTATCTCTTAAAAATAATAATAATTTGTATCATACAGATCGTAAAAAATATCCTGGAAATCTTCCACAGCCTTCGTCCCACAACCATCAAAGGATCCTGACCCCCATATTGGAAACCACTGTAATAGATGATCAGAATGAGAAGGCAGATGAAGATTTAAATCACATAATAGTAAAAGAACATGATTTGACTGGGTATATTTTCCAAAATTGTTTTATTGAACAGAGAATTCCAGAAACGGCTCTTTTTCAAACTAATGCATACTCAGACTACAACTAAATGACTAAGAGCCATTTGTTTGGGTCCTTCAGAACGTATCTGTCCACTTCTCACACAAGAATGATTTCAGTCTAAAATACAACATTCTAAAGCAAACATCTCCACATAAACACAAATAATGCCTCATAGTTGTTAAAACCACGGTGACAGTGAAAGTGTACCTTGAGCAGCAGCACCAGGAGCGCGGCGCTGACCAGCAGAGGCACCAGGCTGCTGATGAACCAGCTGAACCACAGCATGCCGTTGTTCAGGCCCATGATGCGCATGGTCTCCTTCAGCCGCGCCTCCTTCTCATACACCACACTCTTCAGGATGATGGCCACCGAGTACATCCAGGCCAGGGTCATGAAGAGCGGCATGGAGCGGGACATGACGCGCAGGAAGCTGGGAAGACGTGAAGACGGAGGTGAACAAGGAGGAGAACAAGGAGGAGAACAAGGAGGAGAACAAGGAGGAGAACAAGGAGGAGAACAAGGAGGAGTTGATGCTCTGCGTCATGCATTCAGATTGTCTACATGACGAGTCCTCTTTGTTTAATCTGAACATAGACACATATTATGACGGACAGCGAGCTTCCTGAAGCCTACTAGTGACGTGCCCATGGTGAGGGTTAGGGTTAGGATTACTTTGGTCCCAGCTTTCTGCAAGTCCTAGATCCACCAGTGCGGTATGGGGATCCTTTCTTTCTAATGTCCTTTGACAGCTCTTTGGTCATGTGACCATTTTTGTCTGTACATAGAAGTACAGGTTTCCATATCCTCCATTATGACCACCGGAGCAATTGCGGCCACTTTATAGTTCCACATCCCTTTGTGTTTGCTCATCTGCGCCCTGTTCCGCCACTCCAGAAGCTGGATCTTGTCCACCTGCGTGTGTTTTTGTCTTACTTCTATATATTAGGATTGGAACAAGGCATTGTACCGTGGTGGTGAATGAAGATTCACAAATGTCACCATATGCCACATGAGTAGCACAAAAGTTGTGCTTTTAAAAGACAAGACAACTTGTACAACTATTTTTCTTTAAGCAGGAGACGGACTAATGGCTCTTCTAATAGAAAAGGTTGTCAAACCCTGGATTATAAAATTACATTCTGATTCTATTAACTACAATCAAAGTTAATTCAATCTGTTAGAATTTGCAGTTTCTATAATAATGTAGGTTTTTCAAACTTGTAGATGTTATTTTAGTGTTTCACATTTCTTATCTATTGTGTAAATGTGATGACTTTGTGCTTGGCTCACATGTCGTCCACGTAGCAGGGATAGGGCATCTGCTGGAGGTAGACTCCGGTCCTCTCCTTGGTCCCAGTCATGGCACGGACAATGCCCTGCTCGACGACGTCCTGGAGGTACGTGAAGCCTCCCCAGATGTAACGCATGTCCTCGAAGGGGTCCGCACGGGGTCCGGGGTCCCAGTATCTGAGGACACAACACACAGATGATTATGACCGACACTGGGAGAGAACTGTGGGAAATGTGGGGTGAATTAAAGAACACATATGATGCATTATATTTAATGTTGTTCCATAAACATGAAATGTGGAATTTTATAATTACTTTTATATGGATATAATACATACAAAACCCCTCCCATTGGTAGAAGTGAGAAACCCTACAATCCTATTACACTAAGACCGGAGAAACTGGGATCAAAGGATTCACCATAAGGAAGGGAGGGTTTGCGCTGGTTTAGTAACAGTAATAGTAATAGTAGTAGTAGCAGGATAAGTCAGAGGTTGCAAAAACATCTGCTTGAAAATCACAAACATAAATATTATGGAGATCATGTCCATTGTCTTTTTTAAGTGTAAGTCAGTGCTGAAAATGTACAAAAGGCATAAATGTAAAAGTATGGCCTGCATGAGAAGGTGAATCAAAACAAGATAAGGATTGCAGAAGAATATACTCTACAAGAAGAAATAGTTACCGCATAAGTCTATTACAATCATTATTAGTTTCAGTAATAGTAGTAGTAGTAGTAGTATTAGCAGGATTAGTAAGAGTAGTAGTACCAACAGCAGAAGCAGCAGCAGCAGTGGTGCCAGTATGCAGTAAGTACTTACGCGTCCTTGATCTTGTTGGTCCTCTCCACGTTGTCGATGTCCATGCGGATTTTGTAGTTCAGGTGTGGGGGCAGCTCGGAGGCGTTGTGGGAGATATTGAAGACGATCCCGGCCCAGAACTTTCGGTCCTCCAGTAGAACCATGGAGCGGTTCACCAGCAGCTCCTCTGTGGCCACGGGCTGCAGCTTGTCCAGGTTCACACACTGAACACAGTAACAAATACGTGATAAGACACACGGAAAACTGTTTTCTGTTATTATCCAATGTATCTATCATGACGTGTTGAGCTAATTTGTAAATCTGAGAAAAGCTTCATCGTGATCGGGGGAAAAAGCCTCTTCACGTGTAGTTGTCTGACTCTCCACTTTTTGAACAAAACTCTCTGGTCTTATTTGACGAGCATGTATCACCAGAATGATTGACACTTGGGAGGATCAATAGTCTTGATGATAGAAGTAGAAAATCCTCCTATATACCTTTAAGATAACAGCATATTACGTTGGGTCAGACAGAGAATATCGATGGATCCACTTAGTGATAATGTGAGGCTGTGTTTACGTCAAATCCACCCAATTTAAACTCTACTACGGTTACTATGGAAAAGCTGACATCATGCAACAGGCTTCATTTCAGTTGGAAAACCTAGCGCTGGATCTGACGGTTGCAGAAGCCATGACTGTCGATGAAGCCCGGGACACCTCACCTCCATGAAGCGCGAGATGCTGGCGATGGCTTGGTCGGTTTCGTTGAACACATCTCTCCAGGTCAGAGCACCGCCTCGTCCCGGCTCTTCCTCTCTGGCCAGGAAGCGGCTCACGTCGTCCACCGTCCAATCAGTGCCTGCGAGCTGGGCGCTGAAGTACCGAGCCGTCACGTTGTTCCGCAGCAGGCTCTGAGGAAGGAGTGAAGAGGAGGAGAGAGAGGACAGGTAAAGGCAATGCAATCCGAACAACAATCGTTTTACATCATTGTTTGATGACAATTGCAGCCCAATATTTTCTCATTCCATGTGAAAAGTTGCTCTCTAGAACTACCAGAACAGTCAATATGACGGCTTTTTGTTGGGAAAGTGTACTTACTCCTCTTATGTACGTTTCTTTGGTTTTCATTATTTTTTTTGTTTCTATATGAAGTTTATTTCTATGTTTTTATGTTAATTAAATAATCTTGACCCTAGACTGGTTCTTGACTGGTTCCAAGCTAGACAGGATTTGTTCTTGGTCCTCACCCTGAACAGGTTGATCTGCTCACTGCTCTCCATGAACTTCCAAACTTTAGGCCTCATCTCATCCCACATGCCGCCCAGGTCTCGGAAGACCCCCAGTTCCTGGAACGTCCGGTTCACCTGGACACACACACAAAATATAATTTCAACATTGACAGCTTCATTATTAGTCAGCCATCCTCGGGGTCACCTCCAAACAGATGCCTCCTCTCATCACTTCTGCTCTACTACAAGCTTTTCCTGAGTGAAAAAGCTCATAACTCTTTTTCTAAGGAAGTAGATTTACTAATCATAATGTTGACATTTTGACAGTTTCCCATGAACATTAATATAACGCCCGGCTTGCTAGGAAAGAAACTCCTTTGGAGAGATTCTATGTGCCATCCTTGTGCCATGCTGTTCTTTGGGTCATTCCCCAAAGCATCTGACCACTGTGGGAATTTAGACTGAATTAAATAGTGCTACTGTACATCTTTACTACTCCAGCCCAAAAATGTGCTACTGTCCCAGATCGCTACACAATGTTTCAGACATGTGTCCATCATGACAGACCACAGATTGGGGCCTTGTCACCGAGGAGGTCGCCATCAACCTTAGCACCAGAGACCCTGCAACCACAGCTACTTGTGTAAAGGCCTAATTAAACCAACCCGACAAAAGCCAGCATTCAACATCCAGCAGCTTTGTTAGCTCAGGCTGAATAGAAACCCATTGCCAGATAGATTGCTCCAAATCAGCCAACTCCAACTCCAACTCCAACTGTGACTGTGACTGTGACTGTGCAGTACCCTGAGCTTGATGCCCTGTACCTGGTGGATGATCTTCTGTGTGAGGGGCGTGTGGGGGGTGTAGAGGATCTGTCCCAGCAGCAGGGGCTTGATGGCGGTCCAGATCATCCTTGACATGGGGTTAGAGTCCAGGTTCTTCACCAGGCTGTTGCAGTACGGAGCTGAGCACACAGAGAGAAGCTACATGTTACAAATTTACATCACACACTGTATATATGGTATGTTTTCATCTTCTGTGTAAACCATGGATAAACACTCACATGACCATTGCCTGTTAGACCATTTTGACCACAGACAAGCGTTATAAGTTAGATCTAAATGAGACTTTGTTTGATTTCAAAGCTAATTGACAATGATACAAATGTTTACAGCAGAGTCAGATCTAGCCTTTTTGGGTCCGCTCAGGGAAGCTTCAGCTAATTCAACCAACTAGGGCCATTCTTATGCACAAATAACGTAGTTCAAATACAATTTGTCAGTCTTTGGCCGAGGCTCTGATTTACACATTCCTAAACATAAAAAACATCAGAAGTTAAAAAATTAGGTTTATGAATGCCTTTCATTCATTCATTCATTCATTCATTCATTCTTCCCCTTAATCCATTTCTGGGTCAGGGGGGTGGCAGTCAGAGCTGCACCCAGTCACATAGCACCAGCCCCTCACTGATCCTCCTGCAGGTGGTGAGTCCACAGGAGCTGAGATCTTTCAGTGGGAGCTTCAGGCAAAGTGGGGTTAAGTGTCTTGCCCAAGGACACGACGACAGCAGTTATCAGTGGGAGTCTTTATGAATGCCTGAAGTTTGAATAATAGAAACACATTTCAAACTCTATTGCAACACTTTTTCTCAATATGAGAAATGCCTTCGACGGTATGAATCTCTGAGTGATGGTGAAATGGTCAGATCTAAAGCCGAGTTGCCTTATTTGAACTCTGTGTAGTGCTGTTGTCCCGCTGAGGGAGGGGGTGGTAAATGAGAAATAGGGGTAGAGAGGGGAATGGGTTCTAATTGGATCACAGCCGTAGGTATGAGGCAGAGGCCAGAGATCATTTCGGCAGCAGGAGAGGACGGATTCCACTTACGAAACAGGACCAAAAGACATTAAACTGGTCTAAGAGAGTGTTCTAATCGGATTCAGTCCCATTTTTGCGTAAACCTTTGCTTCAAGCTTCACACACACTCTTGGAACACTGCCGGCTCACATCGGGAACAATCCAACACTGAGAACCTTCACAACGTTTCTCAAACTGTGGCTTGGGAACAAACACAGGCACAGTCACAGTGTTGACTAATGTTCTGTGCATGTTTGTTTATGTCCTCATTGTCTGTGTTCTCATGTTTGTAATGTCCTGTATTGTACAAGTGCAACGCTGCTTTTTGTTGGAGAATGATAACCCCCTCTCCCTAATGTCTCACAATAGTGCATGAGAACAGTATCTCTCCCTGTTTTGATGCATTCTGTGTTTTAAAACAGAGATTAAAATCCACTAAACATATGTTGTGAATGCGATTTTATTTTAAGGTCCTCCGAGAACGTTTTCTTTGTTGGTTCAGGGACAGTTTGGTTCGGCAACATCACAGCCAAAGACAGGCAAACTCTTGACAAGGTGCTCTACTTCTCATTCTCATAATTTAAATAACACAATTTAGAAACCCCTTTTTCCTCTAACATGTTTGCACACTTCTGTCTTTTGCAGAAATCTGAGTGATCTCGCCAAATCCAAATGTGACATGTACATTTCTCCTGCGTAATTTAATGTGCACTTTATTGTCCCTGTAGGGTAATTTGTCCTCTGTATTTGACCCATCCTAATGCCACTAAGGCTCAAATCAGGAGCAGTGGTCGCAGTGGTCGCAGTAGTAACAGCGCCCGGGAACCCATCTCCAGATGTTAAGGCTCGGCTTGGTCAGGACAACCAGAGCTGAAGGATTTTACTTAGTGAGCATATTTTTAGTGGTAGGGGAACCGAAGCACCTGGAGGAAACCTACGCAGACACGGGGAGAACATGCAAACTGCACTCGGGTAGAACATGCAATCTCCACTCAGAAAGGCCCTGTTCCGACCGGAATTCGAACCCAGGACCTTCTTGGAGAGACGCGAGAGTGCCATCCACTCAGCCACCGTGCCAACCGCGCCGTAAGATCAATAAAGTCTATCTAATCTTATCTTATCTTATCTTTTGTCCATTTTCACACAGATACACTTTGGGGTACTGTATATAATACTTGGCCACTTATGCATTCCAATGGGGCTTTTACTGTATATGGCAGGAATCAAATTAACTCATTGACTGCCATTGACGTATTTGCCTGAGACCCTCTTTTTGACTGGGGATTACAGGACAATAAAAATAGCTAAAAACAAACTTACTTTTGCTGATCAAAGTAGGCATTCCAGTCTTTCAGAATCTGTTTCATATTTCACAAAGTCTTAGGAAATAATATTCTATGGGTCTTGAGAATCAATGGCTGGCAGTCAATGAGTTAAAATGTCATCATATTGTTAGGATTGTCAAAGTGTACAGAGGACAGTAAACACCACACTGAGGGGCTGGAAGGTCAGCACCTCCACACATACCTGTGCCCACGGACACGCACACACACACACACACAGTCCTGTTTAGTCTCACTGGAGGAGTTGTCGTAGAGCTGGTGGGGCTGCTCCTCGCTGGAGTTGCTGTTGCCTCCGAACAGGGCCTTGTAGTTGCTGTCTTCGTACCAGTTGAGGCTCTTGATCTGCAGCCCCCCTCCCTCCGGATGACCACACACAATGCGCGACACGGCAGAGTAGAGAACGCTCGGCGAAGACGTGGCGTTGTGCGTCAGGAACACAATTTCGTTGCGTAGGTCCAACCAAGACTTCATCCCGGCGAGCTGCATCACAAGAGGAGACAGGCAGCGTTCAAGCGTCACCCAGAGAAGCCAGATGAGTAGATGACGGCACAGAGAGGCATGGAGAAGGCAAGAAAGCAGAGAAATACAAAATCTCTGTTGGTAATGTGCTGGTACACCAATACTGTAAAGCCTTTTGTGTAACCTTGGCCTGTGAAATGCGCTGTATAAATAAAGATTACCTGCTTACTTACTGAATTCCTTGTTATTACAGGGGTATCAAAATCCTTTTTAAACTATACTATTATACTGATAAATACGCTTTATTGATCAGATTACTCTTTCAAAACCGGTACATAACTATTTTACAGATTAATAGACAGAGTGTATATTTATTTTTAACATTAAATACGGTTCAGTTAACGTTGGTTTGGACATTATTTCCTAGTAGATTACTCATTTCCAGGTAGATTACTCATTTTCTTGGCTGACACCAGACCAAATATCGCAATCAATATATTGTGCAATTGGAGCGCACACATTAAAGAAATGTGCCACAGTTTTATTATTTATTCATTGATACAGGTTAAGCCTTTAATGTTCAATCCTTGAAGAAAGCAATGTCATTTTTCTTTTGAAATTCTAAGATGTAGGAGCACTAATAACAAACAAATAATTTGTTTTGATGTATTTATCTATTTTGCTTAGTTGTTTTTCTTTATTACAGGCGTCTATCAAATGGTTGAGATGCAGCTTCATAGTGATAGAGTGATAGAGATGCCTCAGTGAGGTAGAATTCAGTTCCATTCTTCAAGTAGATATAATGAATCAAAAAGTGATCCACCAAATGGTTGAGGAAACAATAACAAGATTTAGGGGCTGAAAAACTAATTTTGACATTCAAATATCTCTGAACTACTGTTATCAGTTAAATAATTATTCAGAGAGAGCATGGTTTATGAATGCCTTTTGACAAATTAGGGCCATTTACTGATGACTTGACAAGAAAATCTTACATATAGCTTCTTTAAATAACGGGCACGCAGTTGTACATAAAAATTCTGAAAGTTGCAGTAAAAAAGTTCCTGGTGATGACCATGACACTGGAGGGCCACATAAGGCTGTGGGTGAGGAAGTGTGACGTCACAGATGTTTGTTAATACTCACAAGCAGCACACGTCAGCTTTATTGTGAAGGGAACAGGAAGTGCACACCACAAAGTGCTGCATCAGGTTTATTCTGAAGCAGAAGTACAGTTTACAGCTGACTGTGACTGACTCTTCTGGCTCATGGACCAGGTCAGCTCTCTGATAAAAGCCACCCCTGACCCACTGCCTTCTGCTCCAGAGCCGTCATTTCAGCTCGTGTTATACATCCATGGCCTGGGTCAAGTCCTTTCAAATGGCCAAACTAAGACTCTGGATCTATAGTCTGTCCATCCGAGCAGATCCCCCTCTTTGATTCTCTGATTCGTTGCAATTTCTGATATAACGACTGTTGTGATTTAGGGCTATACAAGAATACATTGAATTGAATTGAACATGGGTCTCCCTGAGGTTTTATTACTTTATTCCACTGGGTTTTTGAGTCGTTCCTTGAAGGTGGGTCTAAGGACAATAATGATCCAGAACATTTAAGAACATATATGCTCATTGGACATCCTATGGACAATGGCTCCAATGTGCTTGTGTGCATTTTCTGTGGTCAAACTGTTTGATTCTCTGATCTGTTGTTGAGGAATCAATGACTGATGTGGTGATTTACAGTAGGGCTCTACAAAAATACATTGAATTGAAATATTATATTTATATTATATTTATTTATTTAAGTAGGGACAGTACATATTAATGAACATATAAAATATGTAAATATGTCAGATTTTAGCCATAGGCTAATTTCCATCTGTTGTCCCTAGACAAATGAGTTAGAGGAACCCAGGGGGGGGGGGGGGGGACTCAAACATGCATGGATCTCACAGAAACAGTGTGAATGTGTATAGGACAAGAGAAATCAAAACTTCCGGTGAAAAGCTAATTATGCTCCTTATGTTCCCAAAAATAAACTGTTGAGTTGTTAACAATATCAACTATTATTTAGATTCCTTTTCGGTCACAATTCTTACTTTAAAGACTGCATATTCCGCATCCTAGTTTCACTCCCTGTGGTGCCCCCTCTGTCCCAATTTTGTCCCCAAGGACCCAGCAGGGACCTCGCGTTTGCCAGTCCAGCTGTGTGCGCGCTGCGTAAACACAAGACGCGCCTGGAGGTGTGGAAAGGAGCCAGATGAACTCAGAGACTCCCCTTAACCGCTCCAGAGAAAGACATGTGGGGAAATAACGGTGTCAGGAGGAGTCAAAGGTTTTCTCCAGGACGCTCTGCATACTTAATTGCACCAACTTTATACAAGCAAAAGAATTAAGTTTGTGCCACTGTGGTCATGTAAAATTACCACATGATTAGGAGAAATGTGTTCAATGTTATTAAAGGGAGTTTAGGGAGCTATGTGCGAAGCATGCACGCTTTGTTGTTACGGCGGGAACACTCATCCAGACACAGGACGACTGTGGATTACTAATGAAAACTACTAAAGGTTATTTTTAATGTTGATTGTATATAAAATTCCTTGAACCAGAGAGACCTTTTTCCCTTTTTAACATATTTGCACATTTCCTGTTTGAACATTTCCTGTCTTATGTCTTCCTATTTATGCCAAATGTGACTTGTACAACTCTCTATTGTGAGGTCAATAAAGTTCAAGTCAAGTAAATGTATTCTTGCATAACTCTAAAGTAGTTATTTCTGGAATTTGATGTCCATAAATGACCATTATTGTTGTTGAATGTTGAGTGTCCTGGAATCATCAGCGCTGTCCTTGTGTCAGACCCTCCTGCGTCGGGAAGGCAAAAACTCTAAAAGCCAGTGGGAAATCTTAGGGAGGTCCAAATTGGTCCAAACAGCTTTCAAAGATTTCCCGAAATATCTTTTATATAATATTTATTTTTCATACCAAACCTGGTTCCTTTTTTCTCCCCAGCTCTTGTGTTTTACATTCACTAAAGTTTTCGATTTTTGTTTCTTGTTTACTACACCATTATTATTCCAGTGTTGTATTTTGGGTTCTTTCTCCATTCTTTTTGAAACATGACATAATAAGACTCCAGCAGTGTGTACAGGGGACACTGACCTCCACCGCCAGCAGGCCCATGGTGTCCAGCAGGTTGTTGGTCGCCACAGCAACACGATTGACCGCCTCGGGATCAGAGGTCATGCCGCTCTTCTGCTGCTGCTGAGAACAAAACCAGATTAACAAGAGTTTGGACAAATATGTGCATCTGTCACATTCCCCAACACCACATTTTACAACGCAACAGTTTTAGACCGACCTTTTACTGTTTTGTTGTGAATGTATGACTCAAACTCAGAACGTTATGACGATTACAATGTCTAGAATTGAATAAAGATCAATCAAGTCTACGCGTTTATATGGTATCAGAATAAAAACACAGACCTCTCCTGTCTCAGTATACATGCAGACTCAGACCTCTCTAGTCTCAGTATACATGCAGACTCAGACCTCTCCTGTCTCAGTATACATGCAGACTCAGAGCTCTCTTGTCTCAGTATACATGCAGACTCAGAGCTCTGTTGTCTCAGTATACATGCAGACTCAGACCTCTCTAGTCTCAGTATACATGCAAACTAACCCCCAGTTCTCTTAGTATACCTTGACGGGTCTGAAGAAGTCGAGGTTCTGCAGGAAGAGTTGCTCTGCCGCCTGCAGCCAGGAGGGCGGCGCTGTGCAGATCTTGTCCATGAGCTCTGATTGGAGAGCAGGGTCAGAGATGGTTATGTATTCACTCAGGTTGCGGCTTCTTGGTTTAGAGGGGCACAAGTCTGTGAGGTGCACACCAAAGCCCTTCAGCAGGATCTGCAGGTAGAACACAAGGACACAACATCTTTACTAAAGTTTGCAAACTTGAGAGCTACCACCAACTGCGTTTTTGACTAAAAAAATTGTTTGTGCGTATAATCTATGACACTCATTATGACACATTTTCTTACTCTTTATATCGGCCCGGTTATGGGGAGAATACTTTGGAAATTAATGTATTGTTTCCTCAACAGTTTGGCGGATCTCTTTTTGATTCACTATATCTGCTTGAAGCTTGGCAATGAAATCTACCTCATTGGGGCAAAGAATCATGATTCTGAATACCAGCAAAAGATAAAGTTCTGAAGTAAATACAGTTGTCTGAATACATATTCCTGGTACATGCATTCTGCTACTCCCAAACACTGCCCTTTCCCACCCCCATGGAACCATCAGCAGGTGGCACCCACATTGTCCCTTGAGGATTCAGCTGGGGCTCTCGCTGCAGGAAACCAGTAGCCGTATAACAGTGTATACGTATATTCCCACTGCTCTGTACTTTTCACTGTCATTTCTCGAATCCTTGAGCTTTCACCGGAGTCTCTGCCTGATGGGACATTTCAGAAATACCTCCCCAGAGAGGGATCAGACAAAGATTCTGTGATACTGAGCTCCTCACCATATGTCAAAGATAGGGTCTCATGATCGTAGGTGAGGGTGGAAACAAAAACTTGGCCAACAAACTAAAGCTTTGACTGCAGACGCTGCTCCCTTTTCACCACAACCTCAGCTTCAACTGTATGTCATATGCCATCCTTCCCTTTCAGACTTGAGAGAATGGAACTTCTCTACTTGAAGAAAATGTCTCTTTTTTTTGTCGAGCACCATGGCAACAGATTTGGAGGATAATCCCGGCACTAAACCCATGAGGGAGACAGTTACAATATCCATATTTGAGAAAATGGTCAAACAAATTAGCATGGTAATCTTGGATACTGGGAAAATTTCACCATCCTTCCTCCATCCTGAGGTAACTTTCTCAGGTTACCATCAAAATGGAGAGATCTAGATGTTTTGAGTTCTAATCTTAGCATAGTGTGATAAAAGAGTGGACTTTTCCCAGGGTCTTGTCTTCCAGGATCATGTAGAGCTCAGGCCCAGACCTGTCTTGGATCTGGGGCTCGGTCCAGAGACGATGGGAGTGACACGCCTAACATAGATTACTCCCACACTAGGGCAGAACCTTTTTGGCAAAACCTCTAATTGTTATTTTTATGACCTAGATGGTACATGCTTCCACTTGGTGAAATAATTGAGAAGTCCAAGGGTGCATTGAGAACCGCCAGATGCAGTTCTCATTGGCTCAGGGGAGGAGTGGGAGGGAATATTTAAAAGTGACAGAGCACAAAGTGAGGACGACTATTAGATCGGAGAAGGCTGCATGGCCTGATGGGATTACTGGGCACACCCTTAAATCTTGTCCTTTTATGTTAAGTCCCTGCTTGCTTCAAAAGATTCATGCGAGCGCCCATTCCAAAATCATCTAAGCCCAGTTGTTTAAATGATGAAAACAAGCTAAAAGTATGGGAATAAAACAAGATAAAAAATGTACAGGAAACAATTGTCACTGTAAAACCAATCAACAAAACAGTTTAAATACAAGTGCAATATAGTGCTTTGTTTAAATTAATAACAGTTTGTGGAATAAAGCTGTAAGCGAAAGCAAGATGTCCAGCTTCTCAGCCAACAATATCTTCTGCTAGAGGGAAGAAGCTGGAACATGGCTTTTCCAGGAAGACCAGAAGAGTCATTGATTATTCTAAAAGCTCTATTTTAGAGTCTGGATTCATAAAGAACCTTCAGACCTCAGTCACAGTCCTCTTTCAGAGCGGAGCGCCTTGTTTAGAGCTCTCCTTTCTTTGTCTGCGATGTCACCAAACCACACAGTCACAGAACCAACGGGAAAGCTGTCAATGGTACAGCGATAAAAGTGAAGCAGAATCTTAGAGTTTGTGGTGAATTATCTACGTTTCCGCAGAAAGAACAGACGTTGGCGAACTTTCTTAACATTTATTTACTAGGGGCACAACGCATTTCGACCACTCTGCGGGTGCCTAGAAGTGTTTGCTCTGATGTTCATGTATTATGCACACACACAAGCACATGATAAATATACCCCTTAATGCAGCCCAGCTTCACCCAGGCTCAGCCTCAAGTGGCCCCCAGATAAATTGAGCTTGAGACCACTGCTCTAAAGCCTCTATTACCACCTCCATACTATCCACCTTTGACTTCTTACAGTTTGCATAATGTCCCAACAAATCTACTGATAACGCTATATCAACCCTGCTCCACAAAGTGCTCTCACACCACGATCCTAGAGGCAGAGCATATGTAAGAAGGCTCTTCATAGTCAAGATTAGCAAGCCTGGCCACAAAATCCTGCCATCTCGGTCTACATCATGTGGGTTGTGGACTTCCTTACTGATAGGCAGCAGATTGTTACGGTGGGTCAGCGCACCTCCACTCATCAGCACTGGTGCACCTCAGGGCTGCGTATTGAGCCCCTTTCTCTATTCACTTCATACCCACGACTGCATCTCTACAGCTGAGTCCATCGCTATTTTTAAGTTTGCCAATGACACAGTGGGTTATGTCTAATCTCCGGCAATGACGAATCCTCCTATTGCCTGGATTTAAACTGTTTTATGGAGCAAAAATATCCAACGCTGAACATTAGAAAAACGAAATAGCTCCTAATGGACTTAGGAAGAGGTGGAGAGAGTTGATTGTTTTAAATATCTACGGGTGCACATCTCACACGACCTGAGCTGGAACCCACACACCAAATTTGAAGTGAAGAAAGCAAGTCAGCACCTGTCTCATCTGAGGCGACCAAAAGACCAACGGTGCTGACGAACTTTTACACCTGCACCAACGAGAGCTTCCTGACGAGGAGAATCACTCTGTAGCACGGAAGCTCCACTCTGCAAGACCGCCTGGCCCTCTGGAGAGTGGCCCGTTCAGCGGAGAGGACCAACACGGTGAACCTCCCAACAACTCCCCCGGAATGGACTGTTCAGATTGCTGCCATCTGGGAGGCGCGATTGTCTCCTCAAAGTAAAAACTATTTTCATTGTTTATTGTGAACACTATAACTATGAAACATCTGCTGGAGGGTACATACGTATTTCACTTCATGTGATGTGTATGTGACAGTAATAAACTTGAACTTAAGCAGGGTGTGGTACCTGGTTGAGGTTAACTGGAGCAGACAGGATGTGATCCACGCTGCTCTGAGGTAATGAAGCGTTGTTCTTCAGAAAGTAGCTCAAGGTCTCGTTCTCCTGTAAGAAGTGTCTCAGCTGGAACCCTGCACACACAGAGAAGACCGCTTTCAGACCACAAAGTGCACACTGTATTATCCACCTCATCTCCTCCTCCTCACCTTACAAATCCCCTAAGGATCAATAAACTACAAATGATCTGCTGAGAAGGTCACATGGTACATCCACACGCTTCAATCATTGTACTGCATGCCCCTAAAGATGGGATATCCAAAATGTTTGTTTATTTTACCCCTTGTAAAAGTAAAAGTAAATCAAACCACCAGATGATGTCTTGATCTTACATCTTGACTTTTGCATGCTACGTAAGAACACTCACACTTGATTTGACTCTCGAGGCACTATTTCCATTACTATTTAATTTTCTGCCTGAAAAAGTTGATCGAAGATGTGATCAAAGCTAAAGGTAAATTAACCAGTCAAATGGATCTAAATTGGTTGTGTTTGAAAGTTATAGTTCCCCTGCTTTAAAGCTGCACTAACTGACTTTATTTTCGTATTCATTACGAAAATGCTATCCATGTCCATGTAGTGCATTGGTATATACGTTCTTTTGAAGAATAATTAGCGCAGATTTGTGCTGGCGTGACATTATATTTTAGATCGAGTTTTGATGAAACAAGGAAGAGAATGTGTTTCGGGTCGCAGATTGTGACCAATCACAGCGGACCACTAGCCCCCACTTTCGTGAGAAATCCACAGGTCCGTTAGCATAGACAGCTGAGTTAGCACAACAAGCCGAGGAGCTAACCTTAAGCTTCGTCACCGGGTACTGCTTACACAGCGAAACAGCCATCCAAAAGAAAGTCTCGTTCCTCCGCGCTTCCCGGTTCTATCGTTTTATGGTCACGCCATCCACGTGCAAATCCATATCCATGTATTATCCATATTGGGAGACACTAGCTCCGTCCCAACAGTGGGTGTGTGTGGGGGGCGATAGATTCGTGGGTGCGGGGAGGGGAGCAGAAAGAGTGAGGCCAGCGGGTCCACGGCTTCAAAATCCCAAAGTCAGTTAGTGCAGCTTTAAAGGGGAAGTACTTGTACACAGGATTCATGCAGAGTCGAGTCATTTGATAATAATAATAACAATGCATCAGTTTTATAAATCACTTTCAAAGACGCTTCACACGTAACTATTTAATCACTCCATACACGGTGGTCATAAACCAGTGCTGAAGCCACAGCTGCCCTGGGGCACACTGACAAAAGCAAGGCAACCAATATATCTGCTCCACCAACCACCACCAACCATTTATGTCATACATGTCCATAACTCATGTCATGTGGCCCTCTGCCACTAACACGAGCCATTGAGGTACTTTCACACTGACATCCAGCCAACTTCAGCTCCTCCAATATTGTCATGCTATACCTCGCTGTAAAACTCAGAACCTCTGAGATCCAGTCATCCACTTCATTTGTATGTACTGGGTCAGAACATTCCAAACATGCCGCTAATGCAGATGTGGTGTGAATCAATAAGACATAGAATACACCTCTTAAAGCTCACAACAGCCCAAATACAGCCAAAACAGTTCTATAATCCATGTTGTCGGTCCCTGAATAAGTCTTCAGAACTAAAGTGGCACTCTTACTGGAAAGTTTGATTTACGTTGTCAGCTGACTCTGATTCTAGACAATGTGGGTGAAGTGTCTTGTCTAGTGTCTGGACATTGTAAAGCGCTTTGGGTGACCTTGGTCTGTAAAATGCGCTATATAAATAAACATTACTTATTTATTTACTTACTTACTTGTCTAAGGACAAAATGAAAGTTTGACACTGCACAGGGCGGTGGTGCTCTCATCACTGCTGTTTTTACTGACTTTACTTACTCATTTTCTTTTCTGACACACTCTGAAAAGATATTGGTTGAAAAACTGATATTGATTAGATTAATCCATGTATTGGTCATAATGAAACATTTGCATCCGTCAGTACTCTCCCAAAATAGATGGATTGAAAACAAAACCATAGCAGTGCATAGAATCAATGTCAACAAGTTGCAGAATGTATTTATTGTGGGGCCACTTGCCGGTCAAACCTCAGAAGCTAAGCAGGGCAAGGCCTTATTAGTGCTGAGATGGGAAACTTTGGAGGCCACAGTAGCATGGCCAAACTCTCCACATGTCCTTAGGCCAGACACTTCATCCACATTGTTTTGTGTGTGTTAACACATGGATGCACAATGTTCTAAATATATAACATAATATATAATAATCTGCTATATAGCAGATTGAAGTATGTCTTCTTCTACTTTTGCACTGATTGTAATCAATCAGCATGTGTTATTATCATGTCACTATTATATCGACTGGTACAGTAAAATGCCCTTCCATGTGTGAATAAGGAAAGTACCTCTCCAGAGAAACAGGTTGGAAACGTATTTATAATGTGGGTCAGTTTAGTCCTGTCGATAATTGAAGCAGAAAGCAGAATCATGAAAACATTGTCGTGCATTCAAAATGAAAAAGAGAAATATACAAATACATATATATATATTCATATATTTATATATATTTTACCATGACTGCATTTTTTAAAATTGATTTCACAATCAGCTAAAATCATTTTACTTAGAGACTTTCTTTTACAAATTAATTCCAGTCCAATAGAAACTCCATGAGCATTGTTGCTAGGCAGATTTATGAGAAGGCTCAGCTTCGGATTGGACAAACAGACGGGCCATTGTACCCAGGTGGTTTATAGGACTTTAAATCTCACAACGGGTTTAGTACGAGACCTGGCCCAGTCCTGGGTTAGACTGAACTTTAGCTGAATAACGTAAAGAGAAGCACATTTTTGTCGGCAGTCCTGGGAATGCAGTCGTCAAAGTAGTTCTTGTACAGTAATGTCCAAGTGCATGCAGCAGAGTATTGCAGTAGTGGTACCAGGTCTAGTATGTGGACGTCCCACTGGACTGCAGTATCGCAGGGGTCCGGTTACAGCTCTTTGTCAGAGTTTTAGCCTCATTTAACTGCCACAAAAGAAGCTCCGAGTGAAAATGTGGAAAGACTAGGGCAAGTGTACAGGACAGTGGCGGGAGCGAGGGGAGGGGCTCCTGTACTGCACCGGCCACCTCTACCGGTTAGAAAGCTTTTCTTTCATTTATAGGCGTGCACATTTCATCTCGGCCTCAGAGATTTGGAAATCTGGAACAGTATTCCTGTTGTGATCGGCTGTTTCAGAATGGGACAGACAAACTTTGTTCTCCTCATACATTTAGAAAGTTATGACTTCTTTATGTAAAAGTGTTATTCTAATAAGATAATGATTGTAAAAAGCTTTTACTGTTTTACACTCCTTTACACTCTTTGTCTTAAGGAGAACACTTTGAGCCTGGTTCTGCTCATGTCTGAGAGACAAGTGACTTTAGGCCTGCGTTGGGTTGATTCATGTAAATGAATCATAAAGATGGATAATGAGGCGATTTTGACATATTCATATGAACAGATTTGACTTATCTCATAGAACAATCAGTGAGCATTATGTCATTATGTCACACTTTCCCCCATTCCCCTCCATCCCTGTGTGTTCTTTTGTCTGTTGTTTTTGTTTATTGTGTGTTTGTTTGTCTGTGTGATTGTTTATTGTGTACAGTAAAATCATAAATGCTCCAAATCCAATTTATAATTATGATACTGTTGAAGATGTTTGGGTTACATTTGTATGGTCAATCCTGTATGCCAGGGGCGCCCAAACCTTTTTAGTAAGAGGCCACTTTTTAAAAAATGTCAATGTTGTAGTTGCACAAAAGAATAAAAAGAGAAATAAGAGCACTCAGATTATGCACACAACAAACAAGATCTATTATTTAAGATAATAGATTATAAAATAATAAAATAATAGATAAGATAATGAACTCTGGAGGTATAATTGCACTTGGGTCAAGGATAAGTCACTTGTGGAGTAAACACTAAAGCCAGAAGCAGTGATGAGGTTTCACATTTACAGATAGTTAGTATTACTTTTCTTACCTCTCTTCTTTGACTGTTGCACTGAGCCAAAGCAATTTCCGAGTCTGTGACTTCCTGTTACGTACATGGCAATAAAAATGATTCTGATTCGGAGTATTATTTTTTACATGCAATATCTCTGCAGCTCAGTGAATATGTGTAATATTGTGTGATATTAGTGTGAATCAAGCTAAAACAACTATAAAAATGTATTGAGGAGGTAAAACATGGATAAAGGAGAAAGAAGGTCATTTTTGCATTTCATGTGTCCTTTAGCATAGTCCAGTTCCCTTTGCCCTGTTTGGGGGCGACTCCAGCTGAGGGCTAAAGAGTTGAAGTCTTCAGCTGAGCAAACACAGGCTCTGCTCATGTCAGCTGAGAGCAGCACCACTGTCCCGTACTCTCATGGACATGTCTTATGGCTCAATTTACATTAGTGAAACGTCTGTACATAATAATACTTTCATCCAGATATTCTGCAAAAATATCGTTTAACCTTGTGCCAACATTGTGTCTAATCCAAAATAGACCTCAAACTATTAGATATGTATCTATTCTATTTTGTATCTAGCTGTATGTATTCTGCCTATGAAAAATATATTCAGATTCTCTTACTACCTCTCAAACCACTAAGTTTCAATAAACAACTTCTAATCAAATACCTCCCTTCTCCACCGGTGTTCCCCAAGATTCAGTGCTTGGCCCCCTCCCCTTCATCATCAACATGTTATCGCTTGTTGTCAGATCATGGACTCATCGTGGACTTTCACTGCTGCCTAAACGGATCCCAAGTCTCCATTTCCACCCGATTCCATCAGGCCTACCTCTCCGATATTAAAACAGCAACTTTCTAAAACCCAACAGCAGAAAATCTTATCCTCAGAGGACCAAAATCTGTTTCTCTCTGACCAGACCTTCTTCCTCAACATCGATGGCAACAGAGAAGATTTTTTTGTGAAAGGGGAGTTCCTCATATTAGTGTTGGTGGAGCTGAAAAACAACTTGGAACAGGTTGGAAATATTGGAACACGGTTGAATGTGATGGAGTCTGCTGAGAGAGAAGACATAAACTACCTAACTTCAACTATGCAAAAATATCTGTAGTTTTCACATGCCACATCTTTAGATCAGCTTTATCAGACAGAAAAGTTGAAAAGAGAGGACCCCTGACTCAGCCAATCAGCTCTCAGCACAAAGCATCAAATTGTGACTGAGAGGGTTCTTTCGGATGCAAATGTAAATGCTACAGTAATGTGTTGTGGTCTATTTGTTCACTTTTACATTACTCTCTCCCTTAGAACAAACAATATGTATTATTTATGAAACAAAGAAGTTAGGTAAAGCACCTTTAACTCCACTTCAACACAATCCATTGACAAAAGAACCTGCATGTCGGCAGGTTCCTGATAAGCGTTGCGGATGACGTGAGGCGTGTGGTGGAGTGTGGGAGAGAGTTTTGGTGTCCCGGGGCAGTGTTCAGAGCAGTGACTCAGGCTTTCCTGTCTGTGCCTGTCCCAAAACACACATCGGGATCACGGACAGGGGGGGGGGCGGGGGCGGGGGGCAGAGCTTCCGAATCACCCCAGTGCGCACCGACGAGCCGCAGCATGCACCTTCACTCATTGTCTTGCTCCCATTTGAATGAAAAGAGAATTTGGGTCAAATTGTGGTTTGCACGAAGCCTGGGTGCAGCCGAACTGTAGACCCGCTAACATCATTTTCCAGCGGGAAGTTTGGTCTGGCTGCTTTAGAATTAACCAATCAGCCTCTCGTTGGCTTGACTGAGGGCCAGCAAGCTGACGTACAGCTTTTAATGTGTGCGTGTCTTTTGACTGGATGTGCAAGGAAGGGACGTATCAATGTGATAAACAGAAATAAGCAGAAAGACGGAGCCCCTGGAGAGGAGAACACTCAGCCGGGGTAGAGCTGAGGCTAAAAGCTGATGGAAATAGTTAATATAATTTATTAACAAACAAATCCACAGAGCTAGGCAATATCTAATCAAAACATGGCGCTGCGTCCTGCCTCACAACCACATGCATATTTTATGCTTGTCGTCTGGATAAGTTTGGTTTAATCTTGTGGACGGTGTAGTTGGACTTTCCCACATTAATGAGCAGAGTCAGAACAGTTCAAACGCCAGTGTTGAACATTCGGCCTCGTTCCCAACACTGACTGTGTGAATAATGTTAAGCATTGTGCATGTCAGTGTTGTGCGTGAACGAGTTCAAAAGAACGCGTTCATTGAACACGCTCATTTTTTCGTGAACGTTGAACTGAACACATTTAAAAAATAAAAACTTGAACGTGAATTAGTTCATTTTATGTGTCATGAACGGCAGACATCACTATGAACGTTGGAATCTGTTTTCTCTTTTGAAACGCAACGAGAGAAAGTTCCTCCCTCCTGTATTCTCGCACTTTTTCCGCCAAAATCTAAAAATTCCTACGGTTTCCACCGTCTGTGAACGCACCCCGACTCCGTGTTGCGGTGCGGCGCTGTGAGCTGGTGCTTTTCACATGTGCCCGAGTCGTGATGAAAACACAGGGTGAGTTAGCGACAAAGTTTACACCGTTTACATTTGACATAAAGTATAGACACACGCACTGCAGCGCATTACTGTCTGTAGTTTATGAGCAGAGATGGAGCCACTCCGTTTGGCTCCCATTGAAAACCATGTAAATCTTGTCTGTTTTGTGGTCAAAAGGCTCTCCTCCTGTGGGTGTACAGGAGATATATATATATATATATATATATATATATATATATATATATATATATATATATATATATATATATATATATATAATATATATATATAAATAAATAAAAATTATATAGCTCGTAGTGTGAAAAAAAGTATTTATTTGACTTTCACGAAAAAAGTAAAATGAACTGAACTTGAACTAGTTCAGAAAAGCTGTGAACTGGCACAACACTGGTGCATGTGTGTGTCATATACTTTAGTGTCCTCTGCATGTGCCCATTTCTTCAATACCGCCTCTCAGTGTTGTGCCAGTTCACAGCTTTTCTGAACTAGTTCAAGTTCAGTTCATACATGCTCAAAGTAAACAGTTCACGTTCAAAGTTCACATTTTTAATTCTGAACTAGTTCAAAGTTCAGTTCATTTTACTTTTTTTGTGAGATATTCAAATACATATTTTTTTCACACTACGAGCTTGAAATCACATTATATATATAAGTATAATATCCTGTACACCGCACAGGATGAGAGCCTTTTGACTCCAAAACAGACAAGATCTACATTCGGAGGAAAAAACGGAGTTGCCACTGCTCATAAGTACAAACAGTAACGCGCTGCAGTGCGTGTGCCTATACTTTATGTCAAATGTAAACGGGTGGTCCTGTGTCGCTAACTCACCCTGTGTTTTCATCACAACTCGGGCACATGTGAGTCCAACAACCAAAGAAAAGCACTAGCTCACAGCGCCGCACCGGCTGGCTCAACACTGTAGGAATTTTTAGTTTTCGGCGGAAAAAGTGCGGAGAATACAGGAGGGAGGAACTTTCTCTCGTTGCGTTTCAAAAGAGAAAACAAATTCCAACGTTCATAGAGATGTCTGCCGTTCATGACACATAAAATGAACTAATTCACGTTCAAGTTCTTTATTAAAAATGTGTTGCGTTCAGTTCAACGTTGAATGACAAAAATGAGCGTGTTTAATGAACGCGTTATTTTGAACTCGTTCACGCACAACACTGCCGCCTCTGTCAGTGCCCAGGACCTCATCTCCAGATGCACTTGGTCACGGCTGGAGGATTGTATTGGGTATTCTTTTGAAACCTTAACTTTTATTTTACTTCTGGCACATAATTTCAAACCAACAATGACACATAGAGAAAGTCAGGCCGACATAGGAGTGTAACTTGCAACTCGTACGTATGCATGTGTGTGTGACCCACCTGCTCTGCTCTCCTGTAGTTCCCGCAGAGCAGAGGACAGCTCCTTGAAGCCCTCCAGGTTCTTGTCATTCTGGCTGTACAGCAGGATCTTCTTGGCATCGGAGAAAAGTCGAGAGATTCTGACAAAAGTAAAACACATCAACACTATGTTACATAACTCTTTTTGATCTGAGAACAATACAATATACTCATCGTATTGTGTTGGGGAGAAACTAAACATCACAGAGGACACAGAATTCCCACATAAGTGTCATTTTATTTGCTCTTAGATGCATCTGATGGACTCGTCACAATAGTTTTCAAATATTCAATTGAATTTTCCACTAGTGCTTTTAAAATAAACTGTACTCACTTTTGTAATCAAAGAGAAAAGCATGTTGTTTCTTCTCTAACAGCTCTGTAATCCACCCTACCTTCAGTGGGACAGTGTCTCTCTCTCTGTGGGACAGTGTCTCTCTCTCTGTGGGACAGTGTCTCTCTCTCTGTGGGACAGTGTCTCTCTCTCTGTGGGACAGTGTCTCTCTCTCTCTGTGGTACAGTGTCTCTCTCTCTGTGGGACAGTGTCTCTCTCTCTATGGGACAGTGTCTCTCTTTCTGTGGGACAGTGTCTCTCTCTGTGGGACAGTGTCTCTCTCTCTCTCTGTGGGACAGTGTCTCTCTCTCTGTGGGACAGTGTCTCTCTCTCTGTGGGACAGTCTCTCTCTCTCTGTGGGACAGTGTCTCTCTCTCTGTGGGACAGTGTCTCTCTCTGTGGGACAGTGTCTCTCTCTGTGGGACAGTGTCTCTCTCTCTCTGTGGGACAGTGTCTCTCTCTCTCTGTGGGACAGTGTCTCTCTCTCTCTCTGTGGGACAGTGTCTCTCTCTCTGTGGGACAGTGTCTCTCTCTCTGTGGGACAGTGTCTCTCTCTCTGTGGGACAGTGTCTCTCTCTCTCTGTGGGAGAGTGTCTCTCTCTCTGTGGGACAGTGTCTCTCTCTCTATGGGACAGTGTCTCTCTCTCTGTGGGACAGTGTCTCTCTCTCTCTCTGTGGGACAGTGTCTCTCTCTGTGGGACAGTGTCTCTCTCTCTGTGGGACAGTGTCTCTCTCTCTCTGTGGGAGAGTGTCTCTCTCTCTGTGGGACAGTGTCTCTCTCTCTATGGGACAGTGTCTCTCTCTCTGTGGGACAGTGTCTCTCTCTCTCTCTGTGGGACAGTGTCTCTCTCTGTGGGACAGTGTCTCTCTCTCTGTGGGACAGTGTCTCTCTCTCTCTGTGGGAGAGTGTCTCTCTCTCTGTGGGACAGTGTCTCTCTCTCTATGGGACAGTGTCTCTCTCTCTGTGGGACAGTGTCTCTCTCTGTGGGACAGTGTCTCTCTCTGTGGGACAGTGTCTCTCTCTCTGTGGGACAGTGTCTCTCTCTCTGTGGAACAGTGTCTCTCTACGTGGGACAGTGTCTCTCTCTGTGGGACAGTGTCTCTCTCTGTGGGACAGTGTCTCTCTCTCTGTGGGACAGTGTCTCTCTCTGTGGGACAGGGCCTCTCTCTCTGTGGGACAGTGTCTCTCTCTGTGGGACAGTGTCTCTCTCTCTGTGGGACAGTGTCTCTCTCTCTCTGTGGGACAGTGCCTCTCTCTACGTGGGACAGTGTCTCTCTCTCTGTGGGACAGTGTCTCTCTCTGTGGGACAGTGTCTCTCTCTCTGTGGGACAGTGTCTCTCTCTCTATGGGACAGTGTCTCTCTCTCTGTGGGACAGTGTCTCTCTCTGTGGGACAGTGTCTCTCTCTCTCTCTGTGGGACAGTGTCACTCTCTGTGGGACAGTGTCTCTCTCTCTGTGGGACAGTGTCTCTCTCTCTGTGGGACAGTGTCTCTCTCTGTGGGACAGTGTCTCTCTCTCTGTGGGACAGTGTCTCTCTCTCTGTGGGACAGTGTCTCTCTCTCTGTGGGACAGTGTCTCTCTCTCTGTGGGACAGTGTCTCTCTCTCTGTGGGACAGTGTCTCTCTCTCTGTGGGACAGTGTCTCTCTCTCTGTGGGACAGTCTCTCTCTCTCTGTGGGACAGTGTCTCTCTCTCTGTGGGACAGTGTCTGTCTCTCTGTGGGACAGTGTCTCTCTCTCTGTGGGACAGTGTCTCTCTCTCTGTGGGACAGTGTCTCTCTCTCTGTGGGACAGTGTCTCTCTCTCTGTGGGACAGTGTCTCTCTCTGTGGGACAGTGTCTCTCTCTGTGGGACAGTGTCTCTCTCTCTGTGGGACAGTGTCTCTCTCTCTGTGGGACAGTGTCTCTCTCTCTGTGGGACAGTGTCTCTCTCTCTGTGGGACAGTGTCTCTCTCTGTGGGACAGTGTCTCTCTCTGTGGGACAGTGTCTCTCTCTCTGTGGGACAGTGTCTCTCTCTGTGGGACAGTGTCTCTCTCTCTGTGGGACAGTGTCTCTCTCTGTGGGACAGTGTCTCTCTCTCTGTGGGACAGTGTCTCTCTCTCTGTGGGACAGTGTCTCTCTCTCTGTGGGACAGTGTCTCTCTCTCTGTGGGACAGTGTCTCTCTCTCTCTGTGGGACAGTGTCTCTCTCTGTGGGACAGTGTCTCTCTCTCTGTGGGACAGTGTCTCTCTCTCTGTGGGACAGTGTCTCTCTCTCTGTGGGACAGTGTCTCGCTCTCTGTGGGACAGTGTCTCTCTCTCTGTGAGACAGTGTCTCTCTCTCTGTGAGACAGTGTCTCTCTCTCTGTGGGACAGTGTCTCTCTCTCTGTGGGACAGTGTCTCTCTCTCTCTGTGGGACAGTGTCTCTCTCTGTGGGACAGTGTCTCTCTCTCTGTGGGACAGTGTCTCTCTCTCTGTGGGACAGTGTCTCTCTCTCTGTGGGACAGTGTCTCTCTCTCTGTGGGACAGTGTCTCTCTCTGTGGGACAGTGTCTCTCTCTCTGTGGGACAGTATGCTTACATGGAGTCGTTGAAGTTCCCAACGACCCCCGGAGACTCTCCCGGAGTGGGGCTCCTGAAGCATGGGTTGTTGGCGTTACACAGGATGCCCTGTATCCACGGCAACGTACCCGCCGACGGCATGGCTTTGTTTGGGAAATGACCTGCAAAATAGCAAGGATCAGAGCAAGCTGAATCTTCTGAACACTTATTTTGGCATTTCATCCTTTACAAGATGAAGTAATTTAGAAGATACATACCTAACAGATAATTGGAGAAATAGACAACAAGAATGAGCAACACACATACAGTACATAGATTTAGATTTAAATCTAACGGGGCCTGGCGTAATTTAAAGGACACAATTGTAAAAAACGTTATTCAAGTGAAGCAAATTCCAAAACTGATTTAGAGGCAAACCTCAAATCCGTCAGAGAGTGTGAAGGTTTGTAATTGTTTGAAAAGAGTGCATGAAGGGGATGAGTTCATTGTGGTTAATAAAGACCAACAAATACCATTTTCATATTTCCAAATGGATTTCTACAGGTTAAATCTATGGGAGAAAAAACACAGCTGCACCAAAAGTGAAGAAGAAGCAGGACTTTAAAGTGGATGAAGTTGTCTTTCTTCATGAGTGAGAAAGCCACTCCTAATCCAGGTGATAATCCCAAACAAAACAAAGCGTAAATGTGTGGCCGGACTGGAGCTGTTTGAGGAGGGCGTGGCCTACAGAGTCGCGGCACGAGATCTGATCCCGGGTCGAGGGGGTTTGATTTGGGAGTCAGGGGAGCGAGCTGGGAGAGACACCAGGCCTCAGACACATGAGGCGGGGGAGGACATCTCTGACTGACTGTAAATGTCAAAACAAGGACTAAAGAACGCAGGGCTGAAGCAGGACTGAAACAGGTCTAAAGTGGGACTAAATTAGGTCTAAAAAACAGGGCAAAAGTAGGACTGATGCAGAACTAAAGCAAGTCTAAAGCAGGACTAAAGCAGGACTAAAGCAGGACTAAAGCAGGTCTAAAGCAAGTCTAAAGCCAGACTAAAGCAGGACTAAAGCAGGACTAAAGCAGGTCTAAAGCAGGACTAAAGCAAGTCTAAAACAGGTCTAAAGCAGAACTAAAGCAAGTCTAAATCAGGACTAAAGTAGGACTAAAGTAGGTCTAAAGCAGGACTAAAGCAGAACTAAAGCAGGTCCAAAGCAGGACTAAAGCAGGTCTAAAGCAGGTCTAAAGCAGGTCTAAAGCAGTACTAAACATCAGCCTGCCCAGGGACTACGGGTGGAAATTAGCCTGGTATAATGCATCTCTCTCTTTGTGATTAATGTTTATTATACACTGTCCCTGTCACTTTAAATAGATACACTATAGTAAACTAAAGCAGGTTTAAAGAAGGTATAAAGCAGGTCTAAAGCAGGTCTAATCCATGTTTGAAGCAGGTCAAAACTGGTTCTAATACAGAACTAAAGCAGATTAATAGCAGGTATAAAGCCGGACTAAAGCAGGTCTAACGCTGGTCTATTTCAGATCTAACGTTGGCCTAAAGCAGGACTAAATGGTCTAATGCAGGTGTACAACAGGTCTACAGCAGGACTAATCCAGGTCAAGGCCGGCAGCAGTGACGTGAGCCTTTGGGAGATGATTCTGCACGTGTTGCCGTGGATCCGGGCGTGTCGGATCACATGAACTTTGGTGTGAGTGCAGTGGATCTGATTAGATAAAAGTGCATCCTGTGTGAGCTCCACAGGTCGGACTTCGTCACGTTCACCAGATTCACAGCTGTGGACCACGCTCCCGTCGGTTTCTCTCGTCATGTACACACGGAAAGGACTCATTTATATTCTCTGACACCGCCTCTGACCTTTAAAACACACCCCTTTTTCCCTGACTTTGTCCTGCCATTTTTTCTGTTACTTTATGTGTGATGTTACGTACAGCATAGCAAGACACAATGTATTTATTTATTTTATCTTTGTTTCCCACTATCCTCCCCTTGTGCCTTGGTTTTATATTACATTGTTCCGTCATACACATTGTAAGGATAATTTGTCATTTCTGAACAGAGACGTAACTCATAAAAAATAATTCATATTCCTCAGCTGTCCTGGTGGTGACCTCAACAACTTACAGACGGAAAGCATTACTCTTCATCCATGTTTCATCACATATTTTCACAAGATATTAGGTCCCATTCCAAACATGAAAAGTAAATAGTCTCGATAACATTATTAACGGCCAAAAATGCATACAGTTCTCATTTAGGGGCAATTATATCGCTTTAAAAAACTCTATTACTCTGAGAAGACTTGTTTTTCCACCGACTTAGCTTGTAATTTAGCCAACTGAAGACACTTGTTTGTAATGTCCGGTCCTCAGGTCTCTGCACTGGCTTCCTGTGGCTCAGAGAATAGACTTTAAAACAGCTCTGCTTGTTACAAGTCTCTCCATGGCCTCGCACCAAAATATATTAGTGACATGTTAGTCCCATATGAACCAGCCCGGACTCTGAGGAGCACAGGGACTGGACTCCTGTTAGTGCCCAGAGTCAGGACTAAACATGGGGAGGCTGCTTTTCAGATCCATGCTGCTAAAATCTGGAACAATCTTCCTGAAGATGTGAGACAGGCCTCCTCTCTGACAATGTTTAAAACCAGGTTAAAAACGGTGCTGTTTAGCTGTGCATACAACTGAGGGATTTTATATTTTTATCTTTCGTTTTAATGTTCTGTAATTATTTATGATTTTAATGCTATCTTGTTCAGCACTTTGAGTTGCCTTGTGTATGAATTGTGCTATACAAATAAACTTGCCTTGCCTTGCCTTGCCTTGCCTAATGTAAAAGGAGAGTTTAATGACAAACTGTTTACATATCCAGGAAAAAACAACAGAATTTAGATGAGCTCGAGAAAAAAACAGGATGCTACCAAAGCAGCTCAGGAATGCACTTTTAATGTCGTCAAACTGTTGATGGGTTCTGGGAGTACTCAGAGTAATCCGACCCAGCATTACACACTTTCACTTCTGCAGCAGTTCAATCTTTTACAACATACTGACGTCACTTTCTGTTTGGCTCCGTTTGAATACGCTCTGTTCGAGTATGGCTCAAATAAAGACTATGTGCTTTGAAAATGCATTTGGCCTAAAAAGGCCTCAGTTATGTGTTAATCACATAATCCCAAAATACTAAACATTAAAAACAAGACATGCACAAAATTGAGCTCAAGCGTAAACTCAGAATGGAAAACCAAAGAGACGTCATGCTGCCACAGTGACTCCTCCCCCTCTGCACTGACTCCTCCCCCTCCGCACTGACTCCTCCCTCGACACACCTGTGCCAGAGCTCAACGTCAGCCTCAGCAGCTCAGTAACACACCTGTGCTCGTCATCACTTCACGGCTGCATTTAAACAGAGCCTCTCAGTTCTCTGAAGCTCAAACTGCTGTTCAAGCAGCAACCCACCTCCTCCTCATCACCACCTCTTCAGTGAAATATCATGTCATGTCTTCGGCTCAGCTTCTTTGCCACCAGGTTCGCAAGCTCTTCATTTCTGTTAAACTCCCTTCTGCACACATCATGCGGTATTCCTGCTGGAGTGTAATTGCCAATCCCAATGCAGTAAATATGTTAGTAATCATTCTAAGTCTGCTGGTGTCTATTCATACATCTTGACAATAAATATTCTTGAACATATCTTTATTACGAGGAACAGCCCTTTGAGATGCATCATCTCGTTTTCAACAGGGTCCTCTATTCTCGGATGAGAATAACATGAAGACCCACAGCACACTCTGAGCCGCACTCCGAGGTCAAAGTCTGTGTGGAAATGCATTATCCACCATTATATGTAAGGTTTGTGGCGATGTAAGCCTAGAGTTTTTTTATAAGAATAAAAAATGGTTCATTCATTGGGAACAGTCGGCCTGTGTCATGTCTGCTGCCTGTGCGTCTGAAGTGAAGCTGGAGGCGCTGAGTTTTGCTAAGATTCCAAACAAGTCTCAACAGCTCCGGCCTCGATCTGTGTTCACTGCCACCGCCACCGCAAAAACCAGCCCACATCTGTAAGCACTGAAGGAGGGACTACAGCAGGTCTAAACGGGGACCAAACAGGGACTAAGAAGGGACTACAGTAGGTCTACACAGGGACTAAAGCAGATCTAAAGCAGGACTAAACAGGGTCTGAAGAAGCTCTGGGGTAGAACTAAACAGGGACTAAATTAGGTCGAAAGTAGGACTAAACAGGGACTAAATTAGGTCAGAAAGTAGGACTAAACAGGGACTAAATTCGGTCTAAAGTAGGACAAAATTAAGACTAAGCAGGGACTAAATTAGGTCTTAAAGTAGGACTAAACAGGGACTGAATTAGGTCTGAAGTAGGACTAAACAGGGACTGAATTAGGTCTGAAGTAGGACTAAACAAGGACTAAAGCAAGACTAAACAGGGACTAAATTAGGTCTAAAGTAGGACTAAACAGGGACTAAAGTAGGTCTAAAGTAGGACTAAACAGGGACTAAATTCGGTCAAAAGTAGGACAAAATAAGGACTAAACAGGGACTAAATTAGGTCTGAAAGTAGGACTAAACAGGGACTAAATTAGGTCTAAAGTACGACTAAACAGGGACTAAATTAGGTCTAAAGTAGGACTAAACAGGGACTAAATTCGGTCTAAAGTAGGACAAAATTAGGACTAAACAGGGACTAAATTAGGTCTAAAGCAGGACTAGAGCAGGTCTAAACCGGGACTAAAGCAGATCTAAAGCTCAACTAAAATGGATCTAAACAGGACTAAAGCCGGTCTAGATCAAAACTACCACAGGGACTACAGCGAGACCTTACAACTGCCATCATGCCATGTTAGATTCACAGCATCAGAACGTTAAGTCTTTCTTGTACCACTCCATGGAAGTGCGTTGCTCATCCTGGTCATCTCTTACTCCAAATTTCATAAATGTATCCACATATTCTACACTTTAGACATTGTTTCACGTTCTAAAACATGAAGGAACAGTTAATATTCTCAACACTTACACTCATGCTGCTCGTACGGAGGGTAGTTGAGGCGGACGGCAATGAGGATGAAGAAGATGAAGAGCGGCCACAAGATCTCCACCAGCAGCTGCAACTGAAGACACACGGACACAGCAGTAAGAATAGGATACTCTCAGAATGTACAACGAACAACGAGAACTGACAAACATTACCGACCTGACCTCACATGTGCTGCATCCGTCAGAATGAGCGATACAGAAGCACATTTGTCCACAGTCACTTTGACCCATCCCCTCAAGCTAACGTGTAACTAGCTTGCACCATTATGCTAAAGTAAGAGATTTTTTTTTATTTAGTATAGAGTTATTGTTCTGGAACTTGTGATGCAACACTGAAATTTCCCCACTGTGGGACAAATAAAGGATCTCTTGAAACAAAATGAGACGTGATGGGGATGACAACTGGTGTTCAAATACAGTATATTGTATTTAGAATAGGACAGCTGTTGAACCATTTGTCCCGATACCTTTGAGCTCCAAAAGTGGGAAGACACAAAAGCAGTTGTTTTTCCTGCTCTCATCACCGTCCCAACAAGCTGTTTAATAATGAGTTTTGGAATATGAGTGATTGTGGAAGGAAGAAAGAACAGCCAATGTTTTATTTTTTATTTAAAGGAGCAGTATGTAAAAATCTGGCCAAAAGTGGTACTGCACTTTCCCTGACTCAGGTTGCCAGATATGCAGACAAATCCAGCTGGGACCATAATAACTGAATGGACAAGAGTTTTGTCAATAACAAATCTATAACCAACACCTTTTTTCACAAAGGCCCCGATAGAAATCCTTGTTTTGTCATTAATGATTTAAGAATCATAATGAGACCTTTTTTAGTTCTGCGGCCACATGGTACTTTACCAGTGAGATTAGCTTGACGCGGTGAGTTCTGGCAACCCGGATTACGGACTTTCTGATTGGTGAAACGGTGGAGGGCGGGACATTGAAATTAAAACAATAACAAGATTTAGATGCTGTAAAACTAATTTTGAAGAAGTATTTGAAAAGAGCATGTTTTATTAATGCCTTTTGACAGATTAGGGCCATTTAATTATGATTTGACATTAAAATCTTAGATATTGCTACTTTAAAGATTATTTGCTGCCTCCAAAAATAATAACGATCATTTCATGTTCATACGTACAGAATAATGAGTTTGACCCCAGGTGTCCAGAGATTAGCACCGCGGTGTGTGTTTGTATGGCTCAGAGGAGTGAGACCTCCTGTGTCAGTGAGGATCATCTCAGACAGGAAGTGCCTCGTTATTAGACATGAATATTTGATTAGAATCGATCCATGCTCACACTCACAGTACAGCAGAGTGGAGACCTGCTTTAGATCTGGTTCAGACCTGCTTTTGTCCTATTTCAGACCAGTTTAGCTCTGTTTTAGCCTTGTTTTAAACCTTCAGTACAGCTTTAGTCTTGCTTTAGTCCTGCTTCAGTCCTGTTTTAGACTTGCTTTTGCTCTGCTTCAGACCTATTTAATCCTATTTTATATCTGCTTTAGTCCTGCTTTAAACCTGCTTTAATCCTTGTTTCAACTTGCATGAATTAAAGTTCTCAGACCGGCTTTAGTCTTGCATTAGTCCTGGTTCAGACCTGCTTTAGTCCTGGTTCAGACCTGCTTTTGTGCTGGTTCAGACCTGCTTTAGTCCATCTCTAGTTTATCATATTTTATCAGAGCAGATAAGAGTGTCACTGTGTCCTCCTCAGCACAATCTGTGTTATCAACTGCACCTGAGCTCTGAACTAGGTCTGAACCAGGTCTGAACTAGGTCTGAACCAGGTCTGAACCAGGTCTAAACCAGGTCTAAACCAGGTCTAAATGCAAAATTGAACTTGAACTTGCACTCAGAAAAAAAGTGTATGGGGTCTTTCTCCCATCACATATCTTCACCTCCTGTAGTTCTGCACAAACACACACACAGAGGCAATCACATTACCTCATGGCAGGGCAATAAACCGCTGCAGAGTTGTAAAGTGTGATGTCATTTCTCACGTTCCGGTTAACGCTGCAGCAACTTTACTGTGTTTTTCATTTAAGGACTCATTCTGGTTTTAACTATGTTCTCTCTAAATGTTTTCTTTTGAAAATTATTAAACTATCATGAATCCTCACGCTACGAGAACGTCAAGGGCAGAACTGTTTTCTGTCTTTTAAAAACAAAGGCTTTGTCTTTGAATTTGTTTTGGGAATTTCTCCAGCTAAATGACATTGTTTAGAACTGTATACGTACAACGAGATTGCACCTTGTAAAATATGGATATGAATCTAGCAGCACTTTGTCCTCTTAGACCAGGCATGTCCAAACTCAGGCCCGGGGGCCAATTGTGGCCCTCTCTGTCATTAAAGTCTTTAAGATCATGAAGCCAAGTTCATAGTGTAATCCAGACATGTTGTACCTGCTTGTGAAGTTCTATTTCTCTGGAATCTGTTGACTTTGTTTGACTAAAAGTCATTCAGCCAACTTCAGCTCTGTCAAGATTAACTGACATGTTATACCTAATCTTAGGGCTCAGAGCATACTTGATCCAGTCAACCCATGTTGTCGGCCCCTGGGCATTTTTGGTGAACCAAAGTGGCCTTCTTACTAAAAGGTTTGGACACCCCTGTCTTAGATAATAGTGTTTAATATTTAATACTGAAAAACAAATCATTATTGACTGCTATTGACTGAGCCATAAGGTGGAGAAGTTGGATTAACACAGTGATTGGTTACCAGTGTAACATGTGACATCACCAGTGTGACATATATTAATGATGCATTCTCACTTTTTATTTTAGGTCCAGACTGACTCTGAATGCAGACTGCTTTGGTCCGGTTCTGGGTCTGGTCTAGTCTGTGTTTCGGTGTTTGGTTGTTGCGTGTGTGTTCTTACGGTCTGACGCCGTCTGTAGGTGAAGTTCTTCCACAGCAGGAGTCCCAGCTGAGTCCAGGCCGACATCCTTCAAGGCCCTGCAACAAATACATGTGTGAATGAGGTCTGGAACAGGGTCTGTAAACCAGGTCTGAGCCAGGACTGAGCCAGGACTGAGCCAGGTCTAAACCAGGTCTGAGCAAGAACTGAACCAGGTCTGAGCCAGGTCTGAGCCAAGACTGAACCAGGTCTGAGCAAGAACTGAGCCAGGTCTGAGCCAGGTCTGAGCCAGGTCTGAGCCAGGTCTGAACCAGAATAAACCAGGTCTGAACCAGAAATGAACAAGGTCTGAGCCAGGACTGAACCAGTACTGAACCAGGACTGAACCAGTACTGAACCAGGACTGAACCAGGACTGAACCAAAGACAGTAAAAAGAGTGACAGATTATTGCTAATATTTCTGATATAATTTGTCTAATTCCAGATGAAGCCAATTAGAGCTAACTCAGACAGACTCCATGAGGATTGAGGATTAGAGCTAACTCTGACAGGCTCCATGGGCAGAAATTTGGACACAAGACTAAGACGAGTTTCCTTTTCAATGTAAGTGAACGGAGCAAAGGGAAAAGGAGCAAAAATCAACGTGAGACCATCACCAAAAATAGCTAAGATAATACCCAATCAATTCCTAATAAACAGTTCAATTCAGTTCAATTTATTTTTGTATAGCCCTAAATCACAACAGTATCAACCTCGGAGGACTTTACAAAAGCGTTGATTTGCCAGCAAAGATTAGAGAATCAAACACAAGAAATGCAATGATAAAAATCACATAGAGTCCATAAGGGGCAGAGACCAATGTCCATAAATGTTGATAAAGTCCATAAATGTTGTTGAATGTGGAGTGTCCTGGATCATCACCACTGTCCTGCATCGACAAGGAACAACTCTAAAAACCCAGTGGGGGAAATAAAAAACAACTGCTAAAGTAACTACAGTACAGTCTATGGTCTGGTAAAAAACTGACTTTATTTTCCGTTATTATCAATCGCACTCTGACCACTTTCAAGTCCCAGTTTACATGAGCCCCACTGAGCATACGGAGCCCTGTGATGCTCTCAAAGGAATCTAAAACTTCGCCTTTGAGACTTTGGAAGAGTAATTGTGATTAAAATTGCAAGCGCACTTTTGACCAATGCAATCTCGCAACAACTCATTTACTTATGACATTTGAACAGAAGCAGCAGCTGCACAAGTCACATCATTTAAGCACCACGATTGTCGATACAGTTACTCCAAACAAACTACCAGATGTACCAAATTACACTAGTGCTTTGTAAACATACTTCGGAAGCAGGTCTAAAACAGGTCTAAACCAAGTCTAAACCAGGTCAAAACCAGGTCTAAACCAGGTCAAAACCCTGATGTCAAAACAACATCTCGATAAACACAGGCCAGTTGAATAGTGCACAATATTACTAGTGAAATTAATCAATCAATGATTACATCTAAGGCTTTAATTAACAGTCATTTTGATAATAGATAAGTTGGACTATTATTATTCTTAAAAATATAATGTATCGGTTTAATATTGCGCTTTTTTGGACACTCATAGACACTTCACATGTCATTATTCATTCACTCCATACACGGTGGTGATAAACTACGACTGTAGCCACAGCTGCCCTGGGGCACACTGACAGAAGTGAGGCAACCAGTATGTGCCATCGGCCCCTCAGACCACCACCAACCATTCACACACACACCAGACTCATTCTAGACAATGGGGGTGAAGTGTCTTGCCTAAGGACACAACGGCAGTTGGCACTTTTCAGCCGCAGCTGCCCCACTGTGGCTCCTGGTGTTCACAGAGGTCTCCCATCACAGTACTAACCAGGCCCTGTCCTGCTTAGCTTCACAGGTCTGAAGGGACCTCAAGATTGATTATATCCTCAATATTAGTGTTCAAGTGATACCCCTGGAGAACATCTTCATAGAGACGACTTTTTTCACAGTGAGTTCTTTAACTAAAAAACTATTTTTTACGTACAGAATTATTTGAGTAAAGTAAAACCTCTTCTCAGCATCTTTAGTCTAAATATGTGAGGTTCAAAGTATGATTAATAGATTACTAAAATAGCTGACAACTATTTCAATAATCAATGACATTTATTGGATAACTTATTTCCGGGATGCTATGTCCAAAATTGTTCTCAAATGTAAAACTTTGAAAGTCCCATTTTAATGATTTTAGAACTCTGGGCCTGAGAGCAGTGAAATAAAATGCAAATCTCTTTTTCTGGCCCCAGGGTATGTGTGTACTGCTGATTAAGATAGAGTTGTTCTAGATGGTATTGAGTAGATGGGCATTACTGCTTTTGAGAACAACACTAGAGGGCAAAAGGTCGTGTACAGCGGCTTATCCGGTGATCGAATCACAATCACACACAGAACGGTCACCTGAGGATTCTGTGGACAAAGAAAGTCAAAACCACACTGCTAGATACAAAGTGGTGCGAAAGCTGTGACACATGGAAAAACTATAAGTATGTAATCAAATCCAACTAACTCAGTCCTTGCTCTAAAACAGTTTGGTAGTTTCTGCGTGTTTTTTCATCCTCTGTCATCACTGAAAAAGACAGGACCACTCTCACTCAGCTAAACAGCAACTCAGAGCTCTTTCTTACACGGATGCAAACGACAGCATGTTGTGGTTGATTCATTCACCGCAATTTACTCTTTCCATTGAGACAAACAAAATGACTTTATATGAAATGAAAAAAGAAAGATACCCCAAGGACATTGCCTCTGAGGAAGATGGCTGCTTCTACACGCCACGCAATCCAAATGGGAAACTTTCCTTTGTCAATAATCATTTTAATTATCATAATTAAATGATTCTCTCGGTCCTGGATGATCTGCACTAGGACTTTAAAAGACTTAAAAGCCAAGGCGGGTTCAAACAACACGGCCACTTTTCCCACTGTTGTCCCAGGTTGACACGCCATTTCAACATGTGTCATAAAATCTGTCTGTAGTGAACTCAGGAACCAACAACTGTATTGAGTTTGCATTACTGAGTAACAAGGAATTACATTCACTATAGTAAAAGCTGTAGTAGTAGTAGTAACTGTAGTAAGTAATAGTAAGTAGTGGTAGTAATAGTAACTTTAGTAAGTAGTAGTAGTAGTAATAGTAACTGTAGTAAGTAGTAGGGGTGTGACGATATATCGATTTTTCGATATATCACGATACTTTCTCCCACGATTCGATTATCGATATGCATTTGCCAAGTATCGATATCGATTTTGAAAAAAAAAAAAAAAAACATTGAATCATTTTTTTTTTTTTACATTACACATCTCCATTCTATTTATCATGAAATAAAGAGTATTTTTTTATTTTATTTATGCCATAAATTGGCATATTATATATATATATATATATTTCTAACCAATATATCAATAATCGTCATATCGTGATAAAATTGTTATTGTGATAAAATTGTTATCGTGATATTGTTATCGTGTATCGTATCGTATCGTGAGGTACTCTTAGGTTCCCACCCCTAGTAAGTAGTAGTAGTAGTAATAGTAGTAAGTAGTAGTAGTAGTAATACTGATTGTAACTGTAGTAGTAGTAAGTAGTAGTAGTAATAGTGACTGTAGTAAGTAGTAATAGTAAATAGTAGTAGTAAGTAGTAGTAGTAGTAATAGTAGTAAGTAGTAAGTAGTAGTAGTAGTAATAGTAGTAGTAATAGTAACTGTAGTAAGTAGTAATAGTAAATAGTAGTAGTAAGTAGTAAGTAGTAGTAGTAGTAATAGTAGTAAGTAGTAGTAGTAGTAATACTGATTGTAACTGTAGTAGTAGTAAGTAGTAATAGTAAATAGTAGTAGTAAGTAGTAAGTAGTAAGTAGTAGTAGTAGTAATAGTAGTAAGTAGTAGTAGTAGTAATAGTAGTGAGTAGTAGTAGTAGTAGTAAGTAGTAGTAGCAATAGTAGTAAGTAGTAGTAATAGTAGCAGTAGTGGTTATTTTTTCAGGATTAATTCATCGTCTGTGCCACTGACATGAGAAGAATTATGTTTATTTCCAGTACTTCTCAGTGACTGGTGAAGGTTTGACCTGAATCACGTCCGTTTGAACGTGGCCGGATCAGAGACGGTCTGAGATGTGCAGCGATGGGACTTCTCACGCACACAGGCAAAGGCTGGTCCAACACCGCGCTGCAGCGTCCAAAGGCCACAGGATAAGGAGGCTAAAGTACCACTACTACTACTGCTACTCAGGGCTGCTAAGGTACTCTTATCGGAAATCAGATATTCATGGATTCTAAAACTAGGATCAACAACTAGATACTCCTTGGTGAAAATAGCAGGACATTTTCTGAGCCCTTTGAGAGATTTCGACCAGAATTTGTATAAAACATGATGGTGGTTTCATGAAAAAGTTTGAATTGTCAACTTTTACTTTCAAATAAAAAAAATACAAAAATGAATATCACTGTGGAATCAGGATTGGTATAATACAGTCTACTCTTTAGTTTAATTAAGCTTGTAGTTTCTTATGTGACCACCAGAGGGAGAGTGGTTGTATTTCTGCAAGTCACTTTTAAAATCAAACCAGACATACTGCAGACCCAGCCATGCAGCTGTAATGGTGGTTATCGCACCGGAGAAATTGCCAAAACTGATCTCGAGGCAAAAGTTCTGAGCGTGATGTCATAGTGTAACAGGTTGGAGACAGGAGCATTGAGGCAGAAGGAGCGGGGGGACGTGTTTTTGCGAAAGTTCCTGATCTGGTTCTTGATGAGGAATGAATCTGCTGCTGTCAGACCGGGTTGGTTCAATCAGTTGGACCTAATTTTTGATAAACTAGGTCAAATGTCAGTGGCATTAATGGCTGAGAACTGATCAGCAATCTTCAACTCACTGACTGCCAGCCGTTCTTGATAATTTCACAGACTTTTAAGACCCACAAAATATCGTGTGCTGTGACTATGTAAAATATGAAACCAGATTGTGAAAGACTGGACTGTGTACTTTCATCCGCAATAATATGTTTGTTTCTAGCTAGTTTTTTTCTCCTGTAATCTCCAGTCGAATGGAGGGAAGTTTGAAGGATATCACCAGTCTCAGCCAAATACGTCAATGGCTTTTTAACTATATCAAAGGTATAAAGAACAATTGTCTACTTCCGGGTGGATCATCAAGACTATTGGTCCTCCTAATTGTCAATCATTCTGGTGATACGTGCTCATCAAACACGACCAGAGAGTTTTTCAAAAAGAGGAGAGGGCAGTTCTTTCCTAAAATGTGTGAAAATCCTCCTACCTTTGATTTGTATAAAAAAACAATAGATTTTATTATGGACTATATTCAAAATTCAGAGTTTAATCTAAAGAGATGAGGAGATTAGTCTGCTCTGCTCTGATCTTTTTGGAATTTTTTTTATTTGTCAACCGATATTTAGTATGTCTATAGTATATATTCTTGTAAATGAATATCCAACGTTATTGTTTTCTCGTGAAATACCGTGACAAGCCCAGGCCTGGAGTTGATGTCACATGTTTATTTAGATCAATCACTTTCGAACAAAACAAAATACACAATTCTGATGAAGGATGAACTCACCACAGACTTTATATCTCAGTATTGAATTAAAACACAACATCAACAAAGTATTTATTCTCAGTCCTGCTTTAGCCCAGCTCCAGTTCTGCTTTAGACCTGGTTTATTCTTGATTTAGTCCTGCTTTAGTCCTGCTTCAAACCCAGTCTGGTAAAACTCAATTATTTTTTCCCTACAACATTTGTACGATGGTGTGGTAAGACCAGGCTAGGCTCAACCCTCCTTTAGACCTGGTTTTGACTTAGTTTAGTCCTAATTTTTTATTCCTGACTTAGTCCTGTTTTAGCCCTCCTTTAGACTTGGTTAAGACCTGCTATAGTCCTGCTTTATCCCTGCATTATACCTGCATGCTTTAGTCCTGCTTTAGTCCTGCTTTAGAACTACTTTAGACCTGCTTTAGTCCCACTTTAGTCCTACTTTAGAACTACTTTAGAACTACTTTAGTCCTGCTTTAGACCTGCTTTAGACCTGCTTTAGTCCTGCTTTAGACCTGCTTTAGACCTGCTTTAGTCCTGCTTTAGTCCTGCTTTAGAACTACTTTAGACCTGCTTTAGACCTGCTTTAGTCCTGCTTTAGAACTACTTTAGTCCTGCTTTAGTCCTGCTTTAGACCTGCTTTAGTCCTGCTTTAGAACTACTTTAGTCCTGCTTTAGTCCTGCTTTAGACCTGCTTTAGAATTACTTTAGACCTGCTTTAGACCTGCTTTAGAACTACTTTAGACCTGCTTTAGACCTGCTTTAGTCCTGCTTTAGACCTGCTTTAGACCTGCTTTAGAACTACTTTAGTCGTGCTTTAGACCTGCTTTAGACCTGCTTTAAAACTACTTTAGACCTGCTTTAGACCTGCTTTAGAACTACTTTAGACCTGCCTTAGACCTGCTTTAGACCCACTCCATTACTGATATGGTCCTGCTTCACAGCTGGTTTTGACCTGGATTAGTCCTGATTCATTCCAGGCTCTTAGGTCTGATAACTCCTCACACATGTCAATAACCAGGACCTTTCTACTGTGAGTCCAGTCCAGACCAGCCTGACACCTGGTGCATCAGCAGACCACCACGACCACAGTCCATCACATCTCTATTTAGTCCTGATTTAGTTTGGCCTCAGTCTATACGTCCCAAGCCTTGATTTAAACCGGGATAAGACTGCGTGTATTGTCATTGAAATGCGTCTTTACACTATAGCGGCACCCCTCATGTTTATCCCTTTCAGCATTTTTTTTATTTATTTTTTTTATTTTTTTCCCCATACAAAAAAGATAATGTGTTTGTATTAAGTGCTCGTGACTCTACTCATAAAAAACAACAGAGCGTTAATAAGAAAATGTCGCGTTTTTTAATATTCGCGTTCCTCTTTCACAGACTAAACTTCGTCAGTCCCAAAACCCGTGGAAGACCTGCGCCGCTTTGCAATTTAATTTCTTTTCTAATCCTTTCAAGTGCCTTTCATTCACTATTTTTCTCTACACGTAGCTTTAAAAGAGTTTTGACGCTCCCTGGTCTCATCCAAAGAAATGCTGGGTGCGTGTGCGTGTGTCCGTGTCCGTGTGCGTGCGTCGTTACCGTGTCGCTCGCTGCTCCGCTCTGCCGCGACTGAGGGCCCAGGTCCCGGGACCGAGACACCACGTCCACGAGCTCGCGCACACGCACACGCACAAACCCTCACAGCACGAGACTTCCGCTGAGGTCCTTCACAATAAAACTTCCCAACGTGTTTTGCCATACATGCACGTGGAAACTAGAGATTGAAGCAAACTTTTTAGAGCAACTAGTTAGAGGGATTTTATGATTTTTTGAGTACAGCAGCTAAAGTTAGATAAAAACTAACTATGTGATCAATAAGCTCAGTTTTTGTTTTTTAAATCACAGAGCAGTCACACTCCTGAACTATCACTGTGTTTATTCTGTCGGTGCACACAGAGTACCTTTTATTGCAAATGTATTCCAATGTAGGTTTTATACTGCACATGGCCAATAAATGAATCTGAATCTGAATCTGAATCTGAATCTGGTAAAGTCCATCAGTTGCACTTTAAAGTAATGTAAAATCGTATAATTAATGTATATACTAGCATTATAATATAATTAATGTAAAAACTAGCAACAGCAGCAAGTATAAATGATCTTATACTTGCGCTATTGCATTACTGGTTAGATGCTAAACTGCAATAAAGTTGAATCTAATCTAATTGAGACAGAAAAAAATAATATCATGGAATATTGTGAAGAGTAGTGTTTCATATTCTAAAGTATAAAGAGTTCCAATGTTAGTGAGGAGGATTTAAGTATAGGCCTTAATTTGTCTTTTAGAAAATTATTGAGATTCTTTCCATGTACTGTATGACTTACAGAAAAAATACATGTTCACAATGCATGCTTCCTGCTTTCAAGGAGAGAAATTACTTTTTTATCATTTCTTTGCTGATTGTTTTACACAATGAGACTTTTATTGTGAAATTTCCGACTGTTTGTGAGCGAGCTCCTCCCAAACAGCTATTTGTGGGTCACTTGCGGTCAGACATCAGCTGGACCACACACCCCCGACCCCCACCGTGGCCAGAGGAGACACCGTGGCCAGAGGAGACACCGAGGCCAGAGGAGACATCCAAGGGGAAAAGCCAGCACTCTTATCTTATACTTACTCGTTATATGTTTATTGGGCCAAGACATTATTATTGTAATGCTTTGAGTGTGTGTGTCTCCCATCTGCCATCAGCCGCCTCCAACTGCTGCAAAATCCTATACTGCCTACGTCCAGACTTAAACACTGGAGGGACCGGGCCCTCTCTGTGGTCTCAGACTTCTGGGTGACAGGGCCCTCTCTGTGGTCTCAGACTTCTGGGGTGACAGGGCCTTCTCCGTGGTCTCAGACTTAAACACTGGAGTGACCGGGCCCTCTCTGTGGTCTCAGACTGGGATCCTACACTAGGACTACACCCCATGGTAACACCCCATGGATGGAATTCAGTTTCACATCATCACCATCTTCTTACAAAGTCTTTGTTCATATTTGTATTCTATAATATACACATTGCATTGTTACTATACTACCCACATGCACATAAAACTGCTGATGAGATCCTGGAGTAGTGTGCAACAGTGTATCATGTGTCCATGGATAACTCACTCTTCTATGTATTCTTGTCTTGCATAATCTTGATGTATTACACAGAATGGTCTTTTATACTATGTGTATGGTTATATACCACTTACATCAGTTGTTATATAATTAAAAGGTTGCATTCATGCAACATCACAGCATTCCAAAGAGTTTAACTTTGTATTGGAGGGAAGAGTTTTAAGATAAGATAAGATAAACTTTATTGATCTCATGGACAAATGTACCTGTCACATTTGGCATAAATAGAATCACTCAGACTCTGCAGTATATTATGTACAATAACTGGTTTTTCAGTCCTAGTGCAGGTCATTAGTGACTTAAAGTGACTTGTTGTACAGTCTGACAGCAGTGGGGATAAAGGCCCTGCAGTAGCGCTCCTTCTTGCACTGAGGGTGTTCTAGTCTTCCACTGAAGGAGCTCCTCTACAGTCCTGTTCAGTGGGAGGTGTTGTCCATGATGGAGGTGACTTTGACCAGCACCTCCTGTCCCTCACCTCCACCACAGAGTCCAGGGGCCTCCTGTCCCTCACCTCCTCCACACAGACCAGGGAGCAGCCCAGAGCGGAGCTGGCCCTCTTGACCAACTTGTTCAGTCTACTCCTGTCCCGCTCTGTGCTGCCCAGGGCCCAGCACACGGCAGCGTCGTGTATGGCAGAAGCTACCACAGAGTCAAGAAAAGTCCTGAGCAGAGGCTCACTCTGACTTTGGCCCTTCTTGTACAGGGCATTGGTGTTATGTGACCAGTCCAGTTTACAGTTAATGTGGATGTTCAGCAGCGTCTGAAGTGTAGATGGTGAAGAGAAACGGTGAGAGGACAGTGCCCTGAGGGGCCCCAGTGCTGCAGACTCACAGCTGTGCAGTGGTCCATGCAGTGAGGGGACTGTCCAGTGGACTGTGAGAGTCCTCCATCTTCCCCCACGCAGCAGTGCGAGTCTGGTGGTGTTGAAAGCGCTGGAGTCAAAACACATGACCCTCACAGCGCTCCTGGCTGGCTCCAGGGAGACTATGGTAAGTGTCAATGGTTTAGAGCTACTTTCTCTGTAAGTAAGTAAGTAAGTAATCTTTATTTGTATAGCGCATTTTTAGAGACCGAGGTCACCCAAAGCGCTTCACAATGTTCAGAATTCAGATATCGTTCCATTCTCTCCACACATGATGATGACGGAAGCGATCAACAGCCTCAGACCAAACATTCATTCACTCACTACATTCATATTGTGGCCAATCCACATCAAATAAAAACTGTCCATGTTTCACCTCCTCTGTGTTCATATCAGCTATGGTCTGTGAGGGAAGAGAGAACAAGAATGGAAAAATGTGCTCCTCCTACCACTGCTCTTCATCTTTGCTTATGTGATGGTGACTAATGTTTTACAGCCCCACACTACAAGAAATGATGCAAAAAAATCTAAAATTGCTCAAATTTGCCCAAATATATCTTAATTTAAGCTTATTTCAACTGCCTTAAAACAAGATTTGCCAATGGGACAAGCAAATTTATCTCTTATTAAAAAGATAAAAGAAATGTCTCTCTTGGAATGAGAAAATAAAACTGCAGTTCTTGAAATAAGTCTATAGAAGAAGTACTAGTATGTTCATAAAACAAGTTAAAGCTTGGGTGTAAAGCAAGACGTTCCTGATCTTCAAGTGCTCCATTTGCGTTTCAAGTTCATCACTACAGTTGTTGTTGTGGAAGGAGCCTCTGCAGTGGCCCGGGCTGAGGGCTGACTTGGGGCAGATGTGTTGGCCAGCCCTATTATGGGGTAGAGGTTTTGAGGATTGGTATTCAGCTGACGGTAGAGTGTTTACAGTTTTGAGGAAAATGCCCGAAGTGGGGTTGTGTTAAAGTAACTTGACCAGGCAGGAGACGGAGCACAGGACACTCTGAAGACCGGCTGGATTAGTAATTAGAGAAAGCCGGTTTTAAGCTCAAACACATGGAACCAGGCGTCACAAGACCGTGTAAAGACCAGGCAGGTAATAGAGATGAATAATAATCATTTTCTGTAGTCCATGAAGTAGTTAGTAAAGTAGAGCAGTGGGGTAGTGCTCACTTCTCATTGATGTTGGGCTTTTGCGGTAAGGTGCTTCAGTGTTGCAACTTCACGATCACAATTTTCTGGCTCATTAAACACACTGTTGTGATGCTCATGTTGATCAGGAGCAGAGAGGAGAACTCTTGCTTCCTGCCTCTGAGATTTGGTTTGGAAGTACCCCCTGAAGCAGAGTCTCGACTTGTCCTTTTACATTTTCCAACCACCCTGAGTAGAACAAAATGATCAGAGGAGATACATTTAAATGAGCAGTATGTAAGTTAGATCTGGCCAAAAGTGGTACTGCAAGCTCTCCCAGTGAGATTAGCTTGGCAGTGAGTTCTGGCAACCCGGATCACAGACTTTCTGATTGGTGAAACGGTGGACGGTGGACATCAAAATGAACAAGATTTCGGGGCTGTAAAACAAATTTTGAAATCCAAATATCTCTGCTAAACTACTGTTATCAGTTAAAGAAGTATTCAAAAGAGCATGGTTTATTAATGCTTTTTGACAGATTAGGGCCCTTTGATGATGACTTGAAAGGAAAATCTTACATATTGCTACTTTAAGTCATATCTCATGTGTGTCTAAGCACCAAACTGTTAAAATTAAAACTTTTAGACTCTTTGAACGAGAACCTTTCTGGATTTGGCTGAACGTCACCTCGTTATTGGGGCTGATACAGCACTGATAGAATAGGAGCCAAAGTGAGGAATGACCAAGGACTAGCTTCCAAGGTATTAATTCATTAACACAGTCTGATGGATACATGACAAACCCATCCGCTCTACAAATCTCTTTTAATTCTGCATATCATAAAAAAAGATTGATTTTACGTTTATGTCAAAAATCCTTTTTGAAACTATGTGTGTTAAGTGGTGGTCCCACCAGACCAATGCGTTGTGGCAAGATTACACAAAGTTAATGAAGACATACGTTGATGCAAATATTCACATGTGGCACACAAGCCGGACAGAGCGACCAAGACTCTCAAAACAGCCAAATTAAGAACTAAACCTGGACTGTCAATGGGAGACACCTGAGTTCACATTCTCCTCCAGATACTACCGTGATCTGACGTCTCTGGAGGATCTCACGACGCAGACACAACACGCTGCTAGCTAAAACTCGTCTATCAAAGCCCGCCCAACACGTCCGCCCTGTGTTTTGGGCCAGCGCAGTGCAGTACGTACTAAATACATTTTCAAACATCAAATTTGTACTTGATAAGAACATGGCAGTGAGGGAAGTCTGGGCTTTTTATTTGGAGTTTTCATTGCACTTTTGTGAAGAGCTTCCAGAAACGGGAACGATGGGACACGGCTGGGCAACTTGACACACAATATAAAAGATGTAAAACGACTAAGATATTTTAGAAGTGAAATCTATGTTTAAAGTTTAAAGTTTAATTTATTAAAGATAAAGTTAAGATGGCGCCGTGGCAAGAGCTCTGGTGTGTGCCGTTTTCTCTGTCTGGTGCAAACTGGGGTAGTCTTGCACAGTTTATCCATTGTGGTTTTACTGCAACTGGCAAATACATTCTTGTATCTTAGACATTAACTCTGCAGTTACATTATAAAGATAACTGCAGCAGATTTAGCACCATGTTACTTTCGATCTGTAGTCTTTCTATGTTTATAGTTCTTCAGGTCTCTCCAAGCTTCTTTATGTGGCTTTAAAAGGTTTGAGGTCTGAGTCAAGAATTAGACTTTTCTTTTTAATTTTGGTGATTCTGTCAAATGTTATGGGTTTGTAGCATTTTTCTTTAATTAGAAATTAAACCACCTCCAGACCTTTTGAACGCAGGACCTTCTTGCTGTGAAGCACAACACTAACCACTGCACCACCGTGCCGCCCAAGTATCTGGATTGCCTGGTTGTACAGGGATATGACTGAGTTTAGGGTTGTGGGTTAAGTTTGAGACCCTGTGGTTTCATGTTCTTACCAAAAAGCAGCTTGATAAAACAGCTCTCTTAAAATAAAATGAAACCAGTTCGACTTGACTTTTTCACTTCTTTGATCATTTCATCATCTATACATACTCTAAACAAATGATCTGCTCTGTTGTGCTTGAATATAGAAATGTAAACGGTTGTCTCAGCATCTAGAGTTAGCCGTGATTGCTGAAGCCAGGTTGAAATGTTGCCTAGACTTTCTGTCAACTGCTGCCCAGCTAGAGTGCAAGTCTTTGCAGGAACATGAATCTGCCTAAAACTGGCAGGGGACCCCATGGCAACATTTGGGAGGTCATTTATCTGCATGGCAAACAACAATGGCCCTAACATGGAGCCTTGTGGTAGTCCCATGTCATTAGGGCTTTGGCGAGATTAAACACCATCGATTTTAACACATCCTCGAGTTACGTTTTGCACCATGAAAGTGAATGAGAAGATATTTTGAAAGGCTTAAAATTTTGATGTCAAGAAACACAGCACATACTCTAGTACTA